ATATGCTTTCAACAGATACCTCAGCATTTCATGGACAGATATGTTTGAATGACAAAGATTAGTCGGAAAATGTTTGCTGGAGATAGAACTTGAATAATATGAAATATTTATGTGAACTCCCACTCGGCTCCTGTTAAGCCTAGAAATCAAAGCCTCAATGGTATCGGTGGTTGTAGCTGGAAAAGAAGCAGAAAGCTTTCCAGATCAAGCTTGCAATGGCATTCTGCAGTTTTAGCTGGTTAAACTGCAGCATTACCCCAACATACAGTCTGGGGCTCCCAAACCGTGTCTTTTGCCAACGTGTGCCTAATGGTAATTGTAAGTGTTCAACGGTACAGATCTTAAATAATATTAAGAGGTAATTTCACTTGAACTACAATATAGCATCCTGGAGTTTGCAAGAAAGTTCACAAGTGCCCAATTGTTATAAAATGATATTGTAGCTAGCAGATTTGAGACGGATTAAACATCCAGATCAGTAACTGGGAGATAAATGATAAATAAGTTTAATTCGATGGGGTGTTGCATCATAAGCTATTGGATACCAATGAATGCTACTGATCTCTCCATTCGTTTCACAAACTAAATAAAGGGTGTGGGAGGTAAGGAAATATTGCTTACGTATATTGATACAAACAGATATTAAAATGAAAGAAAGTCTACCTAATGATTTTGTTTTTTTATTTCCTTTTGCATACAGTCAAAATCCAACTGCAAACAGTGTACTTTGTGTATGACTAGTTGTCATAAGACCTTGCTGAACAATTAATTTGCATGGATTGCAATGTTTGCAATAAGTTTGCCTGTGGTGAAATTGTGAGTAAATAACCATTCAGAAGCTAACAGATTGGCCTCTATTGCTTTTGTTTGAAAGGGGCCTATGCTGTTACCATGCCACCGCATGCAAAAAAAAAAGTAAATTAAAACAATAAACAGGCTGGTGGAAGATGAAGTATCACAAACACATTGAAACCAATGAATGTGACCGAAATAGTCTGCAAAAGAGCATCAAGGAATAAAATAAATGAGCAATTATAATTGGAAAGGGAATGGTAAACAACTGAAAGAAAAGAAATCCCAGAAAGGGTCTGAAATGCCTTGACATGAGATTATCCTCTAACCTCTACTCTCCCTGCCCTCCACCCCTCCTGATCCCAATCCCCCATTTGGGTCCAAATCCCTGACTGTCCAGCTGCTCTCTTGTGTTAAAGAAAAGTAGTACTTTGGATCAGCACAAGATGAAAGAATATGCCTAATCTCTCAATGTAGAACTCTATCCCTCACTGTGCCTCAATCATAACCGTGTCACCTAAGGAGAAGGCCTTACTGAATAAAATCATGAAGTATGTAGTGTTTATCAAACATAACGTTCTTCAATGAATTCTTGAATCGTGGAGTTGTGAAATCACCAAACAATGCCCACGTCCCTTAAACCTGTGTCAACATCATATGACACAGGGTTAAAACACTCAGATTGTCCTGCTGTATGTTTTAGGTCAGCCAATCAAGCAGTTGACAGGCAGTATGGATAAAAAGAAATCTGAAATAAGAAACAGAAAATGCCAAAAAAAAGTACGCAGGAGGATGTGAAAGAGAAGGACAGGTGTACATTCCAGAGGTGTAACACGTCAACAAAACATGAGCATCATGTGACAAATAACATGGGAAAACAAACACCCATGTGAATTAAAGAGCAAACATCTGGCCCTGAAGTTTGGAGGTTGGCGTAGAAGTGAACTGGGTGCTGTGTTTGATCTGGGCAAACAGAATGGGATGGGTGTGCTCTGCAATGTCTGTGAAATAAGTACGATCATAAATACAAAAGTAGACTTTGGCTTCTTTTGTCTTTGTCCTCTTTTGTTTGCTGGAATAGCCTGGGTTGTTTTCATCGCAATCTTGACGTACAAACAACAAGCATTGTAAACGAGAGAACATTTATGGCCCATTTATGATAAATATGCATACTTGTTTTAGTTAACTCTGGTGTTGTTTAATGTTGGCAAGACATTGCAAGATCATCGTTAAGAGTTTGTCAGTGGCACAATTTAGTAAATATTTCACAGGCCATTTGGCAGTTTCATGATGTGCGCAAGAAGTTCATACTAACATCCTGAACACAATCTGATTGACTCAAATCCAGGTCCTAGCCATCCTAAATTTGGCTTCACGTTCAGAGAATAGAAAACCCTGTGAAGGGCTTTGAGGCATCCTCCCAGCGTGCAAGGCAGGGTATCCAAATGCTAGGAACTTAATTTGATTTAGTTGGCTTAAGAAATTGCTGTTGGTAGGTTCAGTCAGATACGATTTGGTTCACCCCACTGCGGACCTCAGATCAGAAACTACCTGCGGGAGTATATCAAATACAAGGAGTATTTATTTGAAGTGTTGCTACACTTGAATGAAAGAGTTAGTGGAACAAAAGTCTGCTTTCATGTCGACTGAACTTTTACATTTGGTGCTCAATTCATGGTAAAATAAATTCAATTGAAACTGTTCCCACAGTCGGCATTTGAGAATAATAATAATCCTTGCATTTGATATAGCGCTTTTCACGTCGGGAGGACGTCCCAAAGCGCTTCACAGAACACACTGTAAAGTGAATTGACTGTATATTTGTGGGCGAACGCGGCAGCCAATTGCGCACAGCAATGTCCCACAAACAGCCGTAGATTGAAAATGACCAATTTATTATTGTTTTGGTTTTTGGAGGGATTATTATTAGGCTCTGTGTGGAGTAAGGAAACTTGCCCAAGGTTTCGCCCTCTGCCTGGAATTGAACTCAGGTCTCTCGCTTGCAAAGCGAGTGCTCTAACCACTGAGTTACAGGACTGATGTGATTGGATCTCACAGTACATAACAACAATTTATGTTGAGTCTTTCATGGCGGGTGTATGTTTTACACAGCTGACTGGTAGCCTCAGCTGGTGGGGGCGGGGGAGGGAGAAGGCAGCCAAAAATGCTGTCGAAGAGATAAGAATGATTTAATGACTAGATTAGGAATTTGTTGTGCCCATGGCTTTCGTGTGTATATTGAGAGGAGCTGTAACCTGAGAAGCTATTTTACTGTAATAGTTAATGATTTACTTGTGCATCATTTCTTTATTACCACATTTGTTCGTGTTTACTCAGCCACCTGGTTCAAGTACCAGCTTGTAATTGAATGTCTTGAGAAAAGAAAGGTTCTTTCCGATAAATCTTATTTGTAATAAAAGCACTGGTACTTTGACGAAGGCTTCAAATAATGATTTTAAGAAACAGTACAATGGAAAATTTAGAACTGTAAGGATTCACTGAAAATTTCAGTGAAATGTATAAGAAATGTATAAGTGCCGTGCATATACAATACCAATATATCTGTACTCTATTCTCTCAAATTACCGCCCCATCTCCAACCTTCCTTTCCAAGGTCCGGAATGAGTCCTTGCTTCTCCCTCTCCCACCATTCCCTTCACGAACCCCTCCAACTGGGTTTCTGTGCCACTCACAGCACAGAAACAGCTTTGTCAAAGTGACAAATTACATTTTGTTCATCTGCGACCAGGGTTCCCCCTGCCTCCTCATCCTTCTTGACCTCTCTGCTGCCTTCAATACTGTTAGCTGCTCTATCCTCCTCCACCGCCTCTCCTCTCACCTCAACCTTCACGGCTCTGTCTTTGAATGGTTCAGATCCTACCTCTCACACCATCTCCACTTCATCTCCACAAACAGCTTCTCCTCTATCCCCCGCACTGTCTCGTGTGCCATTCCTCTGTCCTTGGTCCCCTCCTTTTCAATATTTATATGCTCCCTCTTAGTGACATCATCCGCAGACATGGGGTCACTTCCACATGTATGTTGATAACACCCAACTCTATCTCTCTGCTTCCACCCTTGACTCCAGGACCACTGCTGTGCTGACAGAATGTCTGTCAGACATCAAGTCCTGGATGAGAGCTAACTTTTTCCAGGTGAACATCAACAAGACCGAGGCTCTCCTGATTGGCAGCATCACCATCCAAGGTTGCACACTCCACCTTCCTAAGCCAGTCCGGAAACTTGGCGTCTTGTTTGACCCTCAACTGCCTTTCTACATCCGTGCCATGACTCGCTCTGCCTTCCCCCACCTCCGCGCGGTTCCGCCAGTCTCACACCACACGTCGCTGAGACCCTCATACACACATTCATAACATCCAGGCTCGACTTCACAAACTTCCTGCTTGTAGGCCTCTCCCAACTCCTCCCTCCATAGGCTGCAGATCATCCAGAACTCTGCAACCCATGTCATCTCCTGCACCAGGCTCTGCAACCCTATCACCTCCATTCTCGCTCGACTTCACTGGCTTCCCATCACACAGAGGATACAGTTCAAGATCCTGGTCCTCACCTTCAAAGCCCTCCATGGCCTTGCTCCCCCCCTACCTCTGCGACTTCCTAACCCCCTACCAACCTGCCCACTCCCTCTGCTCAGCGGGCTCTTTTCTGCTTCATGTCCCCCGCCTCATCCATCCCACCATTAGCAGGTGGGCCTTCAGCCACTCTGCCCCCACCCTTTGGAACTCCATCCCGCAGTCTCTCCACCTCGCCCCCTCCCTTGCCTCCTTCAAGACCCGTCACAAGACCCTCCTCTTTGACTGTGCCTTCAGTCACCCTCCTTCCCCACCTCCCGCCCTCCATCCTCCCCGATCCCGACCCTCAGCTCGGGTCCGAAACATTAATTGTCCAGCGCCTTGGGACATCCTCCCGATGTGACAGGTGCTGTACAAATGTAATTTTGTTGTTGTTCACTATGAAGTAAGCCATGGTAGTCTCCACAGGGAGTTGTGGCTGGGTATGAAAGGAATTGTGCTTGTCTAAACTTTAAAAGAAAAGAAAATATCTCTTCCTCAAAAATAGCTTCAAGATTTGAATTTTTGAGGATAAAACATGAAACCCTAGAAATGTCATGTGCNAAAAAAATTAATGAAACTCTATAAAGTATTGTGCTGTGTTTTGTGTCATTGAATCAATACTTTCTTTTAAAGGTGGAGGACGATACCAGGAGTCTGGTGCGTGGGCACAGACTTAAAAATTGAAGTTGCTATCCTTTAAACAGGGGAGACCTGTTGACATGTTCCACCCGGAAAATGATGAAGGGTGTGAAAATCAAGCGTATTACCATTCGGAAACACTGGAAATGGACAGAAGGTAATCATTGAATATTAATTAATCATAAAGCGATTTAGAGATTATTGTTAATCATTGTTAACCAAACATTGGAAATCACCAGAGGGTAATCATTGAAAAGAGGCAATAAGAGATTTATATTTTTTGTTAATCATTATACACAGTATTCTAGATGTATACATAGATTATATAGAACTTTGCAGCAGGCAAACAGGCCGTTCAACCCAACTAGTCTATGGTAGAATTTATACTCCAAATGAACTTCCACCCATTCTAATCCCTTATCCATCAATTTTGCAGGGCTATGGGAAGAGAGCGGTGGGGTGGGGGGGGGGTGGGGGTGGAATTGATTTTCCTGGTTCTTTTCAAAGAGCCAGCACAGAAACGATGGGCCGAATGGCCTCCTTCTGTGCTGTACAATTCTATGATTCTATGAATCTATGCAAAACCATAAAACATTTCCTTGTTTAAAGCAGTCCATCCTTAAAGGATAAAGGAGCATGTTCTTGTTTTACCTGTGAATGCAAATGTAATTTGTTGTTGTTGAATGAAAAGTGATATGATTGTTGACATGACGGCATCGTCATGGCTGCTCTGAAAACATTCAATGTGTAAAATCTGTTTAATAAAAAAGCTCCGAAACACTATGGAGCAGGAAATCATATTTGTTCTCGCAAACCTAACAACATTTCATTGAATCGGGACTGTTCAATGACATCAGGAGCAAAGCTCCAGTGTCAATTCCTGTTTGTATTATATTATTATGTCAAACTGCAGGCAGGAATTTAAGGCTTGGTATAACTAACAGGTTTGATAATAAAAAAATTGGAAACTTTAGGTCATGGACACGTTAGTGTCTGTACTGGGTGACTATCACGAGGGAATTATTATTGCACAACTTCCTTTTATCGTAAAGGTACATTCTACTATTTCAATTTCCTTATTATGGACAAGTGGCAGAGATAAGACCTATTTTTCCAATGCTATGTCTCAGTAGCATTGGTGAATGGCTCCTTTTCTACTTCATGTCTGTAGCTGCGTTAATACAGCTCTGGATTAAGGGAAAGAGAGCTATGTACAGTGTCGTTGGAAGCTGATTATACACACTAAATAGGACCAGCCAATTTCCTCACAAAGAGCTGGGGAGTTGCGTCCCTGACAACTTTACATACACATATAGAAATTTATAGGTGTGCAACCGGATATCTTTTGTCTATAATAATAATAATAATCTTTGCGTGTTGATAATAATCCTTGCATTTGATATAGCGCCATATCACGTCTTCGAGACGTCTCAAAGCGCTTCACAGAATATACTGTAAAGTGAATTGACTGTATGTTTTGTGGGCGGAATGCGGATAACTGGAGTGCAAGTAAACAACATCCCACAGTATGTGTAAACTGAAACCTGGTAGGACCATGTTCTACCAACAGGTTCCCTATTACTCTTAATGTTAGTGGAAGCTCTCCTCTCAATGCCAGAAGAACCATGCATGGATTATAGGGAGTGATTACTCTACTTTAATCAGTATATGTAGACAGGAGTATAAATCCCAACATTTAGCAGTGAGAATTGAATCTCCAGGTTCGTTTATAGCCCTGACATTTTTGACCTAATAAACTGGAGGAACAGTTTGATGGGCTGAATGGCCTCCTCCTGTTCCCCGCTTTTCCAATGCTCATTATATGGCGTCATTCCTCCTCTGATATTATCTGTAACATATGCTGTTTTAAGAGTAGCTTATTATCCGTGACATTGGTGCTGCGTTTGTAGGTCGTGTAGGGCAGAGAAGGAACAGATTTCACATAGGGAGCTGTTTTTAACTCTTTAGCAGAGAGTTCTCATGCTGTAATTCAATTGCTTGTGCATAAATTCTTTCTCTCCTGTTGCAAATAGTATCGAAATCAAGGTCTCCAGAGGCGAGGTAATGCAATATTTATGCCGCTGTTGTTTTTGAGGGCTCATTATTTTCACCCCCAAGTCCCTTGTGGATTTCTCTGGCAAACTCTTAACACCTGAGAACAGAGGAGTAAAAACAATCGCGGAAAAGTTCCATGGTCTTTTTAAATTGTGTGATTACTGGTTCAGGTTACAGAAAAATAAACTGCAGGGCGCGCAAGGAAAAGGCTACACCCACCACATCTAATGACTTACTACGTCATTAATATCCTGAAGAATCATGAGAGACAAGTGTTTGCTGCACAAGGTATCATCAAAGGGTAGAGATACAGAGACCTGTGAAGCCACTTCACCTGCTGTAAAAGAACAAAAACAAAATTACATTTGTATAGCGCCTTTATGTTGGGAGGATGTCCCAAGGCGCTGGACAGACAAGACAGTTTTGGACCCGGGCTGGGGGTCAGGATTGGGAAGGGTGAAGGGTAAGGGGGAATGCAGGGTGATCGAAACCCCGGTCGAAGAGGAGGGTCTTGAGATGGGTCTTGAAGGAGGCGAGGGAGGGGGCGAAGCAGAGGGACTGCGGGATGGAGTTCCAGAGTGGGGGCAGAATGGCTGAAGGCCCACCTGCCAATGGTGGGGCAGGCGAGACAGGAGACGTCAAGCAGGCTGGAGCCCGCTGAGCGGAGGGAGCGGGTAGGATGGTAGGGGGTTAGGAGATACTGGATGCTGGAATTCTTATTTCTGCATTCTCATTGCAGAATACTTCAGTTAAAAAATCATTAATATTGAACCGATCCGTTTAAGGTTTATGCTCGCAGTTTGATGCAGTTGAGTTAATGTTTAGTGTTGTCACCTAACTGTACTTTCTGGCTTCTGATGGAGAAAGGAGTGCTCAGCTGGGACCTTCACAGATCTGCAGCAGGTTTCTGCTTGGTGTCGATAATACCTTGCCAAACAAAAGTGAAAACTGCAAGTCCACAGATACACCAACAAATACAGCACTTTGTTTTCTGCTTCATTAGGCCACAGGACTGGACGTTAGGTTACCATTCCCGGTCTCCAGTACAGCCTCCGTACCAACTGCCTCCATATGATTCACCAGAACTTCAGAGACGATGGAACCAGCCACAGATTATACCGATGATATCGATCAGGCGAGAGCGTGATGCTGCGAGCCCACGAGTCACTCGTATGAATCTGTATGAAGACGAGGACAGATACGGTATGTTTCCTTTACTGCCCGTTTACAACTTTTCATTGACAACCAGGACTTGTGGTTCAATCACTGACTTTTACTCCGCTTACGTTCCAGTTTATCTAAAGATTTGTGATGCTCAACATCAGTCGTGCGTCTCTAACGTTGAGGCATTTTTGTTATGATAAAGTCCTCTGATTTATTTGTTAAAAGCCTTTTGTTTGGTTTTGCAGCATCCTTCTAAATTCAGTCACTGCAATCTTTAGAACGTCTTGTCTTCAGTCCGTTCACTAATTGTAACGTTCTGTTCTATTCTATTAGTTAACCCGGGGTTTGAGCCCATTCTGGATGATTTTGGAAGCTCTTCTTCAAGTACCTATGATGGATACAATGAGAGAGGAAGATCCTTCCTTCCAGGCAGTGACACAGATACAGAAACGTCAAGCAGATCACAAGGTATCTAACAAACTATTTTATTGTGTCCCAAAGTATTTCTGTTATTTTGAATACAGATTGATTGAGCAGTGATAGAAAGTACGCTGTTTAAACGGTGAACCTATGAAGTGACCTTTTGCAGCACTGTTCGTAGTTTCTACTGAACCACCCAGTTATTAGAGCTGTTATGTGAGTCACATTAACTGAAGTGGATAGCAGTTTAAATCTATCTTTCGGAAATAAAACGCTATTGTGGGTGATATCATTGATGTCTCTTTGTCCCACAGTATTAATGTATGGTGTTCTGTAGTTGAACAAATAATATTCATAATAAATGAAACCTGGAACAGGCACTTTAGGTGAGTTTCAGTTGAGCATGTTTTGAATAAGAATATTATCATTAAATGATGGCCGTTTAACTCACTTCTTATTGCTTTCATTATTATTATTACTGTAGGGCAATGATGTAGGGCAACAGCAAGGTTGAAAGGAGTGAAAGAGGACAAACAAAATCAAAAAATAGTGATGAGGTAATACAAAGCTTGGGTTTCAAAAACCTTTACTTTGTACTTTGTAATGAAAACAATGTTATTGACAGACAAAAGTCACACTGAAGTTACATTGTGGTGTAAACTGTGACAGGTTATTTTGATTACTTCTTTAGGTAATAATACCTGGCAATTCTGGCAGAACAGTGCAATAATTTTGCAGTGAGGAAATTAGACCATAATAATTTACTAAATAGTTATTGTCGGCAGCACAGACACCCTCTCTCTAAAGAATTCTCCTGTAAATCCTTGTAGCTTCTGACAGAATCTAATTAAGCAAAGAGAATAAAGGGAATAAAGGCTTGTGTGTTCACTGGTCTGAGTATATTTTTGATGTTTACTAGAACACTTTAGTCTTCAATATACACCTTGTCTACGATTCGTGACCTCAGTCATTAAGAGCAGGTTTGCTTGATCACGAGGGAAATATACGCGGTGTAAAAGGTGCTATAGAAATGTGTATATTTGCGTTGGATGGGATCTTTAACGTCCATCTGAACAGGCAAGTTTAACGTCTCATCTAAAGGATGGCACCTCCGACAATGCAGTGGGCTGCCTAAGAAATGCACTCGAATATCGGCCTGGACTTGAGTTCAAAGTACCGATGTAGGGCTTGAATCCACAAATTTGTGACTCTGAGGCGAGAGCACTAGTAGCTACTGAGGCGGGAGGGCCAGGCTGACACTAAAAAAAGCACTAGAAAGTGTGTGCATGTGTTCTAGTACCTTGTGTACTGGAATATTACTGTGATTTATCATTATTAAGTCACTATGTCAGGTAAGTTATACTATTTCAAATCTCGGTAACATTCCAGCCCACTGTGGTTCTGAAGCCCAGCATGCTCTGTTTTGTGTACTTTTAAAATGACTTGTTAACTGATCCTTCAATAGACTGTCTTGCGACGTAGGAAACAATCTCGATGAAGTGTTAAAATCCAGGAACTGCATAACTTATTTACTTTTATTTTGTTTCTAAATCATCGGTTTTTTTTTACAAAAAAGCATATAGGAAAGAGGAAATCAGACTGATGATACCTTTATTGGAAATATCTGATGTTTCTTTTCATTTTGAGAGAGATGAATGTCAACATTACTCTCATTAAGATTACAGTACTATAAAGGCAGTTTGTAAAGAAAGAAGGCTTGAAATCAGCCGGCCACAAGAAGGATACATCTGATTGGAACTTTCTATATACAATTATCTGCTGGGAGAACAGTCACAGAAAAATCTGTCTTGTGAACCTAGAGGTTAGAGCAGGCCACAGAGCAAAACTCAAAACGGACTATTTCAGCTAGTAGTGCAAGACAACAGCTGACAGGTGGCTTAACTCGTGAAGGCATGTTAACAAGCGAAAGTGTAATTGGTATTGATGAGCTTCCAAAAAGTGATGATGGACTCCAAAATCAGTCGGAGCAAACTTCAACTGGTGAGGCTGGCTGTTTCCGTCAATTCTGCGATCGTGCTATTGCACTGTGCCAGATTATCGTGTCTTTGTGTAAAAAGAAGACTCTACTGACAAAGTTTCATGGGGATTTGGCCAGCGAGACCTCGAACGAAACAATTGAAACCAGTCCGCAAGCAAGTGAGAAATCTGCACATGCAGTGATAAATATCGACGATGTTTCTGCAGGATTTCTGACAGTGTTAACAGAATCAGGAATGAGAGGTACTGAGAGTTTTTCTAAGTGATCATTTTCACGTCTCTGCTCCCATTTTAGCACTGCAATCTGTTCGTTACTAAAGGTATAATATTATTTCTGGGTCTGACATGTGCGGAAGCCCATTACTATGCCTCAGAGTAACCAAACCAGACTGAGAGTTCCATGTGTGTATAACACTTACACGTGGGAATCTCCCTCTGTCTAGAATGGAATGCAGACTCTCTTGCTGGAGGGCCACCCCCTTCATCCCTAATTCCGGAGAGTATCGGACACGAGCTGATGAGAGCCAAGACTTGGGGACCCCAGGATGTACTATGGGGCAACTGCTGTAGTTTAATCAACTGAAACTGCAAAGCTTTCACCCACAAAACACAGTCAATTAACTTCATATTAAGTATATTTTGTGAAGCGCTTTGAGACGTCCTGAAGACGTGATAAAGCGCTATAGCAAATTCCAGGATTATTATTATTATCAAATGCAAGGATTATTATTATCATTATCATCAACAGATGCAAGGATTATTATTATTATTTTTCTGTAAAGTGTTTTTTAGATGCCTCAATGACGTGGTATGGCACGATATCAAATGCAAGGATTTTTATTATTAATAAACGTGGCAGCTAATTTGCACGCAATGATATCCCACAAACAGCCATGAAGTGAACGCCCAGTTTTACCTGGAGTACTGCTGGCCCAAACACCTAGATCTGCAAAATATTGCTGTATTCCAGACACCCTTTTCTATTGACAGAATTAGGGCACAAACACTATGGAGAGCACCAAATCTGTTCTAAGTAGCTGGACTGGTACCTAAAAAGTACCTAAAAAAGAAATGCAAACTTTTCCGAACTCAAAATGGACTGAGAGTGAAAAATACATATGTGAGGGAGAAGGGAATAGAGGGGATGAAAACTCATGTGGAGAATCAACGGTGGCAGGAAAGAGTTGGGCAGAATGGCCTGTTTCCGTACTGTACAGTCTGTCTAACTCTACGTAGCAGGAGGGCTGGAAACCCGGCACAGGAAACGCTAATTGAAACACAAACATTTAAAAAGAAAGACTTTGACTCAGGCCAGAGGCTCTACTCAGGGGAGCGAAATGTCTTTTGAACAGGACGTGGAAAGTGACTTGAGTACATTCATCGGGATAAAATTGTACAATTTGTTCAAAGAGTTCCTGATTATCGTTGAAAGGGTGGAACGTTCAGCTTCTGCAAAATGTTCCCTGACAAATGTCTACATATTATTTACTGTGTGCTCAGATAAATATTACTGATGGTGGATGTTAACAGTGGAACAACATTAATCAGTCCATATATACCCCCGCGCCCCCTCGATGATGCTCACTTATTAAGTGATGTACGATTCTAATCATTGTAATAATATTTTCAACAGATCGAAAACGAAGGCGCAGAAGCCTCGGTAACTCTATTCAAGTCGGATCCTTTGGTGGCTTAAGCTTAACCCGGTTTTCGTTTAAAAAACATGAAGTCACCGAAGAAGAAAAAACAGGTGTGTAAGTATGCAAGTACGTGTTGTCAGTGATGCTAATCGTTTCGAAAGCATCGGATGAACAACGTAGTTTGGCTACAAGATTTTATATTTTAAAAAAACATGTTCTTCATTTCTGTTCAGCCAAACTTCAGATTATTTCGGAGCTGTTGAGCATGTCACCCAATGACAGAATGAGGGCAATCCAACAGTTAACGTTGTGCATGAACGAGAAACGGCAGATCAGGTAAAAACGAAGATCAGATACAATAACATTTATTTTCATATGTAATAGTTTGTGTATAATTTTTACATTGCGCGTCTGGGTGGACACTAAAGTTACTGACCTTATAACAGATACCCAATATCACCCACTATTGTAATTTGATTTAAGAATTAACATTCATAATGCAAAGGGCTAGCGATTTCATATTTCTTGTCTATTTCTCCATTGAGATTATTTGAAGATTCCAATAGCAGATAATCACTAAAAATCTGTAGCTATATTCTTTCCAATCAGACTCCCAACCATCTGATGATGTAGGATATTGGTATATCAAAAATGAACTGGTGTCGGTGTGATCTTAGGTGTTAGCCCGGCTTAGCAGGCAGCATCTCACCTCTGAGTCAGCAGATAGTGGATTGAAGCCCCACATCGGGACTTTGAACCCACAGGAATAGGCTTGCGCTCCAGTGCAGTACTGGGGGAGTGCAGCATTGTCAAAGGTGCTGTGCTTAGCATGAGATGTTGAACTAAGGTCCCACCTCCCTGTTCAGGTGGATGCTAAAAGACTTCATGTCACTATTTGAAACCAAAAGGGAGTTTCTCTCGGTGTCCTGCCCAACAATTCCCTCCGATTTTTTAAAAAATATAAAAATAATTGGTCATTCACTTCATGGCTGTTTGTGGAATATTGCTGGCTGCCATGTTCATCTACAAATATACAGTGCCTACATTTACAGTAAAATCCTGTGACGTGCTTTGAGACATGATAAAGCGCTACACCAAGATATATAGATAGGTTGGAGGATGTGCATCGGGATTGGGTTTGCATGATCACAGTCAATTAAATTTACATTTGTTATTACTTGCCAGGGCAAGTTCATTTCCAGAGAAAAACCAACCAACAGATCAAGTAGAGAACATGATAAATGCTGGCACACAATTCCTCTACAATACACTAATTGTAAGTGCTAACAGAAAAGCCTTCATAAAATAATAAACAGACAGACCGTAAGTTAAATCTTCTGAGTTGTGATTTAGGTTGTCCAATATTCTGTATTCCTGTGGAAAATGGGCAGATCATTTCAAAAATAATTTGTGTCATTGATTATTCTTCATCATGGAAGTATTGTTATCATTTATTTATTATTTTATCATATATGATGCATACAATTTAGGTCGAAGAAAGGAGCCAAAATGCAGGGGGGCTGGTGGGGGACAATGACTGTTTTTAAAGAAACCAGGAGAACTGCCCATTATCGGTGAACAATGTGAGAAATAGCTTAGCAAAAGGGCTGTAATAATATTAAAGAACTTGCATACTTGGAAGTAATATAAAGGCAAAAATGTCTGTACAGAAAAAGGCATGCGTACTTCATCCAGTCCTGTGGATGCTCCTTGTGAAATCTACTTCTTCTCTAGTTCACTACTAATTCAAACTACTTCAAGCACTCTGGGACACTACCTTGCGTGAGGGGCGCTGAGTAAATGCAAGTTGTTGTTGTAGAGAAAGTGGCAGTCTTAACTGGTGAATATTTTCTCAATATCTTCTAGAGCTAGTATATTTAAGATCTGTTATATTTTACCTTTCCTTAGGCATATGAATTATCCTTTTTACCATTATTGTTTCTTTCAGGCCTTGAAACGCTTTCATGAAATCATGTCGGAGACTATTAAATCAATCCACCCCTGGCAGAGATCCCTGAAAGTAATCGGTGGGAAGTTTGGAACGAGCGTACTCTCCTACTTCACTTTCCTGAAGTGGCTGCTTATGTTCAATATCTTGTCGTTCCTGATTAACTTCAGCTTCATTACCATCCCACAGTCCTTTGAACACAAGCCCAACCACTTTGTGTTTACGGGCCTGGATCTGCTGACTGGTGCAGTGAGTATTCTGAACCTGGAAGTCGTTCCAGTCAAGATAAGATCATATTTCTGAATTGCCGTGATTTCCTCATTGACAGTCACTCCCCGTAGTTGCCTGTGATGATCTTTTTTTTCTCTGTTGCAGGGTTACTTTAGAGAAACTGTCTTTTATTATGGCTTTTATTCCAATACCACTATTCAAAGGAACAGCAGTGCACCTGAATATGATATGCAAATTGCTTACTTCCTGACAATTGCATGTTATATGGTGTTGTGTTTTCTGAGCTTGGTTTACAGGTAATTTGACAAAACTCTTACTTAATAAACTTCAGAGTGCTGCGTATCGTATGCCCGATAACTCTTATTGATTCTGCAATTTGCGTTGAAGCCGATTATTGTACAGTTGGATGCCTGGTTGACGGATCTATTCCAATCATAAATGTAAAAAGAGAAATAAAAAGTGTTCTAGTTAATAAAACAAAAGTCTCGAGTTGTACTGATGCAGTTAACGATATAGAATACCCATCAATTTAATGAATGTTACAGCATGTCAAAGAGCTTCAATGAAAACTGTATTGGTGTTGGAATCATTGCTGGTGCAGCAGCCAGGCTCCTCTGCTGCTGGGACTTCAACATAACCAACGAAAGAACGGTAGCACTGAAGAAGAGGAGCCTTAGTACGCACTTGAAAGTGAGTGTTTTACTTTATGCGGGTAGCAGGAAATAATACCGTTGAGTTTGTGGCCACGTGGTGCTTCCCGTGAGGAAGTCCAGGAACCATCATAATACGCCGTTGAAGATAAAGGTGGAAATCCCAACCAGTTTCTCCTTAGTTCGCAACACTTGGAAGATTAGCTTTAATGAGAGGGCCCTTACTCATTTGAAACTCTGCCTCCCGCGCCCCTCCCTCGCCCCAAACTCCGCACGCCCATCACTCTGTTCCTCCCCATCTCCACGGATCGATATCAAGGTCTTACAAATTCGACCACTCCCCAGCACATCCTTATCTCTCCAATTTCCTATTCCACTCCTCCGCCCACCCCCTCCGCTCAACTAACGCAGTCTTGCTGCGCATCACCGCACTCTGCCACCATGGTGGCCGATCCATCAGTCCTTATGCCTCTAACCTCTGAACTCTCCCTCTGCCACTCTGTCATGCCCCCTTTCTTTAAGTCCTGCCTCTCTCTCTCTCTCTCCCCTTGTTCTGCGTCCAACCCTGTTCTGTAAAGTTACCCACTTGAAAGGTGCTATTTAAATGCAAGTTGTCGCTGTTGGTTCTGGGCTAATGCTAAGATCATCTCTATTGAAGCCTCATCCATCCCACCCTCAATTATTTTCGCCTGCTACATTAAGGGAAATACTTTCTGTAAGCAGTGTGTAAAATCATCCCAACATTTTACTGAAGCAAAATTCATTCTTTGCAGTTTTAAAGTAGACAGAGTGGCAGTAGAGTATCAAAAATCGTGAAAACGTAACTTGATTTAAAAACATTTTGCCGTTCATATTTACAGGAACTTATCTCGGAGAAATTACACTACAAGCGGCAGCTATCAAAAAAGCAGAGAGTATTACGGATCATTATTCATTTGATAGCGTGGATCGTTTCCATAAGCACTACAATTCTTTGTTGTTATCTTATCCATACATTTTCCTCCAGAAATTTTCAGGTGCAGTATATTTGTATTTTTTGAATTCACATTGTGGTGTATTTGACAGAGCTTTTTAATCTTGTATAATATGTCATTTTTTTACCCATGTCATAAAATTCAAACGATAATCTTCATTAAAAATAACAAACCACCCTTTTCTTAGTGATAATAATCCTTGCTATTGATATTGCGCTTATCACGTGGTTTAGGTATCTCACAGCGCCTCACAGAATACACTGCAAAGTGAATTGACTGTATTTTGTAGGCGAAAATATGTCATCTAAACGAATTTGTAAGACTCTCCAGTGCAATACTAGGGGAGCACTGCATTGCTGGAGGTTATGTCTTTAGGATGAGAAGTTAACCTCAGTTAATCTGCCTGTGAACGTTAAAGATGCCACCAGAGCATTAAAGATGCCAAGAGAAGAGAGATTATTCTCGTGGCCTGGCCAACACGCCTCCAAATAAAAAAGGATCATTGGCGTGTGTCACTAAATATATGTTTTGCCAATGCAAAAAATCATGTAAAGACAAGCCTCCTCCTCCCCACCCCCCGTGAGGCTGACTCTACTTTCAGGACGTAAAGATCTCAGGGTCTCCCTCTCTCTGTAGCCATTTTCTTTTATTTATCACAAATCCAACTCAAATCTCGATCCTGGACATAGGAGGCAGGAAGCCTTTCCAATGCATGCCCAGGTGAGCCACTTGTATCCCACATACAAGTTACCCGCCACGTTCACTGAGCTGGGCGCATTGTGACAGAAGGTAGAGAAAAGAGAACATATTTTGCTGCCCTCTACTGTTAGTATTGCATTGCAACAAAAACACCTGGCACTTTAATGCTTCTATTGAAGTTTAACTTATCACCCCCAACACCCACCATTAGAAATTCCACCAGAGTCGAGATTTACTCTATTTATGTACCATTTTGGGGCGTACGGAATCCGGCAAATTGTTAAATCCGGTTTTCTGTAATTTTTTTTTTAAACAAAATGACAGTAAACGAATTCCAAAATCGTATTTGTCCGATTCTGAATGCTCTTAATTATTTAAAAGGTTATGGGAAAAGGGTAGGGGTGAACATTTGTATATTTGTATGACGCCTTTCATGTCGGGAGGACGTCCCAAAGCACTTGGACAGTCAAGGCACCCGAGCTGGGGGTAGGGATCAGAAGAGGTGGAGAGGAGGGAGGGTGGGGGTAGGAAGGTGACCTACACAAGGATAAAGGCTAACACAAAGAGTTCTGTGCTGTTAAATTTCCAAAATTTGTGAAAGTTTTTTTAACTCAAAAGGATCCATGAATATGTTTTGGAATTTATTATTTTTTTCTCGTTTACTTTTATACTGGTAAAGCAAGCCAGCGAATAGCATCTGTGCTTGCCGGAAAATGTGTTTTCCTCACATTTGTAACTCAATAGATGCCCTTTCTTTCTGTCTTAGAGGCTCAAGCGTTTCTTAAACAAACCCAAAAAGATCATCTGTTTAGAGTATCTGGGGACCAACGAGGAATATCATTCTTGGTACCAGTGGTTAGTTCACAAAATGGAGAAACATTACGGTTCAGCTATGGATGATAATGATTCTTTACAGCGAAACCTTTCAGTGGCAGGTATATCAACAATACTGCCCCAAAGATCTAAAATATGGGCTGTGAGTATGTAGAAAGACATGCGTAGATATGTTAACATTGTTCAATAGCTGTCATTAGAGAACAAGATTGGAGGAACAATTTAAAATTGCTTTGAATCAATTCTTGACCTGTTCGTTTCAAAATTAATAAGAAATAGTAATCCTTGCATTCGATACAGCGCACTGCACTTCACGTCAGGAGGACGTGACCTGTAAAGTGCTTCGCAGGATACACAGTGAAGTGCCGTGACTGTGTGGGAAACCGTCAGAGGAGATTCATTAATTAATCGCTAGCTTTGTGACAAAAAAAAACTGAATGCATAATGGAACAACAACAACTTGCATTTATATAGCACTCTTCTCTTGGAGAGCTTAACAGTTCCAGAGCTTGATACCAAGCCAGGAAAAAGTGATCGTAACAGCGGTCAAAGAGGAAGGTCTTCAGGTATGATCTGAAGACTGATGAGAAGGAAGCAAGGCGGAGGGATAGAGCGGAGAGTTCCAGAGTTTCGGGGCGAAGTGGCTGAAAGCATGACCGATGATAATGGAGAGAAGGAGCATGCAGGGGACAGGAGCCAACTAGCGAAAGGGCAGCTAGAGGAGTGGGGGAGTAAGCAGGTTAGAGACGTAGGGAGGCACCGGGGAATTAAGTGATCTATAATGGAGTGTGAGGAACGTAAAATCAAGCCGTTCTACAATAGGGATTGACAATAGAAATCCTCTTGCAACAGCCTAGGACATAAAAGTTAGCATTAATAGCGAGAATTCCATTCTGTTTAGAAGGATTTTCTCCTTCGAAGATTTCAAATACAGTATTTGCGCAGATCTTAATCAGACCATGCAATGCTCAAATCATTCTTGGCTTTTAAGGAACATGGCAACTGCTTGCCTTGCTGCCCACCACGATGGGTACAATACTGGCAGGATTTAATAACAGTGATAATAAAATAATCAATACCAAAAAAAAGAAAAACACTTCACCAAAAATACCAATAGTAAAAGTAACCCTTGCATTTGTCATAGAGCCTTATCACGTCGTTGAGATGTCTCAAAGCGCTTCACAGAATATATTGTAAAGTAGATTGACTGTATATTTTCTGGGCAAAGTATTAAAACAGAAAATACAAAACAAGCCCAGAGAATAAGAAAAGCAAAACAAACAATATTACCAGAATAAAACCTTTTCAAGAAATGCAAAGAAGTTTTATAGGCCTATTTGAGGGGAAAAAAACTCAAACAAATGAAAGAACCGCCTACTCTCGAGGTAGTAGAAGTTTTGGAAAAATAAACGGGGAGAAAGACAAACAACATAACAAAGAGGCTGAATGGATTAAAAGGCAAAACGAATGACCATCTTGTATATCAACCGTGGATAGATGTTTCAGAAAAAGAAGTTACAAATCAATTATGAAATCACGAAACTGGAAATCATCTGGCATGACCAGTTTGGTTGAAGAACTTTACATCAAGTCATGAAACAATTGTGAGAGAATTCTCAAAAAATCATCACAAATCCCAAAACAGCCCCCGAATGGCTGACATCTGGAGTTTAGTGTTTTTAACATGTTGCATCCCCGATTTTCCCTCCATTCCTTCCCACTCCCTAGTCCAAGAAAGCTGTTTGTGTCACTAAGCGGATCTTGTTAAAGGACGTCTCTTTTAAATTTGTAGGATGAGACTAGGGAATTTGTTTTTTATTATATCTTGCTTTCATTTCCCTTAAATGTTTGAAGAACAAAGTATGAGTTTAGTGTCTTGGAAATGAACATTGTGTCTGGTTTCAATATTCGCAAGCCAGGTTTGTTGAGTTAAATTACAACGCTTGCTTTAAGACTTTGCAGAAATTTGAGACCCAAACTTTAATTCCAAATTCAACAAATCACAAAAATTGAAATGAAACCAGTCATCTCTGCTTTTTGATTCGTGTTTATTTGAGAGGAATCAATATCTGCCATAACTTGCAGAAGAAATTTGCGCATCAGTACATTTGTGTTGATTTAGAAAACATAAAATAAATTGTGGTTTGCTCCATTATCTGTTATCCTAACCCTAATTGATTGTTAAAGGGAATTACTGCCCCCAGAAAAGCGATCCGCCAATTGACTTCAACCGGGTTCCTACTTGCTGCTAGGTGAACGGAGGAGTGTGGAGTAAGGAAACTTGCCTAACGTTTTGTTTTGCCCTACCTGGGTATTGAACCCCAGTCTTCTTGCCTGTGAGGCGAGTGCTCTAACCATTAAGCTTCAGTACGCCACAGTACTTTGTCGATGTATAGCACACATATCTGTAGCTAAGCAAATTGCATGTGCTGTATTGTGTAAAGAATATTGTAAAGTATTCAAAATTTAAAGCCAAATGCTTTGATTTTTATCTTCTAGGTTTTAACAAAAGAACTCAGTGGTGTTAAATTTCACAATGAAGCATCAACATTGCTGTTGCCTTTTTTAGTGGCAGTCATCAATCTGTTTGTGCCGTTATTGTTCTCTTTTATTGGCTTTGTGGAAAGATTCAAATACCCACGACATGAGATATACGCTCTCATTATAAGGTATCAATTTTAATTGTCGCACGAGTAACTCTTTCGAAGGTCGGCTGCATTGAATTCTATCGTTTTCTGTTATGTTTTCAACAATTTTGTTTAAATGGTGGTGGTAAAAGGGCATGAACTCCTGAGGTTTTCTTCACAACAGTCAAAATATCACAATAACAACAGCAACATGCACTTACATATCGCCCTCCACACAGGGTAGTGTCTCAGAGCGCTTAACAGTGGCAGAGCCTGACTCCGAGACGTGGGGGTAGGTGGCTGTAAATACGGTTGAAAAATAAGTTTTTCAGGTGGGACTTACAGTCAATCCTCAAACTGTGCTGAGTTAGCTAATCTCATCCTGACAGCAGTAAGAGCAGTACAATTGGCGTTGGTGTCCAGGCTTAGAAGAGAAATATCGACCAGACTTCTGATGTGACTTCTAGTCACTGAGCAGTAACTCTAGGCTTGAAACTGCCTGAAAGTACAACTTATGCAATGGATTTCTCATTGAATTTTTCATTGAATAGAGGAGTATCGCATTCATTGACTGCCATGATTCATTAAAGTAGAGTGGATGTAAATATTGAATCAGCCACATGCAATGTACACAGATTGTTGCAGGTTTTCGGTTCTGTCTGTCTTATCTGCATCAAGTGTCCTCAGAGACCTCTTTTTGGTCAATTTCGGCTACTTCTGGCTATTGCTCATTCCAAGCATCTTCTACACTATGCACTGTTTTCATACGTACAAACAGGCAAGCTCAAACTAACCCAGGTTTACAATTAAAATAAAAAATTACATTTGTATAGCTCCTTTACGTCGGGAGCATGTCCCAAGGTGCTGGACAATCAGTGATTCGGACCCGAGCTGGGGATCGGGGAGGGCGGAGGGCAGTAGGGGGAAGGATGGTGACTGAAGACACCGTCGAAGAGGAGGGTCTTGTGACGGGTCTTGAAGGAGGCAAGGGAGGGGGCGAGACGGAGAGACAGCGGGATGGGGTTCCAGAGGGTGAGGGCAGAGTGGCTGAAGATCCGCCCACCAATGGTGGGGTGGCGAGGTGGGGGCCGTGAAGCAGACCGGAGCACGCTGAACGGAGGGAGCAGACAGGTTGGTAGGGGGTTAGGAGGTCGCAGAGATAGGGGGGAGCAAGGTTAAGGAGGGCTTTGAAAGTGAGGACTAGAATCTTGCACTGTATCCTCTGTGTGATGGGAAGCCAGAAGTTGGGTGAGGATGTGGGTGATAGGGTCACGGAGTCTGGTGCGGGAGAGAACACGCTGCAGAGTTCAGGTTACTCTGCAGCCTATGGAGGGAGGAGTTGGGGAGGCCGACAAGCAGATAGCTTGTGTAATTGAGCCTGGATGTTATGAATGTGCGTATGAGGGTCTCGTTGGCCTGGGGTGTGAGACGGGTGGAGCCGAGCGATTTTGCAGAGGTGGGGAAAGGCGGAGCGGGGCATGGTGCAGATGTGGAGTATGAAGGCCAGTTGAGGGTCGAACAGGGTGCCAAGGTTCCGTATTGGCTCCATGAAATGAAGAGTGCATCCATGAAGGGAGATGCTGTCAGCGCCCAAGGTATGGAGGTGCTGACAGGAGCCAAGCAGGGGGGGGCCTTGGTCTTGTTGACATTCAACTGTAGGAAGTTAGCTCTCATTCAGGATTTGATGTTCCACAGGCAGTCTGTGAGGACAGCAGTGGTCCTGCAATCGAGGGTGGAGGCAGAGAGATAGAGTTGGGTGTCATCCGCATACATGTGGAAGTTGACCCATGTCTGCGGATGATGTCACCAAAGGGGAGCACATAGTTTTTGAAAAGGAGAGGGCCTTAAGGGACACCACATGTGATGGTGTGGAGACTGGAGGAGAAGCCATTTGTGGCGACAAAGTGGAGAAGGTGGGAGAGGTAGGATTCGAACCAGGCAAAGGCAGGTTCGTGAAGATTGAGCTGAGAGAAGTGGCGGTGTAGGAGGGTAGAATGGTCGACAGTTTCGAATACAGCAGAGCGGTCGAAGAGGACAAAGAGGCAGAGAAAGCCCTGGTCGTTGAAGTTAGTATAACACCGAGAATCACTCTTCGGTCTCCAGGAATTAAAGGCAGAAACCTATCAACGATCTCACCAGTTACCTTTTCCAATTTAAAAAAATAAGCTTTGGATTCAAAAACTAAAAGCATACTATCAATTTTTATATTTTTATATTGAATATGGGCACACACAGACTTTAAAAGAGATGAGTAAATTAAAGCACACTTACAACACAGAAGGGTTTATCACCAAACTGCTTTTTCTTCTAGGTAAATGACACAAACAAACAATCTGGTTCTCTTTCTCTCTCTCTCTCAATGTGTTTACACCTGAGTGTGAACAGCTGGAAAGATGATGTTTCCTCAATCATCTTCCAGATGTCACGGAGGGACTGCTGTTGATTGTTTTGACTGCTGCATTCGCTGTACGCACATTGTGGCTTGGTAGCTTTCGTTTTCTTTTCATCAAAATGGTCCCACGAGTGTATAATTGTTTAGCAAACCATTGCTTTTCATGTCTGAGCCAGGAAAGCATACAAGCTTGTATAGTAGTAAATCTGAGAACTTCTCTCTTACAGGAACGTTATGCTGAGAATGTCAATAATTGTGGTTTTATGTTACTACTGGTTGGAAGTAGTAGCTAACCACTTAGAGGTACGTTCCACAAAGTCTTGACTTTTCAAATCTGATGCTGTCGTTCAATTGTTGCTAAACCCAATTCATTACTGGACTATAAATTAACCCATGTCATTTCAGATGTCAAGCAACATATTTATGGGAGTAAATACCAGTGTTTTAGTTCTTTCTCTTTAAATGCCTGTTGCCTATGTGCTGCTAGTTTGACAAACCTTTTCAAGTAAAAAACGGACTCAGTGTTTTGCAAATGTGCTATTTGTTTTGTTACAGTGTTGGGAAACATTTGTAGGCGAGGATCTGTATAGGCTTGTGGTGATGGATTTTATCTTCTCACTCTTGGGATCCTTTTTTGGAGAGTTCATCCTAAGGTATGCTGTACTCTAGTCTCAAGGGTTTAAGTGAGGCAGGTTTTTGGACTTGAGACGAGATGTGATTAAAGGACATTATTTAGCATTTGCAATGTAATTAGATAAATATTATAGCTCTGGGATCCAAACTTCGACATCAGGTCAGGAAGCCATCTGGCACTATCTTTGCAGATTCTGTTTCCCGGAATTGCTGTTTTCTTCAGACCTTACTGCACAGAAGCTACAGATACTAGCCTTTCTGTGTCACTTTACAGGATAGGGTCATAACTGAATCAATATCCTGGATCAATGGCATCCATGGTCTGGGCCCGGGATCTGTTTATTCAAAGAATCAGTTTCTCAGAAAAAAATAATCCTATCATTTGATACAGTAATAATCCTTTCAGTTCACGCACAGTACTGTCCCTCAAATAGCCATGAAGTGAGTGAGTGACCAATTTTATTTGGCAGACTGTTGGCCAAAACACTGGGAGAAACTCCCTTCTGTTTTCGAATAATGCCATGGGATCCTTAACGTCTGCATGAACAGGCAAACAGGACCTTACTTTAACATGTCATCTGATCGAAGGCACCCCCAACATCACCTGAGCATCAGCCTAGATTATATGAGTTCAGTCTCAATGGGGCTTGAACCCACAACCCTCTTGACTCAGAGGTGGTTGATCCTCATAAACGATATCAATTTCTTTCATAATCTAAACAAAAAAATAGGGCTGAGGAAAGAGGAAGGAAGCTCTGTGCAACAAGCTGATTACCTTCCTGGCATGATAAGGTAGCTTTACCTACGAACATCACAGACGTGGCTGTTTAAATGTTTTCTCATTTAAGTTCACATATCAGCACCATGTTATTCTGAATCCAAACCTGCGGGTAAATCCACTTGGCTGATTAATTCGGAACCATTTCATGCAAGCATTTCGCTACTTATTGACACTGAGATACTGTTGCTTTGCGTATCTCCATCTACAAAACCAATTATACCTGAATTTAGAATTCCCGTGCAATGCCACCAATCCACACATCTGCTTAGTGAGGCAGAGCCGTGATGAGGCCAAACACAAATTCTTTATTGCGAGCAAGCGTGAGAGTTCATGATTTTCACAAGTGGGACAGTGAACAGGTAGCAAAAGGTAGTCGTTCATTTGGCAATTTAGCGCAGATATGCTGTAGGTTTAGAGACGGAAAGAGAAAATCACAGCGTCAAAGAAAGAGAGAGTGAGAGAGACAGAGAAAAGAATGAGAAAGTTAGAGAGAAAGCCTTGAGATAGATTTTTTTAAAAACAAAGTCTCGGGGATGGAATGAAAGACCCATTATCCACATTGTTCCATATCCTATTAGTACAGATTTTGTACTCTATGTATCAGAAATGCGATGATTTTTACAAATGTTTTTCAGTGTCATGGGGACTCATTGCTGCAAAAGACTTGGCGTTCCAGAATTTGACATTGCAAGGAATGTGCTGGGTTTAATCTATGCGCAAATTCTGGCATGGTAAGCGGCCTTAAACGATACCTTATCAAATGGAAGAAATATTTTTCGTATCTTTTGCCTGTAAATGTTTCATTATTTTGCTTTCAAAAGGCATGCTTGCTTAAAATGCTTCTTTTTTTTCCGTTTGAAACACCTTTTAGGATTGGAATGTTTTTTGCACCTCTCTTACCAGCAATACAGGTCATCAAGTTCTTTGTAATATTTCACGTTAAAAAGGTAAGACAACCATTCGGTTACAAATATATGTAATGCTATTTAACTGCAATGTTTACTGACTGGTTAAAGATTATAAATAACAGTGCTTTACCAGTTTTGCAGTACACTGCAGATATTTATGTCCGATTTAAGATCAGAGTATATTTTCAACACAGAAGAAAGCCTCTGCGTATTAAATACAACAGTAATTTGTTGGGCCATCAATATTGCGCCATCAATATAAAATAGTCACAAATAGGTCAAATAGGGAAGAAATTTCTTCACACAGAGAGTAGTGGGAATGTGGAACTTGCTACCACAAGGAGTTGTTGAGGCAAATAGCATAGATGTATTTAAGGGAAAGCTAAATGGGTACATGAGGGAGAAAGGAATTGAAGGTTATGCTTGAAGGCTTAGTTGAGGAAGAGCAGGAGGAGGCTCATGTGGAGCATAAACACTGGCATAGACCAGTTGGGCTGAATGGCCTGTTTCTGTGCTGTATATTCTAATATTTTCTAATGTATCGTTTAGTGTAGGTCCTGTAGCTCAGTGGTTAGAGCACTCGCCTTGCAAGTGAGTGACCTGGGTTCGATTCCTGGCAGTCCAAAACCTTGAGCAAGTTTCCTGACTCCACATACCTGATAATAATCCCTCAAGAAGAAAAAAAACCAATAATACACTGCTCACTTCAATCCACGACTGTTTGTGGTACGCTGCTGTGTGCAATTGGATCCGCGTTTCGCCCACAAATATGCAACCAATTCACTTCACAGTAAATAAATGGAATCTTGTTGTTGTTGTTGACCGTATATTCTGTGAAGTGCTTTGAGACATCTAAAAAAATGTGAAAAGCGCAATATCAAATGCAAAGATTATTATTATTATAATTTGTCCACAATCTCAATCCATAACCCTAATAAGCCTTTGTTGTTTTACAGAGAGATGCTAATTAATCCCTGTGAATTTGTGTTTAGGTTAGTCTAATGATGAACTGCCAGCCTCCTCGCAAGGTGTGGCGAGCTTCCCACATGACAACAATCTTTATCTTCCTGCTGCTCTTTCCTGGTTTCGTTGGTGTCCTTACCTTGTTGGGAATAGTTGTGTGGAAGTAAGAGCTCCAGAATTTTTAAAATCTAGTGCCACAGACCTGGCATTATTGACTTGTGCCCATGTCTTTCATTTGGAAAGTAATAAGAATGTTTCTCAGGGTTATTAATTATAAGACAAATTCAAGGTTAAAGACTCAGAATCACTACTTGTCAAATCCTTGTATCATTCAACAAACACATGCACTTATCTCCACTGATCAATACTATTTCAAGCTGTAGATTCCGTATTTGTCATGTTATTCATTTTCTGTATATTCATATTTCTTTTTCAACAGAAAAAAATCTTCTGAGACCTGTGGGCCCTTTAGAGGAGTGCGCGCACCCTATGAATCAATTTCCAGCTTTATTGACCGACTAGAAGAAAATTATTCTGAACTCACGTGGTTTGTATGGATATACAAAAATTTGTTAGAGAATTCATTGTTCTTCTTCCTCCTGTCAACGATGGTGCTGTAAGTATTGCCCACGTATTTCGTAGAACGCATTAACCCGGTGACAATCACAATCGAAAGATTAATTTTAACAAGTGCCACATTATGTTGTGGAGCACTGTAGCATATTGGTTAGAGCTCTTGCCTCGCAAGTGAGAGAACCTGCATTCAATTCCCAAGTTTTGCAGTGCGAAACGTTGGGCATGTTTCGTTACTCCACACACTTCTGTTTACCTAGCAGTAAGTAGGAACCCGGTTTTTAGTCGATTGGCAGATTGCTTTTCCAGAGGTAACAATCCCTTCCAAAAAAAATAATAATTTGGTCACTCAATCCACGTTTGTGGGACATTGCTGTGCGCAATTGGCTGCCGAGTTTCGCCCACAAAACATACAGTCAATTCACTTTACGGTATATTCTCTGAAGGGATTTGAGTGGTCTCAAAGACATGATAAGGCGCTATATCAAATGCAAGGATTATTATTATTAGTGCAGGCTGAAATATTCTGAACGTCTCGGGACAGCAGTGGAAGAGTGACATTTCCCAACTGCTCCGGACATCATTTTAGTTCCTGCCCGTTTTCACATCGCGAGCACAATCCCCAGAGATTGGCATTTATTTTGGCCATTGGTGTCACGGAATGTCTTCAATTCAACTCTCTTTCCTTCCTCTCTTTTAAATAGTGCTGCGATCTATCTGTACTTACAAATTATAGACGGACGGAGAGTGATGGTGGGACTCCTACAGGAGCAAATTGCTCATGTAAGTGTGAGATGCAGAGGGCCTCATTTCCTCACAGTATTTGTGGTTCTTTCTGTTGATTCTCATTTTATTGCTGCTTTCATTAGCGGTCAAGTTGGTGACCCCTTTTGGCAAGTTCTGCTTTAAACACATGCGGAATATCACCTCCCGATCAGGCAATTACCATAGGATCATCAAGGGCTAAATCTGACTCACTAATGGTTTGATCCCATTCTGGATAACAGTGCAAAGATTATCAAAATTGCACTTAGATTTTGGGGGAAAATGTTCCATTTTGGAAAGAAACAGCAGTCTCATGCCAAACGCGATGAGACGGCTGTTAAAATATGACTTGTGTGGACGATGTACAAAACCTAAAAGCTAATTTTACGGATTAAAATGTACTTTCACTCGTAGGAAGGAAAAGACAAAGCATTTCTGCTGGGTAAGCTCAGTGCATTACAAACCAGCAAGGAAGAGAGTGAGATTGAACCACGGAAATCAAGCCCTGAGGTTGGTAAACACATACACCTGTTAACCCTACAAACTCAGTGATTGAGTGGTTTTTTTTTTCTTCACAAATTTTTCCACCTTCCCTCCTCCTGTTCTGTTCCTCTCCTCCTTGCCTTTGAGTCCTTTGTTTCCTGCTAGGATATGATTCCACAGGTGTCAGATGCTAGCAACGAGGTAGATTCTCTTGTGTAAGCCTTTGCAGCCAAGGCCAATTATGTCCTCAACTAACAGTCAGGAGCCACTGGATATCCATCAGAGGTGTAAATGCTGCTTGATTTTCTCCTTCCTAGTCCAAGGGCACTGGGCCCCGTGTGCCACCCCAGCTGAGATCAGCTAACTCAGCACGAACCAAAGATCGAACCTTGGCCTTTTCCTGGTTCATATGGTTCAGTTGTCCATTGGATAAAACTCATTGAGCCATCGGGAGACTGACCTATTGAGTCCAACCAGCAAAATATCTAATTTCTTGTAAAGTATAATCAATTTTGAACGTAGAAAATAGTAACGAGGTATTTTTTTGTAAAGCTCTTTGAAATATTTCAGTATGTTAAGGCAACCTATCAAAAGCGAGTTATTATTTTACTAATTTACTTCTATGTAACTATAATAAGAATCCTTGCATTTGGTACAGCTCCTTTCACAAAAGGGAGGATGTCCCAAAGTGCTTCAGAGGATATACTGTAAAGTACAGTGACTGTGTTTTGTGGAGGCAAACAGCAACCAGTTTGTATGCACAGCAGTGTCCCACAAACAGTCATGAAGTGAATTACCAATTTTTATTTGGAGGATTGTTGGCCAAGATACTGGGAAAAACTCCCTTCTCTTGTTGAATAGCGCCACAGGATGTTAAAACGACCACATGAACAGACAGACAGGGCCTTAGTTTAACGTCTCACCCAAAGGACAACCCCTCCAACAATCCGTCATTGGGTGCTGCATTGTTGGAGGTGTTCAGACTGTANTTTTTTAGGTAGTATCTTTATTAGGAACACATTCATTTGGTTTGCTGTTTGTACTGAATATGGCAGTTTCCTCTTTTATAGAACCTTGGACAACTAACAGCAGAAAATGTTCCACCATAAGACATTATCTCTTCGCATTTCTGCTCTGAAAATTTCTACAGCTCTTCATATACGGAAGATCAGGCTATTCCCTCTCTCAGCAAGTTTTTCATCAGGCTTTTGAAATCAATTTCATGACACAGTCATCTCAATGAACTACCCCTCGCAAGACTTGAACTGCTTTCACTGTCTCACTTGATCACTGTTTTTCCATCAATTATCTTTCGTCATTTGGTGTCATCTTTGAGCTCAAGGGTGTGTTGTACCTGGAGTCGGGCTGATCCTTGGCACCACAATGTGAGTGAGTGGCATGTTGCAAATCAACATGTGGGAGGCGCGTGTGTGTGTGTGTGTGTTTGGGTGTGGGTGGGTGGGCAGGCCTTTTTGGTCTAGCACCTGGGGAGGTGTCATATGAAAGTACGACATCTCCCCAGCAGGAGAGGGGGTGGGGTGGGTGGGGAGAACGGGAGGATAGGTTAACCCTATCACTCTCTTGTGTGCCTCCTAATGTCCTGCTCTGAGCAAACGATGCAAATGGCCAGGAACAGACCTGCTTGCCCTCGGTTCACGAATGGGAGTAGGTCCAGGGGCGACGTGAGGAGGTGGGGGGAAAAATAACTTACAATGTGTTGAATTAAGGAAATTATGGCAGCTGATGAATTTGTCTTATCATATGTACGATAAAAAGAAAGTATCAAACTAATCTGTGCACCTATATGTTATGAATACCTCTAGTGGATAGCTCCAATTCCCCCCCACTCAAAAAAAAAAGGGACTTTTGACAGGTCTTTCATGATTGTAAAGGGTTCATTCCCATTTCGAAGGAGTGAAAATAGCACCGTCTACAGGTGAGATATTCTGACTAAATTATAAGAACTTCCGATTGAATTCCGGACGCCACATGGACCTTCGTTGTACAATCCCACCTGGGTACATTACTCTATTCTTACTAACGTAGGGTTCCAGAGTGTCCAAAATTTTGGACACAATCTCAACTTCAAAGCTGCTTGTCTGTTGACTGTAAAAGAATTCTCAGAGAAGCAAACTCTCTGAAAATTTAAGGCGTATTTAAGAATTTGCCAAATACTAAAAAAAATCCTTACCAGCATAGACTAGCTGGGTCGAATGCCCTGGTTCCATGCGGTATCGTTCTATATAAGAATTCTGGATGCTCCGAAATGCTGAGTTAGATTAAATCCAGCCCAAGGTGGGATTTTTACCCTATAGTTTCAGGGATGTGAAATTACAAGCCTGTGGACAAGTAACATTCATGGTTGTAGAATGTGAAGAGGTATTGTACGTCTGTATGTGTGAACAGAGTCACTGGTTCACCATTGCTACTCAATGCCTCTTTGGCGGCAGCTTTGCTTTGTTTCAGTCTCATTCTGCACGTAATCAACACACAGCCAAAACAATTCTATTCTCGATTGTTCCCTTCACATCCCTCAGAACTCTTCTTCTGCTATTTGAAGGAATTCAAGAGGTTACTTACCCTGAGTATTCTTTTCATTTCTAATGTCCTTCTTTATAATCTCTGGCCTGTCCAATCTGTACACCCCNTTTTTTGTAAGCTTGTCAATAAAAACACTATAACTTTAAATATAAAGCTTAGGTTTCTGTTTCAACTGTGTTTGTAACTATCCTTTGTTTGGAATTGAAACTAGCTTTTTTTTTGTCAACAGCCAGAGGCACCTCAATGATTATTCTCCATTCCTGTATTTTCCTATGTTTCGATGCTACCTGCGGGCTCTTTCCCTGATGAATAATTTGATGAAAGATTGATGCGCATTGATTTGAAGGTGGGGAAAAACAAAGCTTTATTTGCAACAGGAGAAAGGCTCACCTTATCATTTGGGTGACTGTTTGCAAAATGTCACAAGCCATTGTTTCAATTCCGCAGACTGAAAATGGGAGCTCAGTAGCTCGAGAATATCTCTCTCGTCATTGTTAAAATGATCTAGAAGTGCCTACCTCTGATTAGACAGGATAGAAACTATTCTATTCATTACCCTAATCCCAGTTTCTCTCGCTTGCTTCAACCACAAAGCTACAGGCAACAGATTACATTTGATGCAATTAACGACAGCCTTGTCAATGTTAAAGTGCTTTGTCAGACCTCAGCAAAACTCTAGAAGTGCCTAACTACGATCAGACAGTATCGAAACTAATCTGCTCATTACTCCCAATTTCTATTAAGGAAAATATGCACATGCTTTTCAATTTCTATCTGTCGTCCCTCGTTGAGTTTTACACATTAAAACCTCCTGTACCTGCTGTTTCTGCTACGACCATATTGATTTTGAGATACTTTGCCTTCCTAACATTCTTTTGCTTGCTTTTGATGTATCCGGAACGAAAAAGCGAAGGACAGGGAGGAAGATAGAAGATGGAATAAGTGAGAGAAGTAAAAGAGAAAAGAGGAGAGAGAGTGAAGACAAAGAAAGATAGCGAGAACATATCAACGCCACTTTTATATTATGCAAGATCTTACCGTGTTCATTCTATTTTCATTGTAATGCAGACGTGGAGCTATTTTTTCACCACTTCTCATTTTGTTTCAAAGTGACAAAAGCCCATTTTAAAGTCAATTTTTAACAATTTTCCCCATAAATACCTCGTTTTTCTTCTTTTGTGAAAGTTGAGCAGTTNAAAAAACGATAGACAGACATAGATAAATGGAGAGAGACAGACAGACAGACAGACAGACAGCAACTATTGAAATTCATATTCAATGCTTTGCAGAGATCAAAAACAAATGTTTCTTCAACAATTGAATGATTTTTGTCATTTATAATTTTTTATTGCTTTATTAGCCTCCTTCGTCATCACATTATGGAGCACCAGGAAGGTCAGCCTACCACAGGCGCAGTAAGTATCAATAAAAAAAATACGCTCTGTCCTTTTATAACTTCGAGGAGTATGACTTCTACAAGTAGCAGTTTCTCAGCAACGCAATACGAGAGTCTGTCAGGGGTCAAGGTTTGCCGGCTAAGATTTGCAAACCTGGTGCAGTTTGGATTCCAGTTGTTGTGTAATACACATTTAGAATCAGCGCGTTGTACCCTTGACAGTGCTTCCACCGGCCTGTATGATGTGATACATCTGAAAATGGAAAACACCAGTTATAGTCATGCGAGTGGCAGGAATCTGGTCGTGTGGTTTCATCAGTAAATGGTGAAAATAGATTGTTCAGTTGTTCCCAGTAGCCAGGTAAACACTACCAATGACAAATGAGAGAGAAATGTACAGAGCCGAAGAGCAATACTGGGGCCTAAAATGCGATATTGATATCAACAACAACAACCTGCATTTCTATAGGACTCTTCGTGTAAGGTAGTGTAAGTAAAACCAAGGGTACAATGCCCAATTGTAGCATTTCCAATGCAGAGGGGACGCAAGTATATCCTGCCCGCTCCATATTCACGAGAACGTTGTTCACTTATGTTTTCAAAATGATGCAAGTGCTTCTGCATCGAGCTTAACAGCTCTGTTTCTTCAAACTTTAAAGAGCAGAGAGCCTTCAGTGACTTCAAGAGGAGTAACAAAATACATCCAGGTATTCAATTTTCAATAGGTGGCTTGATCATGAAGAAACATCCCAGATTTTCCAATTTCTGTTTCCAACTATTAATCTGAGATCAAATGACTGATCTAACGAGTGTTGCTTGTGTTTTATATGTATATATATCAAATCAATAATTATTTGGCGGTTGCAAATGCCTGAACTTCGGAGGACTGCAACATAAAATAAAGATTCGGTGGAGAATTGAGATAGTTCGAATTATGTTGACAAAGCAGGAAGTTGCATTTTAAGAATCTTTGTATTCCTTTAAATTCAAAACAATATTAGAAACTTAAGAAAAATGTAAATTTTGCAGATGTATTTTGAATGATAGAAAAAATCTTGCAGTACTCACAGGTTTGGTAACATTAACTTGCTTTGAGTGAACATTTCCTAACTGAATCGTTGTTGGGTTTGGAATCTGCTATTTTGAGGAGCTGCACTGCGTTTGCTGTGTTATCTGTTTGGTGCATTTCCCTTATACAAAATATTTACACTAACATGTACGTGGGGAAGTAAATACTGCATTATTTATGTAAGGAATGGTGGTTCATTAACACCTTACACAATCCAGCTGTTGAATGATATTAATGTGGAAAGCAGAGGAGGTAAAAAGAATATGATTCTTTTTTCTTTCCCTCTAAGTTGACTTTTTAAGAATGGATTTCATCATTTGACCAACGTGGTGCCATTTTTCTCAGCTGGTTGAAACCCCCTTAATTCCTACATCTTCGCCCCTACATTATCATCAGGGTTGTGCCTCCACTGATGTTGCTTTCTGCTTTTCAAAGGAAGCGACTCTCTTTCATTAAAGGTTAATGTTTCAGATGAAACGCTTCATCAGAACACAAAGCGACACGCCTGCAATGCTAATTTACTTTCTCTGTCGAGTGCTGATTCAATAGTGTTTCTTGTTTTTATTTCAAATTCGCGTTTTCATTGATTTCTCTTTCACTCATTAGGACCCAAGAAGACTTCTTGAGTTTTTTTTTACTCAGTTTATTTTGTCTCCTTTTTTTTTCCACAGAAAAAACACACTGTTCTGATACTTGTGTTCAAACTTAATGCACCACTATCAGGAGAAAGAATACAGCGATAGCGCTCTGTGTGGGGGGAATGTTTAGTGTAATGCAGCCTGGAGCTACTGACCTCTAAACCTGTGGACGCACTCCCAAATCCGCCAAACGCTAATCCCTGTTTTAATCCCAACCTCACGGTCAGCAGCTAAACTGCAAAACCTCTTGGAAGCAACGAACAGCACCAGAGGTAGAGTCGTTAGCTGCGCATGCTTTGCCATCAGAACCGTCAGCACTGGCCGCACGAAGGTGAAGTGTCCATTAGTTACACGGCAGGTCACTGCTCCTTGGGGCACAATTGGTATTATTTCCCAAAGCTTTTAGCCCGTGGTTGAAAGCAGTCAGTGACAGGGGGAGCAGCATCTTGCATCAAAAACTTTTCTACTTTGCCCTTTGTTCTCTAGCGTTTCAAAATACATTGACATCGACTTTGCTCCCACAGTATCTCATGGAAACTCTACCATCAGCGATTACAGTGAAGAGTTGGATATGATCAATGATTTTGAAATGGACCGAGGTAATTCATATTCGTTTTAATAACGTAACCCCCGAACAAATTCATTTCTTTATAACAAAACTACGGAGCACAGCTTATTTGTAACTGGTACGACTGAATTATTACAACTTACAGTAGGACAAGTTTATTTATTTTGAGTTTACAGCCTAGATCAGTGAGAATAGGAGCTTTCTGCATTTGTAATTATTGGTAACAGTGGCTTTATACATTATTTTAAAATGTCTCGTCTCCAGTTCTAATATGAATTAAAAATCTGAATTGAAGACATGAATTCAACAAAACTCTGTGGTGTGACACATAGATACCAAGCATGAAAAGGAGAGAGGCGTCTTGAGACTTTCTACTTCACCATAGACAAAGGTTGCAGTTGTGACATGTCAGACTATTCGTGCAGACATCACAAGAAACGTTGGAATGCAGAAGGCCCTTTGGCCATTTTATTTTATCCTTTCACCCTATCGTCCACCTATCACAGCACCAAACTGTTTCTCAAATTAATCAAGTGTGCTGACCTCAGCTACCCTTCACAGCTACCTGTTCCCATCATTAATTACCCTCTTGTAAATAAATACTTCCTGGTGTCTGTCCTGAAATTGCCCTGGGCTCTCTTGTTCTGCTGCCTTGATGTATCTGAACGTATTATTCCAGTTTTACTTTCTCAACCCCAATCTCAGGTGACCTGTGTACCCTATAATGATTCTCTCTGGGACATCTCTTTTCAAGGCTGAAGAGGCCTGGCTTATCTAACCATCCAAATAGTTTGTGGTTGAAGTAGTCATGGTGCAGGCAGGGAATAGAGTGCCACTTTAGGCTGCTCTCACACAATAAGTGGTTTGCAAACCATGATCATTTTTATCTCTCAGTGAGTGACTTTAGCTTGTTTTCCTCTCTTACAGAACAACCACAAAATCACTCAGGTGTAAGAAATGGGGCTCCTAATGCTCTTGCACTGGTCTTATCTGCCAGGCAACAAGCAGAAGAGGAAATGGACATGGACTATTAACCACTCTCGTATATGAGCATCTGAATGTCACAAGATTTTCCCCTTCGTTGTTTTCAAGTTGTCTGCTGGTTTCAATAACAAATAATGCAAATACATTTTTATCCCATTTGAAAACCTTTCTCCTACTCCGAATTAATGCCTGAATGATGTTAGAAACCAGAATTAGACTCAGACGAAGTGTGTCTATTTTGTACCTAATGTAATTATAATGCAATGTCTCAGATTGTTTATTCCTAAAGAGATTATTTAAATTTATTTTAACAAAATAACATTTCAAAGATAACATGTAAAATTGCTTGAATAAAAATCTTTGAAATTTCTGAACAGGAAACTTGTCATTAATCTCCATTCGGTAAAGTTTTAGCGGTTTTACACAGATTTCCATACTGCACACCGTGAATGGAGTTGCAAATGTTATTCAGAGGGCTGTTGAATTCTGCACCGTGGCCAGTCTGTCTTGTTACAGCTATTTAAATCAAACATTCTTAGTCATTCCAGACTTATTTGCTGAAATATATAGAATGGCTGTTTGCAGATTGTACAATATACAAAAGATGTTCATCATCAAAGCACAAATACACTGTTATCACTGGCATCTCAATCACATTCAACAAAAATAAGTTTGGTACATATTTAACTAGCAGGATAGTAATCTTAGCAATTAATGACTTAAACAATAAAATACATTACTGGCTTCATCTTTATTGAATCAGAATCTTCTCAATTGCACATTCTGCTTGTAAGTCTTCTCGGTTAAGAGTAACGCAATAAGTTTACTAAAACATACAATATTCTCTGTAAATAATTTAAAGAAATTGACATTGCCTTTATCGAGAAACCTAATACAAAAGCAGTTGAAGAGAATCCCTTCAATCCTTATTCTGGTAAATAACCAATTAAGCACCAGTTACAGTAATTTTCCCCAGCAAACTACTTGCTCTTATGCAATGATAGTATTTTCCCTGCCTTCATCAGTGGATTGTAAACAGAACTAGGCTCCTAGTCACAGACCCATGGATTATTTATTCTGCAACTACAAAGTCATTCATAAGGAGTAAGCAGCAAAACTGGATACTTTACTGAGTTGTAAAAAAAATTAATACAGAACTGTCAATGTTTTATTGAAACGTAACCCTGAGGAAATCTTGATTAACGCAAGCAAAATGCATTCATCAGGCTGCAGCTTGTAAATTATTATTGCCTTAGTTAGAAACACAATAAATAAATGAAATAAAAATACATGTATTTGATGTTGCACCTTATCACATCAAAGAGTTTCACAGAATATACTGTAAAGTGAATTGACTATGTATTTTGTGGATGAAACGTGCCAGCCAATTGCATACAAGTGTTCCAGTCATGGATCAAATTGATCAAAATTGAGTGACCTGGACACGCTCGCTTATGACGCGAGCGTGATATCCACAACGCTACAAGACTCCACAGAATAAAAAGAATAATCATTTCCTGACAGATTAATAATGCTCCAAATTCTAAGTGTTATCAGAGCAACTATGTGGATCTTGACGCAAATGAGAGTACATACCCTGAACCTTTGTGCTTTGCAGTCAACACTGACTGTGCGAAAGTGTGTACGTGGCGATGTGTTCAGAATAGGAACGTGTTTTGCTAACTTCCTTTTATACAAAAGTAGCAATTTATGAATCAGCAAACCTAGTCATAGGTTAGCACCAGAATTCTGCAGCCCTGCTTATTAATCATTCAGGTAGGTAAAATTTACAGAACCAACCATTCTTATCAGCTTTGATCTTTCCGCCTATAAATTGTACTTTAACCGGGATCTGCAAATGTTGTTGCAACATAATCGGGGTGGAACTTACTGCTAAACTCAGTGATGTTGATGATTTGGGGATCCAGATGACACATTTCCACGTTATGAGCCCACCGGAGAATTATTTAAATGCAAAAAGGAAGAGTTATTGGACCTTAAAATGAGTCATGAATGCAGATTCCACCTAATCGTAGCCCGTAAGACCGTTTTGTCTTGAAGTTTAAGACTGGGTTGAGTTGTGAAAAGCTCTTGAATTGATTTTTTGATGGCATCACCCAATCTGGCACAGAGTCAAACAGACAAGAAGACTGCAAGTTTGATTCCTTTGTCTGTGCTGAGGAATATTGCCAATCAGCCGTGGAGATGGCTGTTATTTCAGCACCACAAGATTAGGGAATGGAAATTGCGAAAGGGAAAACCGTTAGTAAAAGAAAAATAACAGTTTAAAAAAAACTCAATTGTTTCAGGAAGTAATGTTACGCATTTTGGGACAGCAGACGAGAGGTGACACAGATACAAAAACACCCTTTTTGAGTCCATTGTGGAGAGAATTAGCAAAGGTTTAAAATCAACGTGCAACAAAATCCACTCGCTAGATTACAAACTGCTGCTAAACAAGGCAACAGTAATTTACAGAACAATGCAAATGTGTCTTAACCTGTTCAAAAAAACCTCATCATCCTTCATAGTATTAAAACGCAATTGAAGAGGCAGATATCAAACACCTGGTTTAATAAAGTACAATATTTAACCACTTAGGTCACGATCCCTACACCGTCAGACCACTAATGGTATTTTCTATAGTAACGTTTCGGGAGTGACACTGTTCCTGGAGAGTGTCAGTGATGTATGTACAATTGAGAATATTTTCATAGTAGCATTTTTCGTACGAGTCATTTACAGACCAGGCGACCACTTCAACCCCCCGGTCTGCCCATTGCTGAATGTAACTCCTGCAAATTAAAACGAAATGGAAGAGTTTAACCACAAAAATACCACTTTTTGAAACTATCTGTCGAAACATCCGTCCATGTGGGATGGAGTTCCAAAGGGTGTGTGAAGGGCAGAAAGGCTGAAGGCCTTTTTCCATTAAAAAAAGTTAAATTCTGTAATAAATTAAAATAAGTTAATAAGTCAATTTTTTTGTAACACTGTACTTACATTGATATATAACTCTTCTCCATTAAGAATGCAGAAATTCCACAGAGTTTCCACAAAATAGTGTGCAGTGACCAGTCTAGGATCAAATCCACTAACTGATACCAGTAGAGCCAAAAGCCACTAAAATGGGCTATCCCGGTCTTTGTGTGGCTCAGCCTCCAGGGTCTATGGGTGAGAGCAGTCACCACATTTTGGTCAGCGTGCCTCATCTGTAATAAGTAACAATTACAGCACGAATAAAATAATCACCACATTAAACGTTTTTGCCTCACTTATTGTTTTACGCCCAATAATCCTGTTCAACACACGCTCCAAAAATATCCAGTTCCGAAAATGTTTGCTTTGTTTCACGCAAGATAACTTCCACTATATGTAACATCAGAAAAAGAAATGCCCCTTTGCTGACGTGTAGAGCATTCCGTTACCTTGATTATGACCATTGGTTCAAAAGAACACACAATGCTTCTTCCGTAGAGCTCGGGAAACTCCCTGTACATCAGCTTCAGAGCCGCAGAGGACTAAAGAAGAAAATAGAGAGTAAATTTATTGACAAAAATAAAATGAGATAATGTTTAATCCCCTCCTTAGGGCACACAGACGTTATACAGTGAGTTGCAATAGAGGAGGGGAGATCAGACATGTTTAACATTTGCAAGTTTCTTCTGTAAGCTTTGTCTCAGTATTGTAGTGAATATCGTACTGTGTTATTCTAGAGATGATACTACTTTTCACACACAGTTAAAAAGATGAGGTATCAATGTTCTGTACTGTTTGTTGATTTTACTCCCCACTGCCTTGTTCCCCCACCCACCCACACACGCACCAATCCTGGTGCTTCTGAAGAAAACCCAGACATTGCTGACAAAATGTCAAAAAGATTTAAGAACACAAAGCAGTCAATCTCAATCAAAGGCATCATCACACAATTCACAAGTGATTTAAATGTGGCAAAAATGTAATAAATGATGTTCTTGCTTATTCCTTCCACATGGATAAATAAATTGCACTGCTGAGCAGACATTGCAGTAATTTGTTAACATTCACTGTGTAAATGGGACATGTTTCTGTTGACTTTAACATCAACACGAAGTAACATGTTCCTGCCCAGATTGTGGTGATTATTCATTCTATACTGAATAAATGTAATATATTTGTTGTTGAGGTGGTGGTGATGTCTATTTATTATTGGAATTTAATCAGTATGAAATCACTGTCATGCATATTGTATTTTTGTTTAAAGAACACTTAATAATGTTGATCCTGTATACAAACAACAATAATAATAATCCTTGCAATTTAATGTAGGGCCTTTCACATCAGGAGTTTATCTCAAAGTGCTTCACGGCATTTACTATACGGTTCAGGTGTATTTCGTCGGCAAAATAGCTAAATGTGTGTATGTATATACATGTGTGAATGTACGCACACACATTATGTTTGCTGAAAGCAACAATTTTCAAATAAGCAGCTCCTTACAGAACCAAATGAAATCCCTCTAGTACGGGAAGTATTAAAACTGAAATGTTTTCTGCATTGAATTGACAATCACTTCATTTCTGTGCTGCTGTTGGAGAAACAGTAATGCCTCGTACCTGACTTGCGTGACCTTTCACATCAAAAAAAATGGTCAAGTTGTATTTCAGACATTCCATGATAGCTTCCTTTAAAGTGGGGATTTTCTCATTTGGGAATATTTTGCTGCACAGAACAAATTACAAATAGTATTAGAAGCGCCAGGATTTAGAAAGTCACATTAATCCGAAACTGGTGCCTGCGATATGTCCCTCGCCCGCTCTGTCTCACCATTGATGGCCGAGCTTTCAGACACTGTGGCCCCACTTGCTCAAACTCCTTTCCAAGATCTCTGTCTTTGGCCCTCTTTCCCTGCTTTAAACCCTTCCTAAAATCCGATTCTTAAATCATTTTTTTAGGCAAAAATCTCACTGTCCTGCTTCCCCCTCTTCCAACCCTGTTTGGCAATCTGCACCATCTCTCAAAAGGCATTGTCCTATAAGAAAAGCCCAATGCAACTGTGTTGTGTTTCGTAAAGTATTGCTTAAGCTGACTGCAAGTCTAAAACAAATTGTGTTCCCTTTCCACCTATACAAGGGAAGTAGGCAAAGTGGGACATCGGGGTGCAAAGGGAACAGTTGTAACGGCATTTTAACAATACTTTCATCTCTAGAGGTTGTTCCTATTTCAACAATTCATTGGAAAATATATACAGGTTTGGGGGAGAATTTTTTTTTTGTGTCAACAGTTGTAATAGTGACCAGGGTCTGGGTAGATTCCAGTTACGTACTGCAGCTTGTGCTTCGCGGCTGGGTTAAGTTTCCGGATTTCTTCGAAGGTCCATCGATCCAGAGGACCTGTGCCATCAGTTGTTCGGTCAACATTATCATCGTGCATCAGAATAGGAACCCCATCCGCAGTGAACTCCACATCCAGCTCCACTCCAGTCGCTTTATTCTTTGCAGCCTAGACCAGAAGAGACAGGGTTGGTATCAGAATATTCCTTTGCTTGTACATGCAGTTCAACAGCCAAACAGAAAGCCTCTTTACCTTTAACTTTCCTGCAGATTATTGAATGGTTTCCAAGTTATATTATCAGCCAGTTGCCTAGGAAAAGGTTCATTGCCAGTGACCAAGGATAATGTTCACATTCTGAAAATGACTGTAGAAAATCCTTTGTATTGCTCGCACTTAAAGTAATGTAATGTAAATCAAATTGAATCAAATCAAAATTTAGCTCTGCACTTTCTTCAGTATCACTTTGGAATTAAATAATAGTTTGACACATCATTACTGTATTTATTCGGTGCAGGGACAGCAATACTTTATGTAACCGAACATAGAAAAGAGAGGNAAAAAAAGAAAGCTAAAAGAATATAAAACTAGACCAAAAGGGTGTTTAGGAAGAACTTCTTTACGCAGAGAGCGGTGAGAGCGTGGAACGACTGCACAAAGCATCAGCCTATTTAAGACGCAACCTGATGCATACTTGAAAAGGAAATAAAGAGGGGTTTAAGATTAGGAGGGTGGATGCTTCTGTATAAACACAGATATGAACCAGTTGGCCTGAACGAGCTCTTGAGTTCTCCTGTGCTGTAAATTTACATGTAATTCTGCGTGAAATTTGGTTGTTGACTCAATGTTAAACAGTACAAACTATTTCAAATGAAGTTACCAAGGGTTTGACTTTAGAATCTTAATGTTCCTGATTTGGGGTAAACATTGTGATCTCTTACGTAATAAAACCGCACACGAACTGGAGCTTTCTGCTCAGGAACACTGCAAGGCCAGTTATCTGAGGCAAACCGGTTACATGATTATGTATTTGTTTGACTGCAATTTGCTCATTTGTTTGACTGCAATTTGGGAACTTTACATGGATTACAGAAACAAAGCAATAGAAACCTATTCAGCCTGCAATCTGTACACCACTAGAGTCCCTCCAGCTGGCGTCTGAGTTCTGACCTGCTTGTGAAGCCGAGGGGATCGTGTGTCTGAGACGCCAAACAGGAAAGACATTAATGTAATACCATCTCATTGCTTGACTGCCAAGTACAACCAGTGCCACAAGTATGCTTGATGCCAATAACGTCAGTTGGCATCAGGGTGAAAAGCCTTGTGAAATAAAAGCCGATCACTTCTCCTGCTCGCAAGGTTATTTAAAACGTCACAATTCGTCTTTAAATGGACCACGGTTTTTCTCCGACGGAAATCTCTTTCATCCATTTAGCTGACCCGAATTCCTATATAGTGAACTAATCCATACCATGTTCTGTTCCTTCCTTTGAATCCACTTAAAGATCATCTCCGGGAGCTCAGTAGTTTAGATTTGAATTGCAGGGGTCGACTCAACCTTTGGCTTACCTTGTCCAAATTCAACGCAAATAGCACGATGTCTAAAAATGTTGTCTCGCAGAATGGGCTGAGGAGGTAAATGAGGGTCCCTGGGATACAAGTGACTCCAAGGATATTGGTCAAGTGTGGTCTCGCCTGACCAGCCACAGTGGCTCATCTACAATACTTAAGAGGTGTAAACATGGCTCGAACCCTGGAAGCTAAAGAGTGACTGCTTGGGTAGTTTTAGCCGTGAAAGGCGCTATACAAGTGTTATTTGTTGTTGTTCGTTGTTGGACAAATGCCCTTAAAATACTCCTGCACAGAACATGCCTCATCAGTTTGGGGGAAGTTGTCCTTTGTTACCCAAGAGCACCCCAACATTGACTATTTTGTTCACACTTTATGTAATATAACTCAAAATTTAGCTTTGCATTTTCTTCCGTATAACTTGGAAATCGAATAATAGTTTGACACATTATGATTATTATTATTGTATTTATTCTGTACAGGGCAGCAGCAGTACTTTTATACACAATAGCGTATAAAACTGAACATATTCAAGGTATTTAAGAAAAACAAAAGGAGTATAAAACCAGACCTAAAAGGGAGTTTAAGAGGAATATCCCAGAGCAAGGATTAGTGCCACTGGTGAACGCATTCCCTCAGCGATGACAAGTTTCAGGGTGTGAACTTCAGCGAGCTACCGCGTTAAACACGGTGCACAAAAACCTCAGCACGTCTTTCCTCGGAACTAAAACAAGTTGGAAATCTGAAATTGGAAATCTGACATCAAAACAGATGTCACATTCTCCAAGTCCGACATAAAATAAAACTCGTGTCAAGTCTCCTTTTTTTAAAAAAAACAAATCCGCGTCAGTAACATATGTTATGTTGCCACATGCGCAATACAGTAATAATAATCCTTGACAGATCGCCTTTTAGGTTGCGGGGTGGGTGCCTCAAAAAGCACTTTACGCCACAGGATTCGCTGCAAAGTGTGGTGACTGTCTGTGTACGTGTGTTTTGTGTGTAGGGATCTTGTATGGAACACATTTTTCTCTGTCTTTATCGTACTAATACTAATAATAATCCTTGCATCGCGTCGTTGAGACATCTCAAAGCGCTTCACAGAACGTACTGTGCGTTTTGTGGGCGAAACTCCTGCATATTCGGGTTTTCTCTGTGCGTGCGCGGAAAGAAAATCTCTAACCCTACAAGTTGGGAGAGCAAACCATGAGAGACAGACAGAGACACCCAGCGAGAGAGAGAGACAGAGAGAGACAGACAGAGACACCCAGCGAGCGAGAGAGACAGAGAGAGACAGACAGAGACACCCAGCGAGAGAGAGAGACAGAGAGACAGACAGAGAGAGACAGAGATACCCAGAGAGTGAGAGACAGAGAGAGAGAGACAGAGAGAGACAGACAGAGACACCCAGAGAGAGAGAGAGAGACAGAGAGAGAGAGAGAGAGAGAAACAGACAGACAGTGACAAGAGTCATCCAGAGAGTGAGACAGACAGAGAGACACAGACAGACAGTGAGGGAGACAGACAGAGTCAGAGAGATGATGCAAATGGCAGCCTAACACACATTAACAAGCGCTTGCATTTACACAGCCTCATCACCCCCACCATCACCATCACCCCCTCCCCCACCATCACCCCCTCCCCCACCATCACCCCCCCACCATCCCCCTCTCCCCACCATCACCCCCCACCATCCCCCTCTCCCCACCATCATCCCCCAACATCCCCCCCCCCACCATCACCCCTCCCACCATCACCCCCTCCCCCACCATCACCCCCCCCACCATCACCCCCCCCACCATCACCCCTCCCCCACCATCACCCCCTCCCCCACCATCACCATCACCCCCCCCACCATCATCACCCCCCACCATCACCCCCTCTCCCCACCATCACCCCCCCTCCCCCCACCATCACCCCCTCCCCACCATCACTCCTCTCCCCCCCCCCTCCCCCACCACCCCCCCACCCCCTTACCGTCCTGATGGCGCTCAGCGTGTTCTCCGGGGCGTCGAAGCCGCCGCCCCGGTGACCGATGACCGACAGGCGGCCGTCGGGGCGCAGCACCTGCCGGGCCTGGCCGAGGGGCACGGGCTGGTAGCGGCACAGGTGGAAGAGGAGGCCGAGGCCGAGCAGCAGAGCCGGGGCCCAGAGCGCGGCGTGGCTCGCGCTGCCGAGCCGCCGCCGCCGCCGCCACCACCACCACCGCCGCCACCACCAGCCGCCGCCGCGGCACCAGCCGAGCATCAGCACCGCCAACACCGACAGCGACAGCCCGGCCGCCAGGGCGCTCTCCATCGGGGGCGGGGCCTGGCCTGGCCCGGGGGGGGCGGGAACGAAGGCGGGGCCTGGCGGAGGGGGCGGGGTCGGAGGCGTGGCCTGGCCTAGCGGGGGGACGGGGCCTGGCGGAGGGGGCGGGACCGAAGGCGGGGCCTGACGGAGGGGGCGGGATCGGAGGCGGGGCCTGGCGGAGGAGTCGCCCGAGGCTCAAGTCGGTTGACGGGTCCCCACTCCCCACCCACCCCCCACTCACGTGACCAGTGCCCTCGGAGGTCGCCGACCTCGGAAGTGACGTCATCGAAGCCGCCGCCGGTTCAGCCAGGGAGGGCGCGCGAGCGAGCGAGCGAGGGAGGGGTGGCGCGGGCTCTGGTTGCCAGGTGACGGCCTGAGTATGGCGGCCGGCGGCGGAGAGTGGGGAGCGGGGGTGTTGTGGGGGCCGGGCGGGAGCTAGCGACCCCGGCCTCGCCCACAATAACAACAACCTCCCACCCCCATTCCTTCTGACAGTTGCTGCCGCGCATTCCCCCCCTCCCCCCACACGTCTCCCGCCCCGCCCCGCCCCGGGAGGCGGTTACGCTGTGTTTGTCTGGTCGTTAAGGAGCAAGAACGCCTTGTCGCTGTGCTAGGCCCCGCCCGTCAACGCACCTTCTCTCACCGCCCCCACCCACACACCCCCCCCACCCCCACCCGGCCTGACCTCAACCCCAACCCCACCCCCTGACCCCCCACTCGACGATTGGCGCAGTTAAAATAGCCTCTCGAATCCAAACGTAAGCATCTTGTTTTCTTGTGTGAAACCCCCATCCCCCCCCCCCCCCCCCCCACCGTCCCACCCCCTCCACACACACTCACACAAAAAAAAATTAAAAAAAGAAGAAATAATTACTTTGGTTATAAAATTGGCCCAAATATAGATTTCCAAATTAAGAGGCCGGCAAGTAAGAAGGCTTGGAAACGACCGTGATCACGAGCGACAGCCCTCAGCTGCGTACAACATTTTTGATGGTCCCAAACGTGTCGGAATTTGTGTTTCTGGATCAATTTGACGATCCGCAGACCGATAGCGCCTTCCGCTTGACCTGGCCACAACTGATACCGCAAATCCTGCAGTCAAGTCTCGGTGGTTCCGATTGGGTTCACTTTACCCGGTCGGAGCGCAAAGGAAATCGAATTCTTTCCAGTATTTTGAAACGTGTATCTGGGACGGCGACTCCGAAGCTCGCAAACGGTTTTATTTCTTTCTCCGTGCAGCCAGGGTCCGAATATTAAAGCGGATAGAATGGAAGAGTACGAGAATTTCCGCACAAGCCGTTTGGCCAGGATTCAGAATGAACTGGTGAAAAATGAGCCTTTACAATCAATTCCACAGAAAGGCATCTCCGTTATCCGGTTCCACGGTATTGCTGTTATGTCTCCTCTGGTATGATTTGCTTATTTTTGCCTCCCGAACAAAACCTTAAATGATAAATATGCTTTAACAAGTTTCATGGATAGAACCATTTTCAGAAGAATATTTTCTGAGAACTGCAGGGACAGTGAAATAATGTTTTTAAAAGAGGAAGTTGTCCTTTGTGTTTCTCTTTGTAATAAAGAAAGAAAACACTCTGTGGCAATTACTGTAAAATGTGTGTATTTTAAAGAAGCTCTAAAATTGGGATGAGTAACCACATCCACAATTTTTCTGTTGATTTATTTCGGCTTTACGAGCTCTTAATTACTCTGTGGCCACCTTTGTTTTCTGTTGAGTTTCAAATTTCACAACTGGGTTACCAACATAGAAACAGGAATAGGGTAATCAGTCCGTCAAGCCAGTTCTGAAGTCAGGTTCTTACAGGTATGTTAACTAAGTCTTTTCCTGTACCATGTTTGTATCCCACTTCAGAGAGCGGCTGATCAAAAATTGGAGTTGTTTCATCTAAGGTAAAGAATAGTACAGTTTTATGAAGTTTCATTCACCACTCAATGGCACGACACAATGGTTGCCCAACATTAGATCAGTGCCACAAAACATATCTATCAACTATGGAGTCCTGTAGCTCAGTGGTTAGAGCACTCGATTTGCAAGTGAGAGACCTGAGTTCAATTCCAGGCAGAGGGCGAAACCTTGGGCAAGTTTCCTTACTCCACACAGAGCCTAATAATAATCCCTCCAGAACCAAAAACAATAATAAATTGGTCATTTTCAATCTACGACTGTTTGTGGGACATTGCTGTGCGCAATTGGCTGCCGCGTTTGCCCACAAATATACAGTCAATTCACTTTACAGTATGTTCTGTGAAGCGCTTTGGGACGTCCTCCCGACGTGAAAAGCGCTATATCAAATGCAAGGATTATTATTATTATGTAGATCAGCAGTTGAGGAAAGACTAAAATAACCGATGAGTCTACGAAGCCAGCTATGAAGATTTATATTTTCATCAAGCTGATGTGTTTTTTACAGCTGCTCCAACATTTCTTTGCCTTCTATGAATATCGTTATGATGTATCCTAAGGTCACAATATGTTTTTAACAGAATCTTCAATTTGACAGATGTGTATTCCATAAACGTGTAGTTTATTGAACAGGCACAAACCTGTTATCTAATAATTAACTATAAGCTTTCATTTGCAGTATGAATAGCTGAGCTTCAATTGGTTATTTGATAGCTTAAAATTAGCTTTGAGTTACATGCCTTCCAACAAGTACAGAGAATGCACAGCAGTGCTAAATAGCCTGCCTTTGTTTCTGTTGACTTAGATTGCAGTAATTATAGTGAAGCGCAGATTTGTTGAAAACTCAGTGCTTAACATCAAGCTTGACTCAACTAATATTCTTCTTGCAGATGGGTGCTGAAAGGAAGCGGGAGATGCAGCAATACAGACAGAAGGCAATGGAATTGGAGCTCAGCTGGGAAAATACTAGAAAAAGTGCCTTACTCAACCGTGTACAAGAAATTATTGAAAACGTGCAGGTTTGCATTGCTTTTGCAACCCATTTATTTAGATTTTTTTTAAATGCCTAAGCTGGCCATTTGCAAGTCATCCAGAACAATGTTTAAAAACAAAGAGAAACTGCTCGTCTACATTTTAGAAATTCTACTTCTAAAACAAATAATGGTGCATGACATTCAAACATTGATAAATGCAATATTTCAAAGTTGCTCTTTTGCTCAACAGGTTGTTCTGATTTAGTAAAAAAAATATTTGATGTGGGTTTAAATTCCTTGATGAATGCGACTTATTAATTTGCAAATCAAAATCAAGGAAAGGATGCTGAAGCTAATATTCACAATTAGATGTAAATAAACTTTCAATAAATTCACCTGATGAAAATTCTATTTCTAAGAATTTGCCTAGGACATGCAGGATGAAAAGTATTGTGCAAACCTTTTGCCATTTTCCCTAGATTTATTTTAATCCATAAAGTTTTTACTTTTTTAACTAAAAATCTTAGTTTTGTTAAACAACTAAGAACATAAGACCAAGGTCCACCTAGTTCGCCTTCCACTTTCCTGGCAGCCGCATGCACATATGTCCCGAACTACCTATGCACTATATCCCATAATTTCCTAAAAGAAAACTATCTAATCTGTGTATGAAAGAATCAATACTTCCTGCTTCAACCGTCTCCCTGGGGAGCCTGTTCCACAGATTCACTATTTATTACTGAAATAGTGTTTGCGTAGGTTCGTTCTGAATTTCCCCCCCCTTCAATCGCAGGCCATGTCCTCTGATTTTACTATTGTGGACAAGTTGAAACAACAACATGATTGCATTTATAGAGCGCTTTTCACGTCGGGAGGACGTCCCAAGGCGCTGGGACAACCTGTCACGATCTTGTCTTGCCCCTATAGAATCTTAAAGACAGCAATCATGATGCTTCTCAATCTTCTCTTTTCCAGTGTGAACATGCTCAATTTACTTAGTCACTCCTCGTAGTAATAAAAGGACAAAAGTTTGGATAAAAAGTTATTAATGCAGTCATTAATTCAGCAATATCAACAAGGATTTCATAGAATGAAATCATAAACCCTCGCTGTGTATCATGGCTAAGCTTGCATAATTCTGTTATAAAATTATAACACGGCGCCTTGGATACAAAAGAGCAAAACATTACTTTCAGGATTTTGTGATGTAAACTACTAGTAATGATTGATGATACATTAAATGTTAGGTTCCATCTAATGAATTCTCTTGTCATTGATTACTTGAAGGGATTGCTTTCGGATTTAAGAAGGCATCATTAATAGATAGTGGTGTTTTTAATTTTTTTAAAAAGCTAACTGATGTTTTTGTCATTGCTAGCTATCAAAACTATTAAAAGTTTTATCACTCTTTAATGTTGCCTTTGGATCATTCGTCGGTATTCACTGCTTGTAGATTAGTTAAAATTTAACATTAATTGTTAAAATTATTAAAACCACTAAAAATTAGTTTTGTAAAAAAGTTTTTTTCAAGTTATTATATTAAAATGTTATAAAATGTAAGCAGAGGGACATTTGGCTCATCTTTTAAATGGGAAGTACAGCTAACATGAACACTATACATACTGAACTGATGGATGACCTGTCTTTTTATTCCAAAGGTACGGAAAGTGCCAAGTACTGTGTGTGTCAAAGACCCTGTCGATCTAGAAAAAACTGATGCAACAAATGGACTTACAACAGTGCACCATACAGACTATTTTTCAGCTCTTGAAACCCAGTCTAGCAAACAAGAGGGCCCCATGTTGTCAAATAAAACTGAGTTGATGCTAAATGACACAATCACTAATGCATCTGAACAAAGTGAATTCCTGAAATCCACTCAGAGTATCAAATCTGACAATGCTGTTTACACAAAATCATTCTCTTCCAATGGCACCAATATTGGTCTTTCTACCAATGTGAGCGCAAAAAAGGACGAATTAAAAATTGACGATCTTCCTCCTGGAAAGGAACCTCCTGATCACTATGCAATGAGTCTTCAGAATCTTCTCAGAAAGTCAAGAGAATATGTGGAGAGAGAACAACATCGACGCACTGGGAAAAATGCTTCCAAGGAAGGTACAAATGAGAGCCACTCAGACAAAGAAAATCAAGGTGTTAAAATCAATGACTGGGAAAGGGAAAGCATCAGAGTTTCCAACAGAAGTCGTAGTTCTAGTCCTGTGATTGTGGAAAAATCAACCAGTTTGAAGTCAGCTTCACAGATGCAAGTTCCCTCCATAACCAATGAAAGTTTTGAATTACACAATAAAATGACAGTTAATACCACCACTTCAACTTTGTGTGTTTCACCAAAAATAGACTTTCCAGTAAGATCAATAACAGCCTTCTCTCAAGAATCAGATGAAGAATGGATAAACAGCTCAGCATATGAACATGAGAGCAGTTTGTTCAAAAGTCTGATAGGATCCCATGCCAAATTACCCAACCCTGCCCCAAGCCGAAGCCCTAAAATGCACCAAAGACATTCTCGGACATTGGCCAATATTGTAATTAACCATCCAGTGAATGCCTATGAGCTAAGTCCAAAAGAAAAGCTCAGAGGAATAACTGGGACAGATCAAGGTATCAAAGATTTGAATGTCCTTGAAATAAGGAAAGCATTTCCAAATGAAATTTTGCCATCAGTTAACCAAGAAGCAATTGAAAGTAGTTGCGCCAAACCGCAAGATCTTTCAGAAGGTACAGTGAAGGCATTTGATGTGCAATCCGAAGGGAATCCTCAGTGTATGTATGCTGAGCCTTTTGGCAAATTCGAAGTAAATATGATCAGTAACTTAAATCCAATACCATTGAGAAACCAGATTTACAGAGAATCGTTTAATTTGGATAGCACTTCTTTACTTGTAGCTAAACAGAAGATCCAACTACTTGAACCTCAGATTGAACTTGATGTCAGCAACCAAAAGTCTAACACTGTGATTGAGAAGCCTAAGCAACGGTTACCAGTTGACCTTAACAAATCCTATGATGTTGAAAGTCCGTCACCCGTACTGCTGCAAAGCCAAAATATAAAGCGACAAATGGACTTATCAGTTTTATCTTCTGGAAGTGAAAATAATCTGGAAAACAGCAAGGAAACTAAAGCCAAACGTAAATTAGATCTGGATGTGTCAAAGGTCAAAGAAAACAAACCATTTGTTGCTATGACTATGGGCTCAAATAGTCAAGAGAAGAACTTGTGGATACAAGAGGAGAAACGTCAGAGAGATCATCTTGGCAGCAACAAACCTGAAAGATCTTTAAAAAGCCAAATTAATGGCGCAGGTAAGAATTGCAGCTATACTTTCAGATGCTCAGATGAGACTGCATAACTCATTAACCAAACCCCCACTCCCCACATTTCTTTGTTTAGATGAAGGACTGATCTCAAAACAGATGAAGGCTTTTGAAGAAATGCGGAAGCGATTGGAGCAGCAACACACGTTGCAGTTATCCTTATTAATTGCTGAACAAGAGAAGGAACAAGAAAAATTACGGCAGGTAGGGAGTTGTAGCAATAAGTAAACTCCAGGTTTTGAGTGAGGTTTGTTATAAAATGTAGACAGCTACTATTAAAAAAAGGAATATTTTATGATTTAAACTGTTTTACTGTTTCCTTTTCCAGGGTTGCTGGACTGCACCAAACCTGTGAATATTCTAAAATGATCCTTTTTTTTAACTCTTTAAATTGTGGGATTGCTTTGAATGTCAATACAGTTTACACTTACAAAGCGCTTTTCACGTCAGGAGCACGGCTCAAAGTGCTTGATAATTCTGGTTGGCACTGGAGCTGAGTGGGGTAAGGAGGGGAATGGACTGAAAGCAGGGTCAAATAGGTATGTTTCGAGGCATCAATAATGTTAATCTAATTCAAATGAGGAGCTATATTTAGGTCAAAAACTGGCCAGCAAAATAATTTTGTTTGTTCCCACTGGCCAACGAGACACAAATTACTGCGTAATTAGAATCATTTTATATTTATGTAATTTTTGTAAATAACTCAATCAAAATTTTCTACTGCATTTGATTCATTCCTCAACATCTTAATTTGCAGGAAATAGAAGAAAAGGAAAGACTATTCAGAGAATCGAAGGACTTTGTGGCAGACTCGCAGGGAAACTATTTCAATAAAGAAAGCTCCTTCGATTGGAAGAGAATAAGTGAAAACTGTTCCATGGAATCCAGAACCAATCGAGTAGACGGTGCGTAATGTAGTATTTCTCCTAGCATTGATAATTGGAGATTCAGAACACAAGTATCTGTCTTAAGACCAGAAATATTTTATATACCATGGAGCACCTATAGTAGCTATTTAGTTTTTTTTCAGTATTTTGTAATTTCAGTGAGAATTAACTTTTTTTGTTCTGATTTTTGTTCAGGGGTTATCAATAATTCAGCTATGCAGAGTTCCAGTTTGACCATGCCAGGCGCTGAATCTGTTTTCTATCGAAGAGGAACTATGACTGCTGAAATATCTGAGATACAGGCTCCCAGTTTTCTCATCAGATCGAAACCTGGATGGTCACAGGTGACTTTGCAGCTGTATACATTATTTTATAGAAGTAAACTCACTGATGAAATTCTCAAGTTGATAAAGAAAGTTCTAATGGACATTCCGGTGAAAAGGCTAGTAAAAATTTTCAGAAGTTCCATATTTAACTTTCTAATTAACTAAAATCATGTATGTAGTCGAGCTATTTTCTCCCTCCCAGAAACAACTGAACCATCACTTGTTTTTGTAAATAGCCCGTGGTGAATTGTGAGAAATGAAAACTTGAAATTTTGCTTAAACCCGCTAATTCATTTGTACAATGGTAGTGCTCTCACCTCTGGTTCAGAAGCCCCTTGTTGGGACTTTCAGCTCATATCTAATGCAGTATTGGGGAAATACTATACTGCACTGATTGTCAGAGGGACTTTAAACCCGAGGTCCCACTTTCCTGTCCGTACGTAATTCGAAAAGAAAACGGAGTTTCTGCAGATATCCTGGCCAACAGTCTCTCAGACACAAGAGGGAATTTATCATTCATCACTGTTCGTGGCACATGACATTAGCTGCTGTATTTGCCTTATTTCTTGCATCTTCAAGTTGTTAAGAATGATTACTTTGTGAAGGAAGAAATTCATTGTGTCGGGTCAAACCATCTTCTGTTCTATTTTCAATATTTGAGAAATAAATGTTGTATCTTTAGAGCTGTTTTGACCAAGTCTTTGAAGCTACATTGTTATTTCTGTGAAATATTTATTTTTCACTGTTATTTCTACTCCCATCTTATCTTGTGTTATTGCATTTAAGATAAATACACCAAGGTTCCAGCAGATGTTTGACAAAGTCACAGCTCTTGCAAAAGGATTCCTCACTCGCAAACTGCTGGAAACTGAAAAACTGAAGCAGCTTCGACAGACTGTAAAAGTGAGGAATTGACTAAAAATTGCTATGGATCTGGTGGGAATATTCTTCTTTACATTTGGGTTCACAGACAGGAACATGCATGATTATTGATTAAAAGTTGAAACAAAACTAGAATAAGGAGTAAATTGTCTTAGTTTCAGAATTATCTAGGTTTTTTAGCTGTCAAAAGTTTGCTCTCGTATCTATATAATACTTGGGTAGAAGTATGAAAATTCCAGAGGAAATGTATGTAAAAAAGGTTTTTTTTAAAAAAATCTGGAAGCTATAATAACATCAATTGGGGGAAGAGAGCTTTCAATTGGAAAGTTCAGAGATTGCAATGGATTGTAAATTTCCTTTTTTATGTTTGTAATTTCTTATATTTGCAACCAGCTTTGTTGATGGTTGAATGTAATAACTTACATCTGCAGTTATTTATTGCAGGATACCCTAGAATTTATGAATAACTTCCAAACAGAAGGACCTTTGAAAAGAAGTACTGTTTCATCTCAAGATGTTTCACTGCAGGAAAGAGTTTTTGCTCAGGTATTAAATCAAACTATTTTTCATGGGGCCAAATAACATAGATATAGATACTATGGATAACTATTTGACTTGTTTTCTTTCCCCAGTTACGAGCTGCCCTCTATGAGATTCATGACATCTTCATTGTGTTGAATCCCACTGAGAGAATGCAGATCCTGCAACATGATCGTGAAATTCGCAAAGAGAAACAGTTGAGGCAGATGGTAAATTTCAGTTATATTTGATATCTGAATGAAATGAGTGTGGTACATTGCTGTGATTAAAATACTGTTTTAGATTAGAAACAAAAAGGTTTTACCTTTACAAAAAGGTTCCAAGATATAGCATTTACCAGCTCGGATCCCAAACCCCTTATTATCCAGTGACCTGGGAAGTCTTTCTGATGGGAAGAGTGGTATACAAGTATAATTTGTTGTGTTAAACGTAAGGACAATTGAAGTATAAGCACATTACTAAATCAAGGTTTCCAAATTGGGTGGCAGAATGTGTCTCTTCATATTACTCTTGCAGAGCAGGATCTATGAAAGAAAATTAGAGCCCAGTCTACTCAGCCAAGCTCAGGCTGTTTCTTAAAGTAGATCATGAAAGGTTTCTCTGCAAAGTTCCCTGTAATGTACTTGTCTGGACTAATTTACTTGTGTTCGCAAAACATTTGTGATCTGGCAGCTCTCCTGATTCTTGGTTCTCTTTTTGACTTGGTGATGTTTGGAGCTATGTATTTGTGTTTGGGTTTGATTTGCTATATTTCTTAGCAGGGTTGTTTACTAAGGCATTCTTTAATAGGGAATCCATTAATATTCCTATCAACCTTCACCAAGTCCATTCCTGATTGGAGCAGAGTTTCTGGAGATTGTCCTGACATCCTTCAGGTTATCAGAAGACATTCCCATTTGCACAACAGTCAGTAAGAAATAATAATTAGACTGCATCATAATCTCTACTTACAGTTTTGTTTTAATATTTGTAGGAGAAGCGGAAAAGTCCTAAAGAAAGAGTATCCCTTTCTGCTGCTACACAGAAATCTTTAGACCGGAAAAGGCAGCTTAAGTAAGTGCAGCTATTGAACATTAGTAGCTATTAGTAGCTGAAATGCTGTACACTGTCTAGTGCCTTGGGACGTCCTCCGACGTGAAAGGCGCTATACAAATGTAATCTTCTTGTATTGGCTGGATATAATATTGAAGTCTTTTTTACAATTCAAATACTTAGTTGAAAATTGTTTTGCAGTTACAATAGCTTCCTATAGTTTTACAGTTGTAATATTCTTTATGGCTGTGAAATGCTATTCAAAATTCTTAATTGTGGAAAATAAATCTCTTATTGCACTAGTATATTAAGGGTTTTTATCTCGTCAGAGGTTTGATCAGTTTTGTCTTATCAAGGGCTGCTGAGATGGGAATAATCAATAAACGGAAGTTACAGGCAAGACAAAAGGTTTCTTCTCAAATCCGGTAAGGCCAGAAATAGACCATAACAAATTACATTTATATACAGCACCTTTCATGTTAAACAAATGATGTGAAGTGCTTTACGAAATGAGATGAATTAGAAATGAAAGTGATTGTTGTTATGGAGGGAAAAGGCAAAAACACCAATATAAAAGTTATTTAAAGTAAAATTACACATTTGCCTCACTCGTTATTTACAGAATTCTTCAGCCAAGTCAGGGGCAGAATGCCCCAACTCAAAGACCACTCCATAGACAGGGGTAAGACACAATGTTAATGTAATCTGCATTTTTGCATTATTTTGTATTTGTAGACATTTGAATTGTAGTGGAATTGCAGGATGCATCCCTCCAGGGAGAGAGTGAGCATTCCAACAATGTATCTCTGGCATTTTCTTGTGTAGGTGTGATTCATCGAATGTTCCGTTTGGTTTGGATATTCTTAATGACGATGATGGGTTTCCGCATGTGCCAGACACCTGGCTGACCGAAATAAAATTGCAGTGGTATTCAGTATTTGCAAAATATTAAGAGACATCTGCTGCAAAGGTCAATAAAAAGCAACATTTTGCATCACTCAGAATTTCAACCTGCTATACTTTAAAGGAATGATTGATCAGTAATAAATTCTTAGTAAAGCAAAAAGGTAGAAATGTCTCGAATGCTACTGTTTTTCATCCATAATTCTAAGAAATATTTTAAGTAGATTTTACATCCTCATTTTCTGTAACTTTCCTTTGAATAAAAATTACTGTATGTCTTCATTCTGACCTAGGCTCTTAGAACTTTACCGTATTTGCTTTCTGTGTCTGAGAGAAAATGCTTCCAGTATTGAAATATGAAGCAATGCAATTTTGGGGACAATATCAACAGCTGTCATTGAAAATACTGTATTCGTTTTTGGCTCATCGTTTTAGTGAGTACACGTGGACTAGTGCAACTGCGATGTCCAAATTTGAAACTGAGCATTAAACAGTTTCTTAATATCGTAGAAATAATGAATTGTTATGAAATAAGTGAATTTCTTTTTGTTTTAGTATTGCTTTAGGCAGCAGCATCTCTCATTCACAGTGTTTTGCTGCTCAATACGTTATTTCACTTTTCTAATATGTTGGAAAAACAGAACCAAAGTGATACCACATTTATTTATCTACAAAATAATTTAGCTTTGTGCCTAAGAATTTTATATATCCTCACCTCATGTAACAATTTTTTTATTTGACTAGAACCCAGCCTTCTAGGAAGGGGGTTGAGCAGAATAGAGAGAGGTTCACAGAAAGCAGATTTCCTAGGAAAGCTCTTCCAGGTGTGTTGACAAGCTATTGCTGCATATTTTACGAATGAATATCAGATATAAAATGTAAAAGACCATGACTCTAGGAGCTTGCACTAGAATGATTATTCATAGAAACGTTTCTGTTTGACCGTCTATGAGACAGAACTTGAATTTCATAATTCCTGTGTTTTATGATTTCCCAAGATTTTTTTATATTTGAATGGCCTTGTCCCCCACACCCTATGATCCCTCAGTTGGGAGAAACTGGTAGAGGCAGGGAGGGAGTAGAAAATATAACCATGTTGTATAGGCTTCAGACATTTTGTACCGGGGAAAAGAAGGAAGATTTGCAGAAATATTACATTTTGTAGCTTTCTAACAACTTACCGTGGCAGCAAGAATGTGAAAACAAGGCACGGTGGTTAGCTCCATGTGTGTACATAGAGAGGTTGTTTTACCCAAACTGAGATTACTTTGTGTTAGCGTAATGTGCCAATGTGTGCCGTTCCCTAGCACAGAGATTCAGAAATCCAAGAGAGCGTGACAGTTCCCTCAGCCCCCCTCCCCCCGCAAGGGAAACTAAAAGTTTTGTTGCTGCCAGGTTAATCTGTTATTTGTTTTTAACTTCGCTCCAAGGAAAACTGAGTTGCTAAGAGAAGAGTAGCCTCGGGAGAAAAGGTGTGGTACTATCCCTATGTTCCTATCGCTATACTATCCCAGCTTCCACAACTCGCCTTTCTTTTATGTTACTGGTTCTCAATATCTTCTCATGTTCTATTCTATTCTCGGCATTATCATTCTGTCTCAATGTTTTGATTTATTTTTGTAACCTTTTTATTAAAAAATCTCATTCCATATTCAGTACATTTTCCTCAAAATCAATCAGTTTAATCCACATATCTTTTCTTCTTTAGTATAGTAGACTTTAACAAATGACTTCTTATGTCGATTTTTAAATTTTTTTTTATTACAAACTATTAAATGTCTTCTGGTCTGTTAGTTATGTTACTCTTAACTGTAAGTGTTGACAGTTTACAAGTTAACCATGTTTCCATGCATGTCATGTCATATATTGCATGACTTTCTATATTTTAAATAATATTTGTTGACACTACCTGAAAGTATTCACTGCTGTTAAAAAAATAAATGCATTTTTCTGCATGAATGTTGACTAGAATAACAGTATGGCACAAACAATTAGATTTCTCTTTTCAGGATGTTATTTAACTGGGTCAGTGGAAATCTGTAGGCATAAAATAAAGTAATCCTTGCATTTGATATAGCGCTTTTCACGTCGGGAGGACGTCCCAAAGCGCTTCACAGAACACACTGTAAAGTGAATTGACTGTATATTTGTGGGCGAACGCGGCAGCCAATTGCACACAGCAATGTCCCACAAACAGTCGTAGATTGAAAATGACCAATTTATTATCGTTTTTGGTTTTGGAGGGATTATTATTAGGCTCTGTGTGGAGTAAGGAAACTTGCCCAAGGTTTCGCCCTCTGCCTGGAATTGAACTCAGGTCTCTCACTTGCAAAGCGAGTGCTCTGACCACTGAGCTACAGAACTCCACTGTTAAGATATATGCAAGGCCTAATATTTCTAAAGCAATCTGGTTAATAATTGGATTTATTATTGAATTTGTTCTTCCTCCCTAATCCATTTATTCTCCGTATGCAAATAAATGGGGCAATTATCCTTGCAGAGAAAGTGCTTTTAAGATGTTTAAGATTCTCAGGACAACAAATGGATTAGGTGAATGGAAAGGGTTTGCTTTGATGAAATTTGCTCTTAGTTTTACCTGTTCACTTTGTTTTTCAGCAAATTACTCTAGTGGAGGTAATGTTAAATCTAGATAAACGCAGTATTTTATAATACAAACTAGCTGTAGGAGAGCGAGCCAGTGAGAAATGGTAACTGTGTTTAGGTGTGTGGCACAAAAGTGAAGTCATCTGACAACTAGATGACCTTCTTGGCTTTCATTGCACATATTTTGCTTCGGTCTCCGTTCCATGCTGGCTCCAATATTGTGATATATAGCAGAATGGCTTGTAATAATAATCCCTCCAAAACCCCCAAAAAACAATAATAAATTGGTCATTTTCAATCTACGACTGTTTGTGGGACATTGCTGTGCGCAATTGGCTGCCACGTTCGCCCACAAATATACAGTCAGTTTACTTTACAGTGTCTTCTGTGAAGCGCTTTGGGACGTCCTCCCGACGTGAAAATCACTATATCCAATGCAAGTATTATTATTATTGTGTTATATTGTAATCTCTGGAAAACTTGAGATTTCTTTTGTGAGGTTGATGGCCTGTTGAACTACGTTCAAAGAATGAGAAAGACTTTGTTATAAATGGATGTTGAGAATTGAGAAAGACCCAACTGTATTGATGGAATCAAATGTTAAAGTGATATGTTTTTAACATGTTTGTGTTCTTTGAAGGAGTATGTCCAGGAAGAGTACTGAACACAAAATAAAACGATATGACAGTCTGAGGAAGCAGCACTCCATAGGATGAATGGTGCAGCATGGTTGCCTGATGCCAGTAAACAAAGCAGCGTTTCATTAACAACTCCACAAAATATATTGCATCATTAACATGTTATTCTAATAAGCAATCCCATTTAAACTGTTGAAGTGTCAAACTTTTTCAAGTTCTTGTATAAGTATCAATTACTCCACCTGTACACTTTCCAAATTACCTGCGGGCATGCTTTTCATCAATGTTGGATCTGTGCCAGCTTCATAGAGCAACGATTGCCCAGCCTTGCTCTAGTTTTATGAGAGTGGAGAACAGTTATTGGAAACTGTAGAAATCAAGATCTTAGCACTATCTTAACCATATGTAGTGTCTTGATTATTGGCTGCAAACTTAAAAATTCCAAAGTTGGTTGATTTTGCTCTGATAAATGTAGAATGATTGATCAGTTCGTGTTCCAGGCTTAATGTGTAATATACAGATATTACAAGTAGGAATATAGTCTTTTTTGGAAAAAAATGGAATGTATTAAAAGTGTTTACTGCAAATCTGTTCATGTTTGTCCAAAAATGAATATATTTATTTTACCTTAACCTATTACAGTATGCACTTTTCAATGCATATCTGTTTTGTTGTTAAATATCTACCGTACATTTTCAACTCCCTAAAGTTCAAAAGGGCTTCAATTGGAAATGTGCAAGTTTCCCAGTAAGTGTAAATGCAATTTGGGTTTTATTTACATTTTATAAAATGTCATTACTTTTTTTTAACCACTTAAGTTATTTTTTTTACAACATTTTGTTGATATATCCCTCATGTTGTGCATGAATCAGAATAAACCTTTATTTAAATTGAACTGAGTTGCAAAAGCTCCTTTGTCATTGTATCCATTCTCTTCAACCGTGTCTTCATCTCCCCTCTCGACTCTCTACCCCCTCCTCGCTCCCTCCCTTCCCTCCCCTCACCCTGACCAGTTCCCCCCAATGCTCGGGTCCCGACCCAACTGTCCAGCGCCTTGGGACGTCCTCCCGACGTGAACGGCGCTCAATAAATGCAATCATGTTGTGTTGTTATCCTGTGCACTCTTAATATTGTAGCTATAAATTCAGGGTTGGAAGATGCACATTTCCAGTGCAGTCTGTCCGAGCGATGGGATAGGATAGGAAACAGTTAAGGAACGTGATTCACACTTCGCTGTTGGCAAATTGCACGTAAAGAGTAGACTCAAACGGGAGTGGGGGAGGAGGTCTGGTCCAGTTGGTGCATTGCGTTTCGCCCACAAAATATACAGTCAATTCACTTTGCAGTGTATCCTGTGAAGCGCTTTGAGACGTCTGGACGTGACGAGGCGCTGTGTCGAGTGGTAGGACTGTTATTGTTATTCACTTCACGGCGGTTTACAGGGCTTCGGGTCGGTCGGTGCCGCGTTTGCCCTCAAAAGACGCAGTCGCTGTTTACCGTAACATTCGACGTAGCGGCTTATGGTGCCTTTGTGGAGTCCTGTAGCTCAGTGGTTAGAGCACTCGCTTTGCAAGTGAGAGACCTGAGTTCAATTCCAGGCAGAGGGCCAAACCTTGGGCAAGTTTCCTTACTCCACACAGAGCCTAATAATAATCCCTCCAGAACCAAAAACAATAATAAATTGGTCATTTTCAATCTACGACTGTTTGTGGGACATTGCTGTGCGCAATTGGCTGCCGCGTTCACCCACAAATATACAGTCAATTCACTTTACAGTGTGTTCTGTGAAGCGCTTTGGGACGTCCTCCCGACGTGAAAAGCGCTATATCAAATGCAAAGTTTATTATTATTATTATTATTATTTGAGAGGCGTCTCAACCGCAAGGACCGCCCATCAGCCATTATTCACGATTGATGGTGAATGTTGGGACTGCGACCTGTGCAGAGCGGCTCTGTGTGGGTGTGGGTGTGTGTGGGTGGAAGGGGGGTCGGCGCATGCGCGGCCGGTGACTCCGCCCCCAACGTCAACACGCGCGGGGGGGGGGAGGGGGGGTTTCCACGGACACGGTCGGCGGGTCACGTGACGTGACCTGACGCGGGAGGTCAGAGGGCACAGCAGCCGGAGTCAGGTGACGGGATGGCAAGATGGCTGCCGTTCAGTGGTGAGAGGGCCGGGGCCGGGGCCTGGGCTGAGGGATTACCAGGAGCCACAGCGGTTGTTTTTTTTGTTTTGCTTTACGCACGGGGCGCAGCCGCAGCACATGGCGGGACTGACTCTCTCCCCCCTCCCCCTCCCCCGGAGCCGGCCTCTCCGGTGCAGACTCCAGGCTCTCCCCTGCCCTGTGATACCGAGGGCCTTTGTCCTGACGACTTCCCCCTATTCCCTGGAATGAGCAACAACGAATCAGCCCCTGACACTGACTTCCTCCTTACACTGTGTGCTGCCCCCCCCCCCCCCCCCCATTGAAGGGGTGTAGTTGTGTGTGTGTGTGTGTGTGTGGTGGGTGTAGGGGCATTAGAAAGTCCTATTAACACGGACGCAGTCACTTATTTTTTTCCTCTTTCGATGCACCAATTGTGGGCGTTTCGCCCTCAAATTATACAGTCCGTTCGCTGTACAGTATGTTCTGCGAAACGCTTTGAAGACGTCTCGGGGACGTGATCGGGCGCTGCATCTAAACGCAGGGATTGTTATGATTGTTGTTGTTGTTGTTATTGCATTGAGTAGCAATAGCGGTCCTCCCGTTTAATTCCTGCTGATACAATGCCTTATCAAGTCGTCAAAATGTCTTGGAGCGCTTCACGGGATTTAAAATATAAGCAGCAGACAGTCGCTATAACCCGAGCCCAAATCAGGGTATGGTAGTTTTTTTGGAGTATTAAAAGGAGACATTTTCAGGGTCGCACAGAGTCTACATCGACGGATTGAGGCATTTAACTGACTGGGCTGTCGCAGAGAAATATTGGTGCCATCGAAATGTTCAGCTGGTGAAGTCTGCATGATAATGAAGGGGTATGAATAATAAAGTAGCTGTGTTGAGGACAACATTTTAAATTGGCTGCAAATCTTGATTATGTTGAAGTGTAATTGGTGTCTAGGTTTATATCTTTATTTTATTCCAAAGGCATTCCAGATGCAGGAATTACAAAGCCGAGCTGGAAGCATGTCGCTTCGAGGTTATCCCTGTGGAGTTTGGGGACTTCCATCCTCTGAAACTTATTACTGTAAGTTTAAAAGATGTACAGCTAACCTTGTGTCTTTTGTCAATCCAACAGCAAACGTTTTTGTTTTTTAAAAAGTAAATCAATTAGTCCTCTTAAAATCTGTAATTTGTTATAGGTTAACATCCTAACCAACAAACATGTACACTTGTCATACATGTTTCCTGCCCTGCCATTAATGATCTGTCCCAGTAGTAATTGCCACAGGCTTCCTTCTAAACTTACCTCTTCAATAATATTGTGTTAGTAGGGTTGTAATTGGAGTTTGCTTGAAAAATGCAACATGAATATTTGAACAGTGCACCCTATCAAGCCCACAAATGCATGTACCATTTAATGTACATTTTCTTTTGTATATGAAAACTGTCAATCTTGTGTTGCTCGGAGTACCAGCATCTATGGCTTTTCCATTTGCTTCTGCCTTCAAGTTACAAATCAACATAACAGCAGTTGTCTTCATACTTTAACTGCATTATGGAGTTCACCGTGACCTTATTCAGTTGTTTCCTCCTCTGGCTGTAACTCCTGGCTTAGCAAGTGGCTTGTTTATGCAATGACATATTCACGACAGATAATTCCAATGAATAATTTATTTGGTTATCTTTTGCAGGTCACTGACTCAAAGACTAAGAAGGTTGGCCGCAAAGGAAGTACCTCCTCTACCTCCTCGTCCTCCTCAAGTTCGATGTTGGACCCTTTGAGCAGTTTGCTAGATGGCAGTGACCCTCTGTCATTGTTTGCAGCAACAGCTGATCCTCTGTCATGTGCTTCATCCAACACAACCGGGAAAAACAGCATCAATATGGTATTTTTAAAAAAAATCATACAGGTGCCATAACAGTTTGGTTTCAATTTTGTTTAAAGGGACCTGGACTGACACACCTGAGTGTAGGACAACAACAAAAGTTGAAAAGAGCGGGAGAGAAAATGAAGAGTTCAGAAGTATTGGTGACATGATGTCAAGCTTAGATTTTCAAAATGTGTGGGTTATAGGAGGAAGGGAGATGGGTTGATTGTAATTCCACACTTTTAGATTGGCTTGTTCGATAAGATGCTGCAGATTAAAGGGGTATTGTTGCTCATTTGTTTTCTGGTGGAGGTCATCAAAATTAAGAAAGGAATTGTCTGTGATTTTTGAAGCACCATAGCTTGTTGTCAACCCTCGTTTGTTTTATCTCACAAAGGATCTTGGTAAAAAGAAACGTGAACGAGAAGAGGAGACGGGAGTAGGAAGTGACTTTGAACCATGGTGTGGGAAGCGCGGAGATATCCTTGCACGATACACGACTACAGAAAAGCTGTCCATAGTAAGAGAAATATGGGGGAAAATCTTTTGATTTGCTATAATGTCCTGTAGCTCAGCGGTTAGAGCACTCGCCTTGCAAGTGAGACACCTGGGTTCAATTCCAGGCAGGCGAAACCATGGGCAAGTTTCCTTACTCCACACTATATATTCATGTTAAGAATGCAGAGACTAATTTATATTTCCATAAAATGCACTCACATCAATTGTTAGTTCCAACAATGCTGAGGACTCAAGGAGCGCTATTTAATTCTATGTCCCTTTTTTTTCCGCGGGAGGGTGCCAACACTTGTTTTGTGGCCCAATTTTTCACATAGCCTCTTAAGGGTTACATTTGTCAAACAATTAAAGTAAAGACAAGCTTTAATTTTTGCAGAAAAAAACCTTTGTGATCTCGAATATAGTGAATGTGCTGTGAAAAATACTGATATTGCAATTGTTTTGTTTGTTAAAATAAGATAATGTTTCTTGTCTAATCTCATGCTTTTGCTTTTTACTCCCCCATTATGTTTTCTTCTTTCCCTAACAGAACCTGTTTATGGGCTCAGAAAAAGGTAAGCCTAATGAGATTAATATTCAGTATATATACTATAGTGAAAATTGTTGAATTCTTTAAGCTTTCTGCAAACTTCCCTGGTTTCGATGTAACCAAAGTATCCTTTGATTTATTTACTCTGCAGGTAAAGCCACAAGTCCTGGGTCTGCTGTTTCTGAAAAAGTAAGGAATCGATTAGAAGAATTGGATGATCTAGAAGAGGTAAAAAGAAATTCTCACATTTATAAAAACAAAACACAGTGGTTCAAAGATAAGATATTAGAGAGGGTTAAATATGTTTTTGGCTGTGTGTTTGCATTTGATAATTGCTACCATTTTATAACTTAAATCTATGGACATCTACGACACTGGCCATTCAACCATTATATTTGGTATTGGGTTTTGAATGATCTTCCAATGAAGCAATCTATCCACACACCGCTTTCCTGCTCTTTCCCGGCATCCTTTAATATTCTTCCTCTGCATATTACCCCTTGAGGCCATTGTGATAGATTCTGCAGTTGTTCCTTTCCTGCCTCTGCTATTTACAGCTTTCATAACCTAGAATAATGTGTTTACAAAATTACAGAATCTATGGTTACCAGCAAGAATAAAACCCCTGCCACTGTAGTTTTTGCTGCTTACAGAAAAAGCTAACTTATTGCACTCCAGTCTTTGTAATGCAGTTTGTCACTATCTGAAGGTTCAATAAAGGTTACAGCTATGGATCGCAAATAAAAGCTGACCAAATTGTTTCACTTGAATTGAAACGTTAAATGTCACTAGCTGAATAGATTTCATTTGAAATTGCTGATCAATTGTTGACTGACACTTGCAATAGACTTTAATAAGTAATGTCGGCAGGCAATAAAACAGAAACAATACTCTGTTCCATCATAAAACGCAAGGCTATTATTTATTTCTACCTGAATAGAATAAAATGAATCTTATTTCAAAAGTGTTTGTTGAGGGCTACAGTAAAACAATAGGTATAATGGAAATGCCCTCCAGTGATTATAACCCAGCACTTGAGCGCAATGAATATTTAATGGTCAAGCAGTTCTACTGACTATTCCATCCTCACATAGAAAATACATAACCCCCTGAGAAATTGGTCTGATTTGCGGACAAGATTGGGTGAATAACAAATGAGCTTTTTTTCACATCAGTGTGTCCACATTTAATCTAGACAGATTAAATTTAGACAGATTCACATTTAGTAGTTCATTGAAGCTAGCCTCTCATTTCTGCTTTTCCCTGAAGGAAATTGTTTTAACTCTTTCAACCGTTTGATAATTTAGTGTTTTATAATTTCCTATTGTTGTTCTCAGTTTACAGGCATTTTAGCATAACATGTATTTCCTAATTTGCCAATGATAGGCAGTAGTGCATGGAGTTACACTGTTCTCCTGAGAACCAAATTTTGTTCCCGTTATCTATTAATTGATATCCATCTATTCCCTAGGGGTCCCAGAAAGAGCTTTTGAATTTGACGCAACAGGATTATATAAACAGGATCGAGGAACAGAACCAGTCGCTGAAAGACGCATGGGCTACAGATCAAAAAGTGAAAGCGTTAAAAATAGTTATTCAGGTCAGTTTTACCCAATTATTTTCAAGCAGATTTTGATTTTTTTTTGCTTGCCAGCTTCCTTTGCGTTTTGCATCGTTTAAAATCAAAATCCAGCGCAGCCTATTATAGTGTATATAGTGCAAATTTGGTTAAATCCATTGCACTGTGGACTCTGTTCACTTCCAGCCGTAAGCCGGCTTTTCGCGATGCCCAGTTCATGAGTTCACCGTCCGTCACTTTCTGCTTTGCTGTGAATGAAGGGGTCGCAATGAGACGTCTTGTAAAGTACTTCAATCAAAAAACAAGCTACTGTTTTGATTCTTATTATGTGAAACATCCCTGAGGGGTCTAAAGTTGGCATGTTTTTTAAAACTGAACTTAATTCCTATTTTCAGTGTTCAAAGCTGCTCTCCGATACCAGTGTGATTCAGTTTTACCCAAGCAAGTTTGTTCTGATCACTGATATATTGGATACCTTCGGTAAGGACAGTTATCAGCATTTTATCTGTAGGAACTGCTTTCTTGTATTGCAAGGTCATGTATAGTTTTAAAAGGTGAACATACATTCTGAGCTATGTAAGGAGGATTGAAAAACCTATAATACGAACTATTATATTTTGTTGTTGTGGTTAGAAATGTTTCAATATCTCCACGTAATTCAACTTCATGTCTATTCCATTCACTCACTGTAAACGTGTACATACTCTTTAGTGCTGTTGAAAGAATATATTTGTAAATTAGCTTGTGTAATCATTAACCCTACCAATTTAGGCCTGGTTTATACTGCAGATGACATGACAAACTGCCACAATAAATGCAGTCTGAATTGACGCTGAGCTGGAACCCAGTTGCTGAGCTCACCCTGAGTATACGGTTTCAGCAGCAATTTGATTGTAACACTGCAGTATAAATGGGATGGTCATAGATCCATTTAGGTTCCACTCAGAAATGGCCCATTAATAATTCTTGGGTAGTTCATCAGTCGTATTAACACTTTCTGATTGCGTATAGATCTCTCCACAGGGCTGGTCAATGAGATTAGCAGCAGGAAGTGTAAATTGGACTTCCACTTTTAATTGATTCCATGCAGGAGGGAAGCAATATTGTTTCCCCTTTGGGCACGAGATATTCTCTTGGATAAAGTTCTACGGCGGTCTGTCACTCGTGACTGATCGCACCGAAAAATATAACTTGCGTTTAACTTGCATTCACCACAAGGTGGAGCCTGATCGGGCTGCCACCTTGATATCTTCGGTTTGTTTCCAAATCACCCATTACTCAGTGACTGTTCCGGTGTAAATCCATGTGAGACCCTGACCAGACACCGCCATTCATTATTATTAAGTGGTTTCAATTTTTTTTTGAAGAATCACAGAGAGATTGGAGAACAAAGCTATTTGGACGCGCCTTATTTTAGAGGTTCCTTTCCAGTGATCATCTGCAGGAGATGAGACACTTATCATCTTCGTTGAGATTTGCTAGTCATATGTTAAGGAATGATTTGTGATCAAAGACCTTTTGCTCATTGGAGAGGCGCTGTCAGCTTGCTTTATCACCAGTGCCTGTAGAAAACTGATCATAACCAGAATGAAAGCTACATGTGGCAATGTGCAATGTTATTTTAAAAACTGGCTTCCAGTCAAGGTATTTGGATGACTATTTTTAACCACTCAAACATCACTCCTGTCTTTTTCCCGTGGTGGGAAGATAGCTGAATACTTTAAATTTGTAGCCTTGAAATCACTCCTGATTTCGACCAACATGGAATGTCTTTAAACTGAACTGTATATGTGTGAAAAAATTCATTTCTGTACGCAAAATAATTACTTTGGAAATTGGATAATTGACCTGATCAGCATTTGTGTTGAGTATTCCGTAATGAAGAATGATCGAACTGTGACAATGTAGTGTTCTGTCTGCCCACTCTTATAAAATGTTGTAGACCATTGTTTTCAAAAATGAAATATGTACCACATTTTGCTTGCAGGTAAACTAGTTTATGAAAGAATTTTGTCCATGTGTGCAAGTCGGATTTCTGTTCCTGGAGCCTCATTACCAGGTAATGTGAAAGAATTGAATGCTCAGGGCAGATTTGGTGGAAACCAGTCTGCAATATTTAATGGTGGTAGCTGAACAGATACCTGGAAGCTTTCTTCTGTTTTTTCATCTCAGCTGAAGAATATTGTGTTGCAAGAGAATTTTTTATTTTTAAAAAAAAAAGAAACATGAAAACTAATGGCCAGAAACAAAAGCTTGAACAAAGTTTATGAAGTTCAAATATCTCAAAGCACTTTTCAAATAAATATTGTCAAGTGTTGTGACTTTTTGTTGGGAGCTATCTGTTGGAAAAATAGATTTTGTTATGATTAACATTTTTGTTTTGCATTTTGTTACTTGCTGATGACTCGGGCTTCCTTAAAATCTGGCTTTTTAACCATTTGTTATGCAGATAACTTCAGTCCAGATGAAGTGAATGAAACGGCAAAGGAAACTTGTCTGAATTGGTTCTTCAAGATCGCATCAATCAGAGAGCTCATTTCCAGATTGTATCCTAAAACACAAAATCAGAGCTAACATTCTTCTTCACAGATATAGAATATAATCTGAATGTTTGACTATCTGAAATACCGCAACAGCATTTCTGTGGAGGTGTTTCTTGTAACAAAATACAAGTGTTTGCCTTAATTTTGTTTGCAGTTATGTGGAGGTGGCAATACTAAAATGTAATAAATTCCTTTCCAAGGTGTGAGTATGCAATTCATTAACCCAGAATGTCAAATGTTTGTTTCATAAAGTCTTGTGGTTTTTTTAATGCATTTTAGTACATTATTTTAATAATGTACAGATGTAATCTATTTGGTTCGGATATTTCAATGTATCAAAGCAGATTTAATAACTGACTATTTTGTTATTTAAGGAGAAAGTGCTCATAAATTTATCCTTCAAATGATCTGAATGTAAAATATTCTTATTTGATAGTGGTATCTCCGAGACTCTTCCTCGTTTGACATCGATGATAAGAGGCATTGGTGACCCATTGGTGGCTGTGTACGCTAGAGCATACCTTTTCAGGGTAGGTTTGAGTGACATTTTTATACTGAATCAAAGTGATAAATATTGGGCTGTTCTACATGCTATTTTGCAACTTTCTCAGCAAAAATGATTGCTGTCATTCATCATTTATTACCCCGTCTTTGTCTTCAACAGGTTGGAATGGAAGTTGCGCCCCACTTGAAGGACAGTTTGAATAAGAACTTTTTTGATTTCCTCTCCACGTTTAAACAAGTATGAAATTATCCCGATTGACTTTCAATATAAGGTTTCTTTATATAGTACACTAGCATTTTAACAGGAACATTTATTGGCTATGCCAATAGCCTAACATACCTCATTATTAAGCTATATAGACCAGAGAGTTCCTGATTTGATTCCCATTCTCTGATGAGCTAAGACAGGGAAATCAGTAACCCTAAACTTGGGGGAGTGGGAGTGGAGTGGATCAATAATCCAATAAACCCAATTGAACATTACATGTGTTAGTCATTGGGTAAGAACACAATTTAACTTGACTGTGAGATGTCACAATTGAATATGTGAGATGTCCAAGCACTCTGGGATACTACCCTGCGTGAGGGGCGCTATATAAATGCAAGTTGTTGTTGAGTATTCTGCCAACACTTATCTGCTGTATTGCAAGCCTATTTGTAATGGTCTTTCGAAACTAAGCTTATTGATAAAGAATTAGTATTATCAGATCTATTGTCTGGTTTAGTATATTAATGGCATTCAGAAACAAGTTGCGTTAACAACAAATTGTAGTTATACAGCGACATTCACGTCGGGAGGACATCCCTCCCAATAAAATGGGAGAATTAAATGTTGCAGGTCTACTTATTTCTCTTTAATGTAGATTCATGGAGAAACTGTTCAAAACCAGCTTGCTGTTCAGCGAGTAGAGATTCCAATTTACCTCACACTGTACTCTCCCGCTATAGACTGGATTCTTCAGTGTATTGCATACAAAGCACCTGAGGTACATTTTCAATTTTCTTTGCACTTTTACACTTTTTGTTTCAAAGCAGGTTCAAAAATTTTTGTTTTTCTGTAAAATGAGCATGTTGCATTTTCAAATTGCATGACCTGTATACATAGGGTTGCAGTTTGTGCAGGGTATGAGTGGACGTTTGTCCCTTATATTCACTGTAAACTCGCTGACTTTTATTGTACGTAGACGTGTAAATTTATCAGCTTAACCTTTTCAGGTCAAAATTGAGCAAAGTTTTCCCTGAAATGTGTACTTTTGGATTGTGGGCTGGAGTAGCTGGTGAAATGCTCCACTCTCTGGCTTCTCATGCAACACTGATCGGTAATGTGGAGAAACGTTCATTCCGTCAAGAATTTGGGTTTTTGTTTTAGTCCTTGGCAGAGTGAACATTGTTCCCACGCTACTCAACTCGTGTTTTCATTAGAAGCCAGCGAATGGAGGATTCCATGAGCCGCTTAAAATAACTGCAACTGGGTCAAAGATGTTTTCCCATCAGAGTCTATTGCTCTGAAAATTCCCGAATTGACGCAGCCCTCTACTCCTCACATTTCACGATTTGTTCAAAATCTTGCTCAAGCAGTATTCCTGGATATTGAGTTATTCGGGTTCATATTCATTCAACAGTTCTTTACGTGTGAGTTTTGCCTGTTAAGAGCATTCTTTAGTGCAATGGTGGACAACCTTTTTGGGTCGGCCAAGGAAATGAATTCTCTTGACTGAATACGTCTTGATTTATGGCCACTCGGAAGCTGCTGGAAACAAAACGTTGATTTAAAATAGAATCACGTAGAAGAGTGTGAATGTTCACGGGTTGGTCACCACTGCTTTAGAGAATATCCTGCGCTGGAAAAAATACATCCATTTCTTTGAATGCAGGAATTTTCTATCCCCTTTCCTCTTTCTACCCTCCACCACCACCACCACCATCATCACCACCATCGCCACCAACCCCACCTACTATTACCAGTTTAATTTTGTTTGGAGGTAATTGAAATTCTTTGAACTGGGAATTACTGAATTACTCTGTTTTTTGTATTTTTTTTAAAAAAACTTAGTTAAGTAGCGGGAGGGAGAGGAGTAGAAAATTGTCAAGGATGGCAATGCCTCCCTCGCCTTAGCACTTGTCAGCAAGTGGCATAGCACTGTATCTGTCTCAGCACTGCGTCTGTGGAACTGATTTTGCTGAAACAACCACATCCACTTCAGTAGAATAACAAAGTTTGCAGAGGACAATGAAAGAGTTATCAATGGGAAGCGAATTGCAACAAAAAAAATTACTTAAAGTCCAGCATCCACTCGGAGAGATATCACAAAGCTATTAAATAATAAAGGTAAACCTAATGGAAGTACTCATGTAGGACGATGTGTTTAATCCTGTTGTCTCTGCATCCTAAATGCATCTTTCTGCGCTGATTAAGTGTGTAAAAGATCTTGATTACGACTGCTTGGGACTTCAGCGCCTTGGGACGTCCTCCCGACGTGAAAGGCGCTAAACAATAATAATAATCCTTGCATTTGATATAGTGCTTTTCACGTCTTCTTAACGTCTCAAAGCACTTCATAGAATAGACTGTAAAGTGAATTAACCTTATATTGGTAACTTTGTATTGTAATTTTGTATTGTATTGGTTACAGGCATTGCTAACTGAAATGATGGAAAGATGCAAAAAACTTGGAAACAAGTAAGTTCATTCTTCCCGTTTCCTCTTGGTATGTGTAAAAAAAAACGGTACGTAGCGTGTATAGCATCGTTACTTCATTTTTTGATTCTTATCCCATGTTTTCCAATAGTGCTTTGCTATTGAACTCGGTAATGTCAGCGTTTAGGGCAGAATTCATCGCCACGAGATCGATGGATTTCATTGGTATGATAAAAGAATGTGAGGAGTCTGGTTTCCCCAAGGTAAGTCGATACTCAATGAAGTCAAGTGTAGTGTTTACCTTTCTTGCTCTATGTCCAAATTCTGGTAGTATCCACCATCAATCTTTGCTATTTTTGGGGGATAGTGGGAGTACATATATGTTCTAGTTGTAAATGGCATTTAAGGAAGCATCTGTCTCTACCTTTGTGGTTAATAGATGAATGATATTATAAGCATCGGATAGTGTTTGTTCTATAATGTAATTATATTCTACTGCTTTGAATTGCAGCACATCCTTTTCCGATCCTTGGGGATGAACTTGGCATTGGCTGACCCTCCTGAGAATGACCGATTGCAGATTCTGAATGAAGCCTGGAAAGTAATCACCAAACTTAAGAATCCGCAGGTCAGTATGGCATACAGGGCTTCAGGTTTCACTGTTGAGTTTGTACCAATGAGTGAACCTGGATCTAGTTCTGGCTGCATCCATGAAACTGCTGGTTTCTAGAAGATGAAACCTTAAACTTGAGACCTTATAAGTATCTATGATAGGTTTCTGCAGCCTAAATCAAAAAAAATTCCTTATGAATACATTTGAAACCTCCCATGTGATTTTGGCAGCCAAAATGTCCCTTACCCCAGTCTCATTTTTTACAATGGATTGTTTTGTTTTTGTCAGCAAATTTTTCTGTGTGTTAGAGTAATGTTTGGGTGCCTTTTGTTCTCTACACACCTTAAGCATTCACTGAAAAATCTCTGATCTTCAAAAATGCGTTCATTCATAAACAATGATTACATCCAGTGGAGAGCACAATTTTGTGTTGCTTTCCTTTCCCTTGGAGTGCAGAGGTAGTGGCAGATACTGTGCCTGTTTTAGATACTTGTGTGAAAGGGAAAGAAATGTCAGAGGATAGGAGGTCCGTGCATGTTCATTGCAGATCTACACCTGTTTTTTGCTGGCAAGGTGAATAGCTGGAATGGAGTGAGTTTGGCCCAGTTTGACCAAGTTACTTTTCACAAGTCTTTAATTTTAATCAAATGACTCACCCCAACGTTCGGCCTGTGGAGATTCCATTTAATTTGGGTCAGGTTGCCTCATAAGGCAGAAGATATTTAATTATCTGTCCAGTGGTAGTAATAAGTTTTACTTCCTAGCAGAATTGGTTAGCGATTTGCGGTAAGGGTTGTTCACCCAACTGAAATAACCTGTTTTCTAGCCCAAAACAGAGCTGATGTTAAATAGTGGGTGTTTTCACACAGACTGCCATTGTAAGTCTGCATAATTTGTAGTGACCAGTTGCTGTAATTTGATAGCGTATTGTGGTTGTATTATTAAGAGCCATAACTCTTATGTAATGTACTGACAAACAAGGAAACGTGTGAACCATCTGCTGTTTCTGCTTTCATTAACCAACACTGCAGACAACAATTTTTTAAAATCAAAATTACTTTCATAATTTAGATGTTCATGGTGTCTACTTGTGCCATTTTGTTTTTAATGAGGAATGAGATCATTGCACAATCAGTGGTTTAAGTACGGTACTGTAGGGATGATCAAAATGTAGCATTTTTTTTGTAGATCTGCTTGGATAGAAAAGATGTAATTTGATAGAAAAAAGTATTGTCAATCAAATTATATGGTGATTTTTAAAATAATATTGCACTATTGCTTTGTCACTTTTAGGATTACGTTAACTGTGCTGAAGTTTGGATAGAGTACACATGTAGACACTTCACAGTAAGTGGGATTTCCTTATACTCTACAGTTAGTCTTGTCGTTTTCTGACTTTAATTGGTGTAAATTGGTAAATTGCTGAGTTTGTCCAATTTTCTCGAAATTGAGGGAAAATGAATTTCTATTGTTAAACTTGCCAGGGGAGGGATGGAAATGAAACCAAAAAGTGAAGCAAACATCAATATTGTCTGTCAAATTTTTAAAAATTCCAAAACCAACAACGCTATGTATGGCTTGTTACGAATGAAATATGTTTGATGTGAAAACTTTGAATTTGATAGAAACGGCAAGTCAATACTGTGTTAGCAGACGTCATCAAACACTTGACACCAGACCGAGCTTTTGAAGATGCTTATTCACAGGTAACCAACCTGCAAAAGGTTTTGATTTTACGTGTATATATAATACAGTAATAATTCTTACATTTGATACAGTGCCTTTCATGTCAGGAGGACTCCTCAAAGCCCTTCACAGGATATACTGTAACGTAGAGTGACTAGTGTTTCGTGGGCAAATGCTGCAGCTATTTTGTGCTCAGTAATGTCCCACAAATAAGCCTTGAAGTGAATATCAGTTTTATTTGGGGGATTATTGGCCAGGACACTAAGAGAAACTCCCTTATCTTTTTGAATAGTGCAATTGAATCTTTAACATCCACCTCATCTGGCAGATGGGACCTTGGTTTAATGCCATTCAGCTGCGCACACTTGCAACAATGCAGCACTACATTGCAATGTCTGCATAAGCAATATACGTTTCAAGTCCCAACATGAGACCAGATAAATTGAAAAATATTTGTGTCTTCATACCTACTTCATTGTCCTAGGACAGTTTTCCCTCACTTTATTCAGTTAATTCACTGTACCATTACACTCTTACCTGTTGATAAACATGGCAGTGACAGCTGATGTTACGTGCAATATTCAAAACTCTTCCCTTAATGACTTTAATCCTCAAACAAAATGAGGATAAGAGTCCCCCGCTACTGCTTTTCATCTGAGATCAGCTAACGGGTCACCATTATGTATCTTGCTGACGTATCTAGCTCAGAACCACAGCAATCTCTGAATCATCAGGGAGGTTTTAACAGCAGCAGATTAAAGACGTATTTTAGTGGCATGCACATTTCTATGTCTGGTGTCCCTGAAACCCGATGACGGTAATCACCTTGAATTTCCCTACAGCCTTAGTGGATGATTTATCTTTGATATGTTAAGCAAAAATTATTGAATTGTTAGAATTATCAATTGTTGAAATGTTACAAACTGTTGTGCTTGGATGCTTGTAGTCTGTAGGCCTTGACTTTTGCTCACTTTGTTTTGTTTTCTTTTCCAGCTTCAGTCAATAATAACTAAAGTTCTGTATAACTTCCATGATTTTGCCGTTCTATTTTCAATGGTAAGTGTTTAACTCCAGTTATCTATCCTATACATTTTAATGTGTTTACCTCTCAAAATAACCTAGAGCTTTCTCACAGTATCTCACAATTATCTCACAATTATCTATAATCACTCACGAATTGTGTTAAAATATAATGCATCTCATGTTGACTTCACCTGGTTAGGTTTAAGTCTGAATGAATTTTGGACAGTGGAAGAAATCATCACCTATTTCAGGGCTGTATTTTCTGTGATTTTAATTATACTTATTATCTGTTCAAATTGAGATTAGCAACTTTTGGATAATCTCAAGTATAAGTACTATATTTTGTAATTTATTACCAATATGCACAAAATCCATTACATTACAGCAACCACGTTAGAACATGTTTCCTTTGCATTGTGCATTATAGCAGGGAGCATTGCTGATATTACTTCCTGGGGACAGCCCAAACACACTACCTACAGAAACCATTGTTGATGTCTTTTTGCAAAGAAAGTGACCTCACAATTATTTAGTTAATTTTTGAAAGGCATAAATGTTCCACCTCCTTTAAAAGAAACTGTTCTGTATTTCAATTGAAGTTACACTTTCCAAAGTAAAACCAGTACTACAGAAACTCCCATTTGCTGCAGTATCTGATGTATTTTTACCTATTGTGCTTTGTTCTCAGGAAAAATTCCTGCCATTTCTGGATATGTTCCAGAAGGAAAGTGTCAGAGTGGAAGTTTGTAAGTGCATTATGGATGTTTTTATTAGGTAAGCACACATTTACTTGAAATGCTTTTGCTGAAACCATAAGTTCAAATGGGCTTCTTATCTGAATCAATGTGTTGTTGCAGCTTTGTGTAGCATTAAACCCACTGAACTGCTACCTGAGACCTTAAATTAAATAAAATATGAAGAGTTTGCTTGATCCTACTTGTGTATGGCATATATGAGTAGCCACAGAACATTATTATAGTTGGGTTTACTTTCAGTATTGACCCCCTTGTATAATAAGGACTCATTTTTTAATCAAAATGTCTACACTTTGCCCACGACTATATCAACAAGTTTACATTTGAAATATAATTGCATCCGTGTTAAATGGGGTACCATTCCACCTCATTCCTCTGGAAAACCTCCATAACTAGCACCTAACTTCATATTTTTTTCAGTTAGATGGTCTTCCACTAAATTGCTTTGTCCATAATTACACAAATCAATAGACTGCCTGGAGTCCCCAGATAATTCAGCTTTCCAGTTCAGTGAAAGCTACTCTTAAGTACCATTATCTGCCTATACGATTTGCATTGAAATTATTTTGCACATTTTTTATTGGATCTTGTACTATTCACATCTACTATTATAAACCCTTAATTGAGCCTGGAGTATCCCAAGAAATATATTCCTGCAGTTCATTCCTACATGCTGCTGTTGCTGATTGGTGCTTGATATATAAATATTATGTTGTATATTTAAAAATAAATGTCAAAAGAGAGAAATATTGGTTTTCGTAAGATTAAAATCTGCATTCTACGCAGATTCATGTTTAAATTCTGACTGCTGTTTTAATTAGATGAGCCCTGTTAACTATCTTTTTGTTGTTGCTCTATGTCAAATGATCATATAAGTTTTAACTGATTTATTTAATTTTATATTCCAGGCATCAGCAAGAACTAACCCGTGACCCTGTTATACTGAATGCTCTGATGCACGTTTGCAAGACTATGCATGACTCTGTCAAGTAAGACATAGGTTATTTTGACCTTACATTGGAAACTCACTGATCAGGTCAGCAGATAGACTGGGGGATTTTGTCCAAATAGTACATTGTCCTCACCAGTTACTCATGACATAAACTATCTAAAATAACACAAACTACTGCTGCAACTAGAGTCTTTGTTTATTATCAAGTCCATGTGTTGTGTTCCCAACTAAGACTTCTTTCCCTCCCTCCCCCCCACCCCACCCCCCCCCCCCAACTAGGATAAATTTTTTTAAACATTTATAACTGCTGGAATTTTATATTTACTTGTGTTAATTGCTTTGTTGAAGTGCGTTAACATTGGAAGATGAAAAAAGGAGTTTGGCTGTTTTCATCAGTGGATTTATCAGAATGGTGAGTATTTCAGGGCTGTTGATTTCGCTAAAAAGCTCAGCGCAACCTTAAAGAATGGCATTTTAAAGGTTTGCAGATCTTGTTGATGTACTGCCATTGGAGCTTTGGTAAAGAAAAGAACCTCTACAGACCTCTACATCAAAACTATTTCAGAACTTTTTTCTTAAGTTTTTTAGGTCTTGTCTTTCAAGGTGTAGGGAATTTGATTCGAGTTTTGCTTAGGACTGAATGCGGTATATATATATATATAGTACGTTCTTTGTCCTTAGCATTGCAGCTTTAGAGTTACCCACTGGGAGGCAACAAAGGGACAACAGTGAAACAACACTCCCTATGGGAAATGTCTTGTCGGTCGCTGGCAGAGGATCAGTGGGAGCAATCCATCCAGAAATCATTGTCCTGTCACCCTGATGCAATACCTTGAAGCTCCAAATTGAACCTCTTGATTCCCTTGATTTTAAATCGTTGCGCTGTTGGGAAGGTTATTCATGTTGTAATGTGATTAGAATCTTTTTCTCGTTTTCATGATTTCGGGGTGCTATGTTTTTTGTTTTAACTGTTCTTTTCATTTTATATAATAGGTTTCGTTTGGCCGTGACTTTGAGCAGCAGTTAAGCTTTTATGTGGAAGCCAGATCAACGTTCTGCAACCTGGAGCCTGTTCTTGTTCAGCTAATCCATGTAAGAAATCACTGTTCAGATAGGGTCCTCTGGGCTTACTTCTCTTCTTCCCTAATTTAATTCACTTTTTACAACGTTTCAAAACTCATAGAAGGGCAATTGATGGATTTTAAGCATTTTGCACAGGTCGCAATCTTTGTAACTCAGTAACCAGCTAAATATTATATAAACTTTACCTTGATATCCAGCGTGGAAACAGGCCATTCGGACTAGCTTGTCCATCCTGGTGTTTGTACTCCACATCATCCACTCCTTACTCCCTCCATTCTATTCCCTTCTTCTGCATTGAAACAGGAGGAGGCCATTCAGCCCCTCAAGCCTGTTCCGCCATTTTATAAGTTCATGGCCTATCTGTACCTCAAGTTCAGTTAACCGCCCTTACCCCATGTTGCTTAATACCCAGAGCTAACAAATATCTATCTATCTCTGTCTTGAAAATGTGAATGGATCCAGCATCCACAGCCTTTTGGGGGAGAAATTTCCAGATTTCCACTACCCTTTGGGTGAAAAACTGCCTCCTAATTTCACTCCTAAATAACTTTAAGATGATGCCCCCTGTTCTGGATTCCCCCACCAGAGGAAATGGTTTCTCTACCCTATCGAATCAATCATATCACCCCTCAACCTTCTAAACTCAAGGGAATAGAGACCAGATTTATGTAACCTGGCCTCATAATTTAACCCTTTAAGCCCTGGTATATGGAGTCCTGTAGCTCGGTGGTTAGAGCACTCAGCTCGCAAGCAAGAGACGTGGGTTTGAATCCCGGCAGGGCAACATGCTGGGTAAATTTCCTTATTCCACACGCCTCTGTTTATTTAGCAGTAAGTAGGAACCTGGTTGTTAGTCGATTGGCAGATCGCTTTTCTGGGGGTAATAATTCCTTTTTTAAAAAAAATTGGTTACTTCAAATTGCTGTCACTTCACCACTGCTGTGCGCAATTGGCTGCTGCCTTTCGCCCACAAAATTTACAGTCAATTCACTTTACAGTGTATTCTGTGAAACGCTTTGGGAGTCTCAAAGGCGCTATATCAAATGCAAGGATGATTATTGCTATTTTGCTATGTAGTTTCATGACCAAATTCTGAGTGTACATATGATATGAAGTCACGAGGGGGCGCTCTTAGGTAACAGAATCACCAACCGAGGTTACTTGCCAAACCCATGCAATAACACGATTCTCTTGCCCTCCTTTTCGATGAAAATAAGCACCTTGAAATTCTGCATAATTTGTTCACCTACACATAGTCACTACACTTTGCAGTAACTCCTGTGCAGCGATTCGAGACCTCGCAACACGAAAGGCCTGATATTAAATGCAAGTACTATTATTATTATGGAATTAGGTATGTTTGAATTGACGATTGGTGAGCTGATTAGGTTAATGTTATCATCCCTAGTCATCTCATTTTTCTTCTGAAAGTGAGTGTTGACCTAAAAACTCAAAATAAGTTTTTTTTTCTCTCTCCTCCCTGCTTGTTTCACTCCCAGGTGAACACTGGCTTCATCTGTCTACATCAAATCATTTTTAACAATTGCTTCACCATAATGTGGGTCACTATTTCTCAACAATTGGTTCCAGGAACTTGTTATTTTTCCCTTTTTGTGAGTTTGTACCCTGTCCATGTGAAATCCCTTCAGATTGAGTGCTCTGCCAAGGTTTATTTATAATTGATTCACTGCATAATAATCATTGCATTTGATATAAAGCCTAATAACATTGTCAAAACCTCTCAAAGCTCCTCATAGGATTTGCTGCCAAGCATAGTAAATGTGTTCGTCGGCAAATGTGACAGCTAATTTGTCCGCAGTGGTGCCCCACAAATAACAACAAATCACATTTATACAGCACCTTTCACCAACAACCAGGAGGTGAATAACCAGTTGTTTTTTTGTTTGGGGGTTTGGTGGCCAGGACACCAGGAGAAACTCCTCTTTTCAAATAGTGACACGATCTTTAACACCCACCTGAAAAGGCAGATAGGTGGGAGCTCCATTTAAAGTTTCATCTGAAGGACGGCACCTCTGACAATGTAGCGTTTCCACAGCACTGCATTGGGGTGGCTGAGGTGGTGAGTGCTGAAATGTGGGCTTCTGTCTTTTTTTCCCCCACCGAAGCTTGCTGCGGCACTCTGAAGAGATACCAAACTGGGGTCCCAAGTGCTTCTTATGGGAATTGGGGAAGGGAAGTTCTTACAAGTTCTTATTAGGTTAGGAGTAAAGCATTGGGTGAGACCTTGTGCTGTTGGACACATGTAATCCGTGACTTCAGGACACTGGGGAAAACAAACGATAAATGGTTAACTGAATTAAAATAAATCAATATTGTATAAAAACACTCAATACTTGTTTTTCTTTCTGTGAAGAGTGTAAATCAACTTGCGATGGAGACCAGGAAAGTTATGAAGGGCAAACATTCCAGAAAAACAGCAGCATTTGTGAGGGTAAGAGATGTATGGAACTGCAGTTTGCTTTTTCAGAAAACAATGAAATTGAAATTTGATGGTTTTGTAAAATGTTATTTTTGATGTGGCATCAAAAAAAGGGTTTTTGCTTTGAGCACAAATGTCATTGGAATTCAAGTTTTAATGTATTGCAGCATATGATTTCCATGATTTTGCTTCATCTAATGTAGCTCATGTACAGCAGGATTTTCAGAAACCATTTGATCAGGTCCCTTGTGAGAAAGTGGAAGCTCGTGGGATTGAGAAGGAAGTTGTAAATCAGATAATGAACCAAGGGCAGTTATCAGTGTAATACAAAGTCATGCGTTGGCGTCAGGAGTGAAAACATTGTATTATACACCGATCCTTAGTAATAACATTATTTATACTGTGAAAATGAAATGTCTGTGTTTCATTGTATTTAAGTTTAATTTTGTGTTTTAAATTAAATTGAGGCATGCGGTTAGCTCCACAATGGCTCCGTGGGTATGCATGTCACTAAGGTACGAAATTGGAGCTATTTCCAGGGTGCCAAATGAGATTGTTTATATGTAGATGGATATTGGGATTGATATTCATGGGTTTTATATTGTTTGCAGAAAGTGAGATATTGAAGGAGAACAAAATGAGAATCTCAGTGTTTTTTCAGATCCTCGCAGACAGATACAGATAGAGTTCAACGGTGGAACTGAAATATCTGGGACAGTACTGAAATGTCAACCTGTGATTTGTGAAAATATTCAGTCCATTGCCAGCTATTTATTTCTCACAACAAGCTCATTCTAAGGGAATTCTAATAGTTGTGAATATTTTTTGTGTCACAGGCCTGTGCTGCGTATTGCTTCATTACCATTCCATCGTTGGCCAACATCTTTACACGCCTTAACCTTTACTTGCATTCGGGGCAGGTGGCCCTTGCAAATCAATGCCTTTCACAAGGTAAGAGGGATTCTCAACTGAAGGATAGTAGGAGTTGGGCTATTTATTGCCATATTTACAGACTCTGTTTAAATTTTTTTTTGCTGACTCTTTTTGTGTTTGAGAGCTCATCTCGAACCGTAAATTCCAGTTTCAAAACTATCCTAGATTCCGTGCTTGGTTCTTGTATTTGATCGTAATGTCAGAGTAACCAGGTCGATTTTTATGACACAAAGTTAAGAGATGACTGTGTAAATGGATATTCATATATTATATATAAACACACACACACACTTTTTAATCTATACGGTATTCAATCGTGCCAGTGAAGAAATTACAAAGTGCGTGAGTGCCAGAATCTGGTGAAGATGTCATATTGTTATTTCATTAGATATTGTGGATGCCTCGTAAGCACGTCAGTGCAGGCAGAAGGCTTCATATTTAGGATTTGCCTGTGGCTTTCTTCTTTTTATGTTTTTTTTAACGTTGCTGGAATAATTTTTAAAAATTTGAATGCATGAGGCAGGAAAAAGTCTACATCTTAAGCGTCACATTAATACTTGCAGTGAGGCATCACTTTGACAGGTTTCACCCAGTTGTTATATTTCGCAACTGTAGACACACCTCAGCTGGGCAGCAGTGACATTAATTGACTTAATCAAGTGTATTTACTTTGCATTCATTATGCATATTGAGGAATTCAAATGCATTGGGCAGATTAGGCCAAGCTCTTACATATGGATGATATATACTAGCGTGCTGGATTTTTTTTGACCTTGTCTCTAATGTAGAAATCAGCACTACTTGTCAGCTCTTGTCCACCTACGCAAGCTTTGTAATGATGTGTTACTAATTTAAAATTGGACCTCCATCATGTATAGTGTGAGTTATACATTAACTAGTAACAATACAACGGGAGCTAATATGCAGTCAACTTTCTAATGTGTTGGACCAGAAGTTGAAGTATTTTAGTTTGTATCACCTTTACATTTTCTAATAATAGAAAATAACTTTCATCAGCTAATTTCTAACTTTAGAAATGTTACTGGCAGTCAGAGCAAAGCTCGGCTTTCCCCAGTGAATGCAGACGTATATTTCACAGCTCTTGGAAATGCTCAGATGTGTACATCTTGGTGCACTGTAACTCGGGCATTAAAAGTCTGAGCTTGTTTACTTGGTGGCTTTTGTTGGTCTCCCTGTAAACTGCAGCGTTTAGTTTCTCTGAAGTTAAACGGATATCTTTGAGATATAACTCGACTGGAATGCACTCATGATTTACACGGCACATATGTTTTCATTGTGCAATTTTATGACTAATCAGAGACTTTTACCTCTAACTCCCACCAACATTCTTTTACTTCTGTGTTTTATCAGAAGGGATTCTGGTGAAAGCTCCCCAAACGTAGAGAAATTCCTCCTCTCGGTGGCATTGTAAAAGTTTATAAATTATAAACAGGCCTAAATGCATTACAGAAGGGAGGGAGTGTTCTGATTTAAATGTGTAGCTAGAGGTCTGTCCTCCTGCTGAGAGTGTTATGAGGTTAGAACTATCACTAACTGACCAAAGAAGGCTTTGCCTGTGATGTTATTTTTTCCTGAAATGAATTCATTCTGTATTTCTGCAGCTATTAGACCTGATAAACAGTTTGGTTTAAGCCATTAACAGTGAAGGTTTTCAGATTCCCTAATATCTTGGTGTTTTCCAAAAGAGCCGTATTTAACAGCTGCAGAAATGCAATAACTATTTGCTACTGAAGCTACTGGGCTTGATATGGTTAAAAAACTGATTCACAATGTGTGTGCCCGTCATAGAAACTCCCAAGAAAGATTCTGTTTTCCCTCTATCTTTTGTGATTAAACGTTCACAAGCAGATTCAAATTGGATTAATTTGCCTGTTGTAAAAATGTTCAAGCTCAGTCAACTGGATACTTACTGTTTCTGTCCAGCATGCAGAGAACTCTGTAAATGTCAGCTAATTTGCAGCTTGGTATGGAAAAAGCTGATGCAGGAAGTTTAGCGTTTTGTGCACTGCTAGAATTTAGTTATGATTAGATCCTATTGTTGCACTGTGGTGTTCTGAGTGCATTCCATAAAGTAGGGATTATTTCTTTGGCTGCTGAATAGAGTTGTTTTTGACCTGAAACACGGCATAGATAGAAGTTGTGAAGTCATTGATGTGAGAGTTGACAATAAATCTGTTTTTTTTAACTGCATAAAGTTAAGCAGCGAGCAAATATTTTAGTATTTCTGCAACCCTTGAACATTTTGGCAGATGCACGATAATGTTAGTAAGTTTGAAACTTTGTCACATAAACCAATCATGTAATAAGGAGACCCTTTGGAGAAGAAGAAATATCCTCTCTCTCCCCTCTTCTAAAAAGCAATTGATTTATAATGTTATAGAAACTTATGAGAAAGAATGCCTTTTTTGCTTGGCTCCCCCTGCAACCAATCTAGTCTCTACTTGGCAAGGCCACGAAGAGATACGGTGTGATAAAAGAGTGATTTGAATTTGTGGGATAAGTAACTCACTCGTGTTTCTCAACTATCAATTGTGAGCTTCCCTATTGGCTGTGGAAGCTCAGAAGCACGATATGACCAAATATAGTGTGGCATTGGTAGCTAGACTGCACTGGCATAAGCATAATGTCTTCGGCGTGGAAATTGAATTGGTCTTGGCATCTTTCTCATTTGTGTTTCCTAAATCAAAGCCAAACCCCAAGGCAGAATAAGTCAAATACATTGCGAAGCTTCTCAATTTTTCATCCTGTGGATTTGAACCTCAGTGTTAGACAAGCTCTCAGTACTATGTCAACAGGCCTTTCCATTCATCACACTGCCCTAAACACCTATCACAGTGAAATTGCTCAAGTAATACAACATTTAAGATGAATGCAGTATCTACCCCTAGGAAACCGGACTGCAGCTAAAGACTTCGACTGTCAGAGCCTGTTGTGGTTCCAATACTAAACGGAGATTAGAAACATCTATACAGGATTAATCAACATTGATTTCAAATCTGTTCTCTCTCTCTCTTCTCATGGTATATGAAAATGAGCCAATGTACTGGATGCTTGAATGGTGCACTCACTCCTCTTTCTTGTAATGTGATTCATGTATCCTCCATGTCCATAAGTATTGTGTTACTATTCACAGAGAATTGTCCTTTCAAGAGAAGGGAGTTTCTCTTTGTGTCCTGGTCAACAATGTCCCAGACAAAATTGATCATTCATGTCGTAGCTGTTTGTGGGATATTGCTGTGTGCAAATTGGCCACTGTGTTCACTTGCAAAAATACACACAGGCACTACGCTTTACAGTATATCCTGTGAAGTGCTTTGAGATGTCTTTCCGACGTGAAAGGCGCTATGATCTCCATTAGACTGAGATTTCATTTGATCAGGGCTAGCTCAAGAATTCAGATTGTACATATCCTATTTACCTGGTTATCTCTAACTACAGATGGATATCATTTAACTTAACATCGTTTATCTCTAGTAATGTCTGTATAGCTTGTTTTAGTTCCTTTTTATCGTGGGTATACATTTGATCCAGAATCAGATGCTTCTCTTTGTAATTTTGACTGTCTTACAGTGAACAATTTTCTCTCTGTTAAAACCACATACAGGATTTAGGTGACAGTCTTGCTTACTGTGGTAAAGAATAAAAATGATATAAGGACCTGACTGTAATGAATTCGAAAGGTACTAAAACTGTGGACATGGGCCAAGAGAGCAAAAAGACTACTCTCAACTCAACATGAATTGCCACTCAATTGGCATTCTCGCTTGAGAGGTCACTGGATGGCTGATGTGAGAAATAGAAAATGACACACTGGTACAGAAATAGATGCTCTTCCAGCATTGAGGCATTATTGAGAGAGCAGTGGGAGCTTCACTCTGCATTGTCGCCAAGCTTTACCTCACTGGTATTACCTTGCCCTGAAAGAAGACAGTATTCATAGCTCATGCCAACATCCATTATCTCTTGTTCATATCACCATACCAAAATCTCTTCAAACTCGAAACATATAATGGACGACTGAATCGAGCTATATTTCGGTAACCATACTCATTATAGGCTGTTGTGACAGATCACACCCATATAATAATTATTAACTGTTAATAAGCAGAGTTTTTTCCCCGAGTGCTGTGATGAATCATTCATCTCATCTGCACTTGGGGGCCCTTGTTGTGATAGCTGACTATAATTTGGAACATGCTGCATGTGTAATCATGGAGTATTAATTTTGAAGGATTAGGTTGGTTTGTTCCAGGTTGTGTGTGTGGGACTGATATTGTATTCTGAGAGCAAACCTGAAAGTAAGGAATTAATAACCCTGACATTGAAAGGAAAGGTTGCCTTAAATTAATTGATAGAAGTTTGTAATGTATATAGTCCATCATTTTTTTGTTGTAGTATAGACATAGTAGAAGTGACTGACGCTAACTAAAGGATAAAAAGTATGATTGTGATAGTCAAGGTTTTATAGCAAATGATGTAATTTTATGTTTTGTTCTAGTCGCGCATAAGATTATATGCTAAATGTATAATGCAGTGTAAATGTATAGATAATAAAAAATAATCTTGCATTTGATGTAGCATCTTATCACGTTGTCAAGACGTCTCAAAGTGCTTCACAGGATATACGGTATAGTGGTTGACTATGCTTTGTGAGCAAAATATGATGTCATGAAATTTTTGTTTCCCGGTGCAATAAAATTTCTCATTCCTCATGTTTAATCTCAATATTTGAAGAATGGGGTAGATTTATGCTGATAGCTGCATTTGTGATTTAAGTAATTCAGCATATAATATGTAATTGGCCACATATTGATCAATAATGGATTTTAAAGACATGTGCCATAAATAATATAGTAGGGTAATTTAAAAGTCTTGGTTATCTATATTCCATCTTTAAGCACAGTTTGTGCTTAAAGTTTATGAACAGCTTTCTCTTGGAAAAGCTGTTTTGAAGAACCAGTGCTTTCTATTGTTAGTTATATGAAATGTGATTTGTTTCAGAAGGCCATTTTTTTTCTTTCTGCTTCATGTGATAATCTGCAATTACAGCTGCTGTAGTCACCGAATAAATGTTCTTCCATTTGAATGCCATCTTGGTGTTTCGTCAAGATAGTCGATCGAAATTTCTAGTGAGGCATTCCAGAAAAAAACATATCTGTGAAGATGTACATAATTATCAGCAAGCAGATGGTGATCAGACAGTGTCATACTTGGTCTCTGAATATTTACAGAGCCTTTTGTTATTAAGAGGAATGCGTCTTATCAATTTGCAGGTTTTTTTGTAAAACTGTCAATGTTTGTTGCTCCATTGAGTATTGTGAATGCAGCACCTTTCTGTTAACGAAAGCCTGGATTTTTAATTCTAGAGTAATTAAAGCCTTTCTCTTCATTGGATTAGTTTTTCTGCTGCTGCAGCTCCGCTGACCCGATCAGAGCCACCCCGGCATTCAGTTGAATATTCAGTTGACGTTTCTCGAACGAAGGCTTAATTTAAAAACGTAAAATCACAGGCTCAAGATCGAGACAAGGTTACTTTTTGTTACTCACTCCTTCATTATCCAGACTTCTAGATCAACTGTGGTAGCTTGTCATTTCTGAACTCGTCTTTGAGGGTATTTCAGCTTTTGCTGGTCTCCCTGGGGTTGATTGACCAGGCTCTCAGGACGTGCACGAGGCAATTTTTTTTATTTATTTGATGACTAATCTATAATTGTAACTCAGCTGAATAGATTTGCAACTTCCTTTAAGTACCGTGATTTGCCATCTATTTGTGTTTCTTTTTTAAATTCTCTCTTGCTTTAGCTCTGGCTCACCCCTTCAACCTGGTGTTGCAGCGTTCCCTGATGGAAAAATGTATTCTTCGACCTCTGACCACGTTGCTGTGTCAGCCTTCATTAAGCAGCGTTTTAGTGTCACAAAATGCTGGAAGCATCCCTGCTCTCAAACTCCCGCCCCATCTCCAACCTTCCTTTCCAAGGTCCTGGAACGAGTCGTTGCTTCCCAGCTTTGCTCCTCCTTCTCCCACCACTCCCTTCACAGACCCCTCCAACTAGGTTTCTGTGCCGCCCACAGCACAGAAACAACTTTGGTCAAAGTAACAAATGACATTTTGTCCATCTGTGACCAGGGCTCCCTCTACCCCCTCGTCCTTCTTGACCTCCTCGCTGCCTTCGATACTCTATCCTCATCCACTGCCGCTCCTCTCACCTCAACCTTCATGGTTCTGTCCTTGAATGATTCAGATCCTTCTGACACCATCTCCACAAACATCTTCTCCTCTAACCCCCGCCTTGGGACATCCTCCTGACGTGAAAGGCGCTGTACAAATGTAATTTTGTTGCTGTTGTCACGGTGCCAAGCCACAAGGTCCGTCAGATGGACCAGAGTAAAATGATGCTGCTGTGTACTGCTAATATTACTATCATATTCATTGTAATTCCAAACTTTCCAGTTTTCTTGAATTCCTCATATAGACTTGTATCATCCCCAGAATCTCGTATTGATATTTCTTAAATTTCAATGCTACTGTGTCATGCTACACCCCCCCCCCAACCACATTTCTTCCTTCTGCTGGGGCTGCCACCGTTGTGGCACTATATCACTGATTTACTGTGCACAGACCTGGAAGCACAGTGTGTGCTGCCAGTTGTACAGATATAGCAGGAATGCAGTTGCAGCTGACTAGTAGAAATCTGCATTCAGTCTGTACCCCTCTTGCTTTTTCGCTGCGATTCTGCAGATGAAGAGCCTGGATTTCATTATTCCATTGACCTCCAGGCTCATCTCCCCTCTGTTCATGTTGTGGATGTGGTTGACATCAGACTCCTGCATGACTCGCTCTGAAATTCCCTTAGAGACCAACTATTTACATGTCGTCCTGACAATTAAGAACCACGGATTATACACAGGGCTACAACAAACTGGGGATTTAAAGCTGGACGGTGGCGCAAAATATATTTTTATTGCCAATCTGCTGCTAATTATTGCCATTATACTGTGAAGTGAAAAGAAGGCATTTAAAATCAGAAGACTCATCGATGTTCTTGGAGACGTTTTCAATTATTAATCGTATTCCCAAGAGTAGGAGAGCACAGCTGGCCATTTGGGAGATGATATTAATTTTGTTCACGAAATTTATCATAAAACACAGAAGGGGGAAAAAGTCTTTTTTGTTCAATTCCCTCCTCCGTTATGTTGCCACCAAATGAACCGGCTCGCTAATGTATTTCCTATTTTACAAAAGAAAGCTGGATATTCCATGCTGTGGACTTGAAACAGAATTGCAGCACAAACAGGACAAGATTACAAATAAGCTGCAAGAAATTTCAAAATGTTTTACAGATCAATGAATGAAACTATAGAATGCCAAAAATGTAACATTTCAGAACGCATTCATTCCGTTTGCGGGTCTGCTCTCTGTTGCTTTAGTGTTCCACTGGACCGTGTTCTTGCCATTATAACAGGCAATTTGTGTTTGTTTCCCTTGAATACTCTTGTTCCAAGTATTCTGGCAAATTGTTACTCAAACCATATACTGTACTCAGCTACATTCAAACCTGAGCCTCCCCATGAAACAAGTGTAGTTTACTGCAGATAAATGCTTTATCAATAGAAACGTTTCTTTTTAAATCAAAACACGTTGCAACAAACTGCTGTCTCTTTTTCTCTGTTTCCCCAGTAAGGTACAATTTTTAGCGTACAAAATTTTAGTGTGGGTGAGTGGGCGGCTTATACTCTTGGTTAGGACCGGCTAGAAAATGCCTCTTGCTAAAATGAGCTGGTGGTTAGCTGTGGAGGCCCATGCTAATGCACTGGGTCACTGAGACGTTCCTATGGTGACTTAATCTCTCATTGTGCCAAAAGCTGAACAACTGTATCAACAAAGCAGACGTGTATGTGCAAATAAGACCTGGAAACTATTACATTCGGTCAACATTATTCTTTTTTATAATGGCTTTATTAAAGGGGGGAAGGATTGCCTCTTAAAAGCATCACCAAACAGGAGAAATAGTTCGATCAGGGTCAAAATACAGCTTTCCAGAAAGAAGCTGACTGGAAAAGAGATTAATTATGCTTTTTTTCCCCTTTGTTAACAAGCTGACGCCTTCTTTAAAGCTGCAATCAGCCTTCTTCCTGAAGTCCCGAGGATGATCAACATAGATGGGAAGATGAGAACTTCAGAAGGCTTTCTCTTTGAATTCCTCAGTAACTTCTTCTCCACGCTGTTAATCGTACCTGTGAGTATGCTTGAAAGTGCAAATGTTGATTCAAGAATGTAGCAGCGTGGCACAGTGTTTCAACAACAACTCCGATGAAATAGTAGGTCACTGGGTTTATCCCTGCATTTCGCACCCAAATCTAGGCTAAGCTCTCGAGGGGATGTGCTAATACAAAGTACTTCTAAATTGTAAGAGAATCAGAATGATTGTCACAGGACAGTCTCCTGCATCTCCACAATCCTGTGGATTGTCTCCTGCATCTCCTAGCAGACTCATTTGAAGAACATTGGAAAATAGGGCAGGTCATTTGCCTAAAAGTGCTTGTTAGAATGTGCTTCGCTGCTGTGCTTTTAATTGTGGCTCGTTGCTTAAGGTATGGGTGCACTGCAGAATACATTTATCAAAGTCTACATCCAAGTTTCCATTCAACTTCTACCATTTAAGAAGCCAATGTTTCACACACTGGTTTCCCAGCACTTCACACAATTTAAAATGGCAACTGATAATTTCAGACTCGCTTCTACTGCTCATTTTAACCAGCTATTGTTCCAAACTATTCCTATTTTTTGAAAAATGATGAAGCATCGTTGGTAGACAGCTGGTGTAGGAGCAATCTGTCAGAAAAGATACGAGAATTCAAGGGAATTCTGAAAGATTTTGGAAACCTCAGAAAGCAATCTCCCCAAAATTACATTGTAATTCCCAAATTTATGTTATGTATAGTTAGTTTGCCCTTACATTGTAGTTTTTTCTGCATTTTTTTTGTTTGCTGCCTTGGAAACCTTTTAACTTTTACAAATACTCCCTGAATAATGCATTACATTGCTTGTAGTTCTCACCTTATTTTCAATAATCATGGTAATGTAAAACACCCAAGGTATCATATACAAATACACATGTTAACTATTCAGTGTAACCCAAGTAATGTTGAAGGTGCTAAATTTATAGTTAGTTGCATATCATTCACCTACAAAATCCACAGTCACTACTCCTTACAGTAAATCCTTACACTGAGATGCTTTGAGATGTCCTCCAATGTGAAAGACGCTATATCAAATGCAAGGAAAAAGAGTATTTAATTGATTATTCTGATATCTTTTTATAGTGATTTTTAGTTTTGCAGCATTTTTTGCAGACACAAACTAGAATCATCCACTGCCATCCACTACCATCCAGAAAATCCAAATCATTCAGAACTCTGCCGCCCGCAATCTCACCCGCACGAAACTCCGCTCCCCGATCCCCCCAGTCCTGACCAGACTGCACTGGCTGCCTATCCCAGAGAGGATCGACTTCAAGATCCTCACCCTCGTATTCAAGTCCCTGCACTCCTCTGCACCCCCCGACCTCTCTGACCTCTCTCCTCAAAACACTACCCGTTGCCTTTGTTCCTCCGGGTCTGGCCTCCTCCTTGTCCCCTGAGTCCTCCGCTCCACCCTCGGTGGCCGTGCCTTCAGACACTATGCCCCGAGGCTCTGTAACTCCCTTCCTCTCGCCCCCTCTCTTCCCATTTTCAGGTCTCTGCTGAAGACCTTTCTTTTCGACCGCACCTTTGGTCACCTTCCCTTGGCCCCCCCCGCTCCCCCTGGCTCGGCCCCGGGATCTGTTACTGTGAAGCGCTCTGAGACGCCGTCTCAACCGTTGTTGTAGAAGGATTGAAAAGATAATAATAGCTTCAGGGCAAGCACTATTCTATTTGACTATTTGTTTTTGCGAGTTAGACCCCCCACCACCCAAACATTTTGCACATTAACTTGTATAAAATCTCTTTCTTTATTTCTTTTGGATAGGATCATCCAGAACAAGGCGTCTTATACCTAGTGAGGGGGCTGTTGAATGTGATCCAGGACTACACTTGGGAAGATGCCAGTGATCCAAAAGTGCGAACCTACACAAATGTGTTGCACTTGCTGGCTGCGGTGAGCCAAGAGAACTACCTCTACCATGTAGATAAAGGTACATTTTACGTTTGAAATTGTTTTTTCCTCTAGAAAATAGAGCCAGCATATTTTGTTGAATGTGATTTTCATATTTTTAAAAATATCAAAGCTAATATTTAAACTCTGCAGCATCTATGGAGAAAGGAAAGTGAGTCAACGCTTCGAGCCCACGACCCTTTGCCAGTAAGTTCTTCGTGGATCTGAAATGTTGACTCGCTTTCCTTTCTCCATAGATGCTGCCTGACCTGCTGTGTGTTCCCAGCGACTTCTGTTTTTGTTTTCAGATTTCCAGCATCGGCAGTATTTTGTGTTTTGATAATATTTAAACTGGTTGGGTACATGTTAGCGAAGAGCCTACTGTCACTCTTACAAAATGACACTGGAGGAATGAGGTTTTTTTAAGCCCTTCCAAAAATGCCTATCTGCATAGGAATGGAAAAGTTATTAAGAAGAATAAGCAGTGATCCAGAAATAATGTTTTTTTTCACTTCCTATTGACTTAATAATAATAATCCTTGCATTTGATATAGCGCTTTTCACGTCTTCTAGACGTCTCAAATCACTTCACAGAATAGACTGTAAAGTGAATTGACTGGATATTTGTGGGCAAAACTGTGGCAGCCAATTGCGCACAGCAGTGTCCCACAAACAGTCATGGATTGAAATGACCAATTTAATAATAAGGTATTGTAACACTCAGGCATTTAGCAAAATCTCTTAAGAAATAAGCTCACTGCTTCTACAGAGTGGCTAAGATCATAAAAAGATTCTTCAAAAGATTCACAGCACATCACGATGGCCCGAATGGCCTCCTTCTGTGCTGTATAATTCTATGAATCTATGATCATTGTACTGATATCCCATCAATGCCAAAGCATTCTCTTGGAATGTTTAAACCGAGTGCAGGCTGTTCCTGTCATAAACATGATCAAGTTGATTTGAAGTATAAATAAGTCAAAACGGGAAGGGTTGTTGACAAGCATATGCTTAACATCGCATCTGTATAATGGATTCCTTCTAAGAAATGATTTGATGGGCGAAGAAACTATTAGATTTTGTAATAAATTGGACTCTTGTAACAGTGATTTTTTTTCATTAAAGAGATCATAACACAGATCATTGTGAACAAATTTGAGTGCATAATAACCAGTTGTCTCATTCGCCTCAAAACCCTCAAAAAAGCAGTTTTACTTGAGCCTAAAACGTGGGTGGAGATGTGTATTTTGACTTCAGATTCACTTAACATACCAAAGGTAATAGCAAACGTGTTGGGTATATGTCAGTGAAGATCCTACTATCACGCTTATGAAATGACATTGGAGGAATGAGTTGTTTTCTTTTTAAACCCTTCCAAAAATGCCTATGTATAGGAATAGAAAAGTTATTAAGAAAAGTAAACAGTGGTCCAGAAATAATCGTGGTGCATTAAACGCCGGTTTAGACTAGTTGGGCTGAAATGACCTGTTTCTATGCTGTATATTGTGTGTAATTCTATGTAACACTTCAGCCAGTCTTGGAGAAGTGGGCACATAGGCCACTTGGTGGGCTAGTTTTCACCTGCCCTATGATGTATGGATGAGAACAACTAATGTGTTCAGGACGACAATTATAAGAGACTACATTAGAACTCTATTAAAGGGTCATGCCTGAATATTATCTCTTTCTGATTTTAGCACATTATCTAATTCTAGTTCTTATTCAGGTTCCAGCAGTATAAGATTTTCTTTTTATTTCTGCCCACTGTGCCCTTCTTTATCTAGGTCAAATTACAAGTTTTATCTGTGGTAAGTAGCATGGATAATTGTTGAGCTGATCCAAGTTGGTTGCTAATAAGTATTAAGGGCCACACTATAAAAGGTCAGTTTCTGCAGGGCTTTAGTACACTGGAGTCGGTGACTTCTGAAATGACACTGTGTATATTGCATTTCATTGAAGAATATTTAATCCCCTTCACCCATAGAAAGCTATCGTATTCACAGTCGTGTGATTAAATGCAATTTATAGGATCCATGAATGTATTGAATCGTAAAGCAATGGAATTAAATTTAAATTCTAATTTTAAAAACAATAACAACTTGCATTTATACAGCGCCCTTCACACGGGGTAGCGTCCCGGACCACTTACGGTGAGAGGGTTAACCATGATACACACAGCTGGATTTTCTTTGGCCTCTTGTCATGATTGCACTCCTTTCATTTTCCTGGAACGATCCTCCCTCCCATAGTTTTAGCATTACAGTGCTAGAACTGAATATGTTTTTCTTTAATGAGCTGACTGTTCAATTATAACTTGATGAACACCTCTCTGTCTTGCAGTTGATTCTAATGATAACCTCTATGGAAGTGACCCCAAGTTCTTGGCTGAAATTAATAAGCTGTCTGACACTCTGATTGGACAGATCCTGGACCATCTCAAAACTCTTGGGAAAGACGAGGTATTGAATTAATCAGATGTAGCGAGCAGTCGTGTTTTCACATTATTTATTTAAAAGCTATCATATGTGGCTGATTCTTGCCTCCTGCTTCAAAGAGGACCAGACTCTCTATATTAAATTCATAATAGGTTGCACACTGCACAATGATTCTTTATTTTTAGGCTTATTGACCCAGAGCTGCCCTCCGATTCATAATTTTTTGACAGGAGCCGGAATTGGCTTGCAGGGTTCAGCAGCTGGGAGCGACTGTAAGGGATTATGGTAACGCAACCTGGATAATTTTGTAGAGAATAATCCTCTCTCTGTTTGAATCATTTTAAAATGTGTATTTTGCAAGATTATATTTTATATGGAGTTGTTGTCTTTTTTTTCTGTAACCCTTATTTTATTTTATTCAAATATGCAGTCTTTTCACTTTACAGTATATTTTGTGAAGAGCTTTGAGACGTCAGGAAGACATGAAAAGTGCTATATTAAATATAAGGATTATTATGTTATTATATATTCCGTGATAAAGAAATGTGCCACTGGGGTGGATCAATATTCCCTATCTGTTTGTAAGATCTTCCCTTGCATTAAATTGCTTTCAATTCTACCTTCTGCTGTCTGCATCAGTTCTAGATAACTGCTATGTTTCTTTTTTGGTTTTATTTTGCTAGTATTTGATGCTTCTAGACTGGCACAGTGGGAAAAAAAATGCAAAACAACATGCCTCTGGCTAAACTCTAACTTTGTGACCTTTTTGATTTTGTTCCAACGTTTTCAAATAAATCAGACATCAAATTCCAGACTCCCAACATCCTAAATCAACAAATTTACTGATGGTGCCTCTGGAAAAAAAGCAAATTGGCAAAAGGAGGCCTTTTCTTCCTCTTTACATGAAAATGGGGCGGCTGATTAAAGAAAGGATGTTAGTTTAAAACAATATTTAGTTCCAGCCCTTAATATAGGCGAGTATATATGGGATTGCAGACAGAATGACCTGCTACAACAGTGTTTTGAGTCCGTAAAATTAAGACACTATATTATAAGCCTGAAGAATGGCCATTGATTGTTCTTCTGTGTTGTCAGGGTACTGTTGATGTTGCTTCCAGCACAGACTGGCCTGCTTGTCATAATTGCTCTTGCCAGAGTTTCTCGCGAGGCGTTTTATAATGGGATAATGCCCTGGTATGACTTTTGAATAACTAAAGATTTCCTTAAGGACTGGATGTTAGTTTTGAAGACCTTCTACCTTGATTATCTTTCAATTTGGAAAGCTTGAATGTGTGTATTTTGCTTTTTTTTCATCAGTCTTCTCACTTCCTTCTTGCTTTGAATGGATATGCTTCTGCTTCTGCTGCTGCTGGGCAACCACAATTCTTCAACAATATGTGAGCTGCAGTGAGCTGCATTTTTAAACCTCAGCCATCAGGAATGTGGATGATTAGCATATTAATTCACTCAACTATTCTACTCATCCAATTTGATTTGTGAAGCATATGTGCCATATAGCCAAAATATGGTTTTTTAAGCATTCTATAAGGATCGAAACCCAGCGTGAACCATTCTCTTCACATTTCTGGTATAAAGATTACCTATTTTGCTCCGTTTGTCAAACGTTCATTGTGTCTCTTCTGTTCTACAGAATTTGAGGCGACAGAGTGCCTTGGCCATGTCTTTGTTTAACAGTATTCTCATCCACGGAGATTTGCGGAATAATAAGCTCAACCAATTAGCGATCAACCTGTGGAATCTTGCCCAAAAACATGGCTTTGCTGACACCAAAACTATGGTAAGGACCATAATGAGTTTATTCATTACAATGCAATACACAATTACATTTGTATAGTGCCCTTCACGTCGGGAAGACGTCCTAGGGTGCTGGACAGTCGGATTTGTCCCCGAGCTGGGGGTTGGCATTGGGGAGAGTAGGAGGGTGGCCGAAGGCTCAGTCGAAGAGGAGGTCGAAGATTCATTACTGTTGTAATTCCACCATAAACATATTTGCTTTGTTTTTTGAAGTGGTGAAGTGGTAGGCCAGGACTGAGAAAGCTAATATCCTTTTGCATAATTTAAAATGACATGTTTTAAAACTCTGCAGAGATTCTTATAATTAATTGGTCTCAAAGTAGACTTTTGTTTGCAAAGGGACATTAATGAAACACAATGTTAAAAGTGACTTCAGATTAAGGTCTACGTGCAAACCAAAATCGCTGTCAGTTTACTTAATTAGTTGAGAGAATTAAAAGAGGAAACTGGGACGTAGAATTAAAATAGCAATTGATTTTATAATAACAACAATCCTTTGCATTTGATAGAATACTTGCTCGACAGGAGGACAGCTCAAAGGGCTTCACAGACTTTATTGTAAAGTGCAATTTATTTAATTGGTGAACGTAACAGCCAATTTTGCACACAGCAAAGCCTCACAAACAGCGATGAAGCGAATCACTGATTTTTATCTGGTGCATTATTGGCCAGGACACCAAGAGAAATTCCCTTCTCTTTTCATATAGAGTCATGGGATCTTTAATATCCACCTGAGCACAAATCTCGGTTTCACATCCCATCCAAAGGGCGATATTTTGTTCACTGCAAAGAGAATGATTTGATTAATATCTATTTGCTTAACAACAAATTGAGATTGCATTTCGAATTCATCTCTTCACCATAAACGTACGTTATAAAAATGTGTTACTCCTGCATCCCACTTTTGGCTGTTAGCTGCTGGGGGATACCTTTGCAGCAGAGCCGTGTTAACCTACTTTACCCGGGAGCTGCACGTTTAACTCACAAATGAAAAACTGTATTTGGAATTATTTGACTGTTTGCTCTCCTGATCATTGTTTTTTTTTTAAAAAAAGGTGAGAACATTGGAACACATCAAACGTCAAAATAAACAGCCAGGCATGGGCCATTTTGCAGAACTGGCATTGAGACTCCCATTGCAATCTCGAACATAATGCTTCCTCTTCCTCTCCACTACTATAATGGCAGAACTGCTGACGAGAATCTGTCTTAATACAACAGCAAATCACTTTACTAAACTAAATGAACTTGAATTCTTAATTTTTTTTGTCAACCAGCATTAATCTTTTGTTGCCTACCAGAAAATGTACTTAAAGAAGAAAGAACAGTGCACAGAAAATTGCTGTTCGAGTTATTTTAAGGAACTGCTGCTGTCATGGAGAGGTTTGGTAATTCCCTGCAGGAAGGGAAGGTTGCACCTACTGAACTGTTTAGCTGTTTAGCGAGCTTTAGAGCCGGGAACAGGCTGGCGATGATCCCTCGCCACCAAACATAATGCAGACAGTCCCAAAGGAACGGGAAGGGAAGAAACTACCTTGAAAAGCACTGGACAAGAGAAATATCCATCATGTTTCTACTGCACATGGAATTCCATCTAGTGACTGAGGTTAGATTCTCTTCCTATTGTCATTGGTTTTGTATAATTTCAACCTCAGTATTTTAAGGATGCTTCAACTCGTCATGTTAATCTGTACAATTAGATGCAGAATTGGCTTTTTTTTTAAATAAAGTTTTTGTTTGGTGCCAACCACTTGCTGTAGTCATTGTTTAGCTGGGGAAGTGGTAAGGTTTTGTACTCACCTCTACAACTACCATCAGAGCTCGTGTGCGATCGGCTGAGAGGAAGCCAGTTTCTTCTCGATGGAGTGTCTCCATTGCAGATGGAATTTTGTCTTAACGTTTCAGCTAAAAACCATCGTCCCTCACCTGATTGAATCGGGTTGGTTTGATTGACGGAGGCGTCTCTAGGATTCTCAGACTTGTGGTTAGTAATCAAACGGGTAGTTCCTCAAGTCTTGAATCCTGACTTCTTTCTTGTAATGCGGAGAGCTTAGTTGGTTTAAAACTCATTTTGAGGAAAGGAAGTGCCATGAACATTTACATATAAGCAACTTGGAATGATTTGATTTCATGTTGCTGTTTATTCATCAATGCAAATAAAAGACAAATGGGAAATATGTTTTGTGGAATATTTGAATGTTGTGTTCGACAAATAAAACAGCGCTTTTGTTTTCCAGATCACGAATGAGGAGCCACATCCTCACCTGCTTTAGGTTTTAAAGTAGATTCCAAACTGAAATTGTTTTGATGAATAAAGCTTCCGCTGCCTACAATATTTAATCGTTTCTTTAATACTGTACTTGAAGCAATACCAAATCTGTATTACATCTTGTATTTATGATGATAGTACATTAGTCTGCAGTTGTGTCAAATGTAGTGACAAGTGACGTGAAGTAGAAATATGTTGCGAACTAATTGTGAAAGGACAAGCCCATTTAAAATGCATTTTGCAATTTATGGGCCTCACCACTTTATATACGTAAAATAAACTGATGTTCAAGCTTCTGAATTGGCCTATTTTTCCCCAGTTTTTTTGGTTTGGATGGAAACTAATATAAATATCAGAACTGTCAGGGTCACGTTTCATTACTAAGAGCATCATTTATATAGACAAATTGTAGCATGTAGCAAATTTTAGCAATTTCATCTCGAGTCAGACGTTTATGCGACCAAGACCCGAGTTAGGGACTTGTAACTGACGGTCTATGCTGATAGTCCAATGGCATTGCTGGGGATGAGTTGTATTGTTGAAGGTGCTGTCCTTCAAGTGGGATGTTGTCTGCCTGTTCAGTTGGCATAATTGGAAAAGGGAGTTTCTCCTGGAGTCTTGGCAAACAACCACCCAAACAACATTTGTTATCACTTAATTGCTGTTTGAATCTCCTGCTCAGTAATTCTTAGCTTCCTGAATCTCTTAGTAAAGGTTTCATATTTAGCTAAATCATGTTGAACCAATTTTTGAAAACCTGTTTTGATTTTGGAGTGCAACTTACTTCTTGTGTACAAACTGAGAATGAGGAAAACAATGCTATGTTTGCAGTAACAACACACAATTCACATCTGCAGATGTGGGAGAGCAGAAAGAAAGAAATCAATTCCAAAATTGTTGTTGAAAGATGCAAAAATGCAATGTTTTATTACTAACAGTTTTGTTCATGTTTATTGTGAATCCAAACTGAAGGGTGGAAATATAATTGTAAAACTTGTACACCATCACACTGTAAGCTCTGGTCTGATGTTGGTTCTTAATAAGTCAGAAAACAATGTCATCAATTTTCTGATTCAAATACCGAAGTTGACTGAAACAAAGGTGAAATAAGAAATCCTGCAGGAAAAAAATAACGTAAACCTGAGCCAGCATTTGGTCCATTCAACCAGGACACACACAGCTGTGTTCTACATGAAATACAAAGCTCAGCTGAGCTTAATTTTCATATCTACTATGATTCCAGCTTCCAATTACAGCTGCCTTTTTCCAGACCAAATTGAACAATTGAATCCAGTATTGTTTTGATTTGTAGATAACCACCCAAATCCCAAGTAAGAGAGAAATTATTGAAAGTAGATCAAAATATTATTATACAATCTTTTTTTTTAGTATTCAAAATACTGTTCATTTTCACCTTAGTCTAAATTAAACTTTGATGATGTCGAGGCATTCTTATCTATGTAAAACATTTTGCTCTGTATCTGCTGTTGTGGGGACCGGAAGCCCAGACCGATGCCTCGGTTCTGCCTGAAGTTCAAGGCTTTTTCAAAATCGCTCTGTAAATGGGTGTTAAGTTTCTGCTCGTCAGACTTGTTAAGGGCCATGTTGGGCTTTTCAGAATCCACTCCTGTTAATAAATGTTGATTTGACTTCTTAAATCCACCCATCAGTCTCAAAAATTTATTTTGCTGTTCTGGGTTCTGAAATGAAGCTGTGTTCCATTGTCCAAACTGCGTGCACTACAGTAGACAAATAAAAATAAGTTGATTATATTAAAAAAATGCACATTAAAGTAATAATAATCCTTGCATTTGATACAGCACCTTATCAAGTCTTCAAGACGTCTCAAGGTGCTTCACAGAATATACTGCAAAGTGAACTGACATTTTGTGGACAAAACGCGGCAGCCAATTGCGCACATTAATTTTTTTTAAAACCTGTTTTGAATTTGCAGTGCAACTTACTACTTGAGTACAAACTGAGAATGAGGAAAACTATGCTAAGTTTTGTGGTAACGACACGCAATTCACATCTGCAGATGTGGGAGAGCAGGAAGAGAGGAAACAGTCAAGTCCAAAGTTGTTGTTGAAAGATGCAAAAACGCAATGTTTTATTACTATCAATTTTGTTCATGTCTATTGTGAATCCAAACTGAAGGGTGGAATATCAATGTAAAAACCTGTACACCATCACATCCTAAGCTCTGATCTGATGTTGGTTCTTAATAAGTCAGAAAACAATGTCATAGTACTAGTTCCTATACTACAGACAAAATGCACAGAGACTGGTTAGGAAGCAGAGAAATGGAATAAATGGGACATTCACTGATTGTTGGGCAATGGCAGGTCACATCCTCTGTGGATCAGAGTTGGGGCCAGTTTTTGAAACCACGTAAATTACCCAATCTTATAGAAGACATGAATATGATTGATGGCAGGACTTTCAAAATTGACTTTAAAGTCGGCTTAAAATGTAGCATGATTGACAGTGTTGTGTTAGAACCAACAGTCACTGTTCTGCAGCTGCTCAATATATATATATTTTTAAAACAGATTTTTTTGGTTTCTCTCTCCATCAGCATTTGCCTGTTGATAATGATTGCTGCATGCTCTTCCAGTGGATCAGAGTAATACCATTTCTGAACAGCTTTTCTGTATCATCCCTTTTCTATATGGTCTTTCATTTGCAGGAAAAACTACACGACTGAGCCTGCAAATCATTTCAGGTAACGTAATCCCCATTCTGTAAAAGTAATGAAGACCAGAGAAGCATGGTTTCTGATCACTTGTTAGACCTCCCAATTTGCTGTGTGCCTTCAGCTCCCCTCTCGACTCTCCACCCCCTCCTCGCTCCCTCCCTCCCTCCCCTCACCATTTCCCCCCTGCTCGGGTCCCGACCCAACTGTCCAGCGCCTTGGGACGTCCTCCCGCCGTGAAAGGCGCTCTATAAATGCAATCTTGTTGTTGTTGTGTGCGGTGCACTCGGTCAGATTCCGCGACTGTCAAGCTCCGGGACCCTACCCTTGCGTGAAGGGCCCTATATAAATGCAAGTTGTTGGTGTTGTATTCGCTCATTTTTAACTGGAGCCATATCCCTGAGTCCGGGCTGCAGTGAAATGCAGGCTAAAGAAAATCTCCACAGAGGTAATTATAATAAAGTGCCATTTTTAGTGAGAGGAAAGCTTTCAGCAAACAATTTGTTCTTCATTGGAGTTTTCAGAAAAAGGTCATTGTTGCAAACTAATTGTGTTCAGTCTGATATAGGATGATATGTCATGGGCCAAGGCCAGCAGTGAAATATGATCGATATCAACTAGTGAGTAGGGATATTTATCATTAATCTGCTGAAGGCCATGAAAGATTGTTTTAACAGTGATATAAAAAGTCATCACAGGAGGGGAGATATGAAATTATTTTCAATCTCTAACACATGTCTGGGGCAGTATATCATGTTCAATTTATTAGCACAAGTAATTATACTTTGTATCTCTAAACTTCACCATAATCCAAAAGGAACAAAAACAAAACTATTAAGGAGGAAGCTGGATTTTCATCAGTTAAGTCACCATTTCAACACTGCGAGTCGCTCAGATATGTTCCCACATCTCTCTAAATTCTGGTGAGCTGCAGTTTCTCCACGGCCTTTATTCATTCAACTTTATACCAGTAGCTGGGCGTGTGCTTTACATCAATATCCTTAAACTAAACATCCGAACACTGACACTTAAACATTTCCAAACACATTTTGAATATTTGGCTAAATTTTACAATAGAATGCTACAGCATGGATGCAGGCAATTCGGCCCAACTAGTCTGCGCTGACGTTCACACTCGACTCCTAATTCCCTTCGACTCCACGAATACATCATTTTTATGATGCAAATATGTGAATGATGTGGAGCTGTGAGAGGGGCTCCAGTGAATTGCTCACTCTCGAGTTAGGCAGCCTGGAGGGAAGTGAACAGTCGAATATTTTTTGTATTTCAGATATGTGGAATGCATCACATTTTCTGTTGCTGACAGCATATCCTCTGAGCCGTTAATAATTGAAGCTAATGTGACACGTTTCAAATTGGATCAGTCCTTAGCCACTTTGTTTTGTCCCTTTTAAAACACTGAAAGGCCCGAGCTTAATTATAACATTTTAATCTATCAACGTAAATGTGTTGAAATGGCAGAACATCACAATTGTGTAATTAACATAAACCATGCTGCGAATGTTAATTTGAATGCAATGTAACGTCTCGCATTGTAACCCTGCCCCCACTTTGCATAAAGAACCTCCCGACAAACAAAAACAAACACTGAATTGGATACAACTGAACTTTTATCTTAAATTAAAGTTTTCCACACAACCAAATATTTGCAACAAATATCCAAAGCAATACTTTTTTTTAAAAAGAACATTAATACCGCACAAAGTCTACCAACTGTCACGGCTGGAGAAAGCTTCATTAATGAATCTTAAGTTGGATAAAATGATATTAAAGTAATCACCACCACCACGACTCGCCGCGTCAAACACGCCTACACTTAACTTGCTTGTGCGTCATCTGCACCAAGGATGAACCATGGTGCTGTTCTTCTACTTACATGAGGTTTGATATCTGTTTGTTTGATATCTGTTTGTTTGTTATCCAGAGGGTTGATATCCAGAGGTTTTGTCTCTGAAACAGCCCCCGTCTCCAAAGTATTGGTTTTACCAGAAACTCTGTCGATTTCTGCTTGCAAGGCTTGCCTGCGAGCCTAAGATACACAAATTTCAGAAACGGTTTAACTGTACAGTTGTGCATTGAATTAAATAATGAAAATGTCGTTGATAATTGATGCTATGTGTAAATAACCAATTTGTATGCTAATGAGTAAAATAACAACGGTTACTGTGTGTTAATGAGCTCAGATTGCAGTCTTCGGTTCTGTTAATAATTGTTGCAACAATTCATTTGCAAAAAAGGGCATCTTATCCTAGAGACTTCCACTGTTGGGAGATCTCAGGTATCTGCGGGAAACAACTGACATCATAAATGTAAAGAAACACCACTAATCTGACAGCAAGTAGAATTTGTTCCGGTTTTAGAAATTTGCACGTCAAACATCTCTTGGTAGATTTCTTAATGTGTTTTGCCCAGCCGAGTTTCTGACACATGACCATCACCCTGCTTAAGAGTATCCAAACCAAACCAAACTGAGATATCCATCATTCAACTTGGAAACCCACTGCAAATGAGTCTGGCTTGTTCTTGTATTCCCCGGCCCAATAAACGCGTCTAGCATTGCTAGTACAAGGTGCAGTTTTGCACTTCTAGATCAAGATTTTCTTGCACATGTAAACAAGATCATAATCATAATCCTGTAAACCTTACAACTTAAACACAAGCGAGATTTGTTGAGGTGTGTGGGAGGCAGCTGAGTATGCAATGCCTATATATTTTCAGCCATTTCTAATTTGCTGTTCGCTCCTAACATAGTTTGTCGCTGCCAGGAGAGAAACAACCCTATCTCCTGAATCTGAACATTCATGTGTTTTAAACCTGACTTTGTTTCACTGGTTTATACCAATGAATAGTACAAAAATTAGTTTATACGGATGAATGTTCAGCTTAGCTTCGAGTTTGCAAAAGATATGCCAGGAGTTCAATGCACCACTGTACCTTGTCTATCGTCGCTTCAAATACATTTCCTTTCTTTTCAGACATAATCTGCAATTCTCCGTCACTCTCCTGAGATTCAATTTCAACTTTTATCTAAAAGAAAAAAAGCAACATTTGAATAAACCCAATTTCATAATTATAATACATTCACATTGATGCAAATAATTATGGGTTTGTTTAGTTTGCAGAAAATAGGCAAATTCCCTATATACTGTATATTGAAATATTCTGAATGGTTTAACAAGAAATATCAGTCTGGTAAAAAAGCATAAGGAAATGAAGCCTAATTATTATAGAGATCACTAGGATACAATGACCTTCCCCCTAACCTTCCTGCCTCCTCTACCCTCTGGTTACTTGCATTGTTATTAAAATGTCATTTGCGTTTAGAGTGACATCCATGAACATAAAATAAAATACGAATCGAGAGTTGATGTGCTGTGCCAATCGCAAAGAAAAATCTCAAATTTATTTCTGCTAATTGACGAGACAAAATATTAGTCGAAATTCAGAACTTGTTTTCAGAGTCGAGAGGAAATGCTGGCTGACTGCTGCAATCTTTTGAATGTGCTGCAACTACTCATAATGTTTCAAATGTACTAAAAGGAACGCTGTAATAAGAAAGACTGACATATACCCAGGATGCGTAGTGCAGTTTCAGTCTCATGCATATTCCTCCAGCACCTGGTTTTACTTAAGACTTTTGTATGTTTACCACAGGACAACTCTAAACCGATCGCAGTTAAGTTCAGATCTGAAGCTGTTGGCAGGATGATGGGATCGTATTTCAGATTCATTTAGACTTCACCCAGACTTTTTGATGTTTGTAGACTCGGTGTGAATCAAATGATGAAAAACAGAACACAAACACGTGATCGATCTGGGATCTTTCACCGTAAGAATTCTCTCTCAGTGTAAGCTTCTGCGTGTTAGTAATGCTATATGTAACATTTCTTGTAACAAACAACAGCAAATGGTGATGGCCTGTCTAGCCATGAGAAATGCTTATATGGTATTGATAAGTAACCGGCAGATTATTCATTTTGCAATGAACACTTTCTTATGTTCTTATTATACATAGGTAATTCGGGACATATGTGCATATGACCGCCAAGAAGGTTGGAAAGAGAACTAGATGGGCCTTGATCTGTTTTCGTCTCGCATTTCTTTTGTTCTTATGCAACGAGTTTTTACTTTAGTGTGACCTCAATTAGTAAACTACAGCGCTAATTTTAACTATGAATATTATCTGGTACAATTGCAGTTTTTAAAAGAAAACTAGACTTTATAATATAATAAATTTGGAATGAGGTCAGCGAAAGTGTGTGCTGTTGACAATGTCACAGAGGCACGGAAACGGTTTGATCCATCACCACATCACTCGGATGTCAATCCCAACTGTACCATTTGCCTCCTAAGGGAGCTGGAAGGTAAATATCATGAGAAGAATTGTGTCAGACCAATGCTGCATAACTCGAGCAGTCAACTCCGACTGAATTACTGGGCACTTGGGAATAATTTACCTCCCTGGCCTCTCAAACACAGGATGTCCAAGGCTCGGGACACCAAAGGGACAAACATGTTCTTTATTCTCACCCTGAGCAGTGTAATTTAGCAGAGACCATGGCTGCACAAAAGCTGCACAATTAAAAAGAAAAATCGTGAATGGTGGAACTCTTATATAAAACCGAAACATACTATGGAATCAATTTACATTTATATAGTGCTTCTCAGGTCAGGAGAGATTGAAGAAGGGAATGATGACCAAATTCACAGTCAAAGAGGTAGGTCTTGAGACGGGCTTTGAATCTACATCAGTTTGGAGAGCATTTAAAAATAAAAATGACTCCTTGGTTATCAGATCAATTTTACATTGTAAAAACTTACAAGAATTTCTAGAATACGATCAGTTACATTTTAAATGGAGTGGGACACGTAAAGCAAAATCTCTTATTGATATTTTGCATGGGAAGTGGCTGGGATATTGACAGCATAGCTACTTTAAGTGGTAGGAACAAGTTAAACCAGGGTTGAATATCCAGAATTTATTGTGGACCACATCTGGCCTGTCAACGCCAAAGTTACTGCCAGATGGACTGGTTTGTCTTTTCTAGTCCTGCACATTCCTATCTGCAAGTCCAATGGGATTCTCTCCAGTATTACATAAAGGTATGCTATCTATTTTTAGTTTAAAGCTTTCCACTCTGTTCTTTGATGCAGGAGGCTGAATGTGCAATATGCTTGGAATTTCATAACACACAGAACATGACACTTGCCAAAGTACAATTCCATATTTCAACAAAATGTTTTGAAAGAGCAAGCCCGATAAATAAGATTTGAATGCTTTGTTTACCCCCTAGATGAAACCCAAAATGTAACTTTTTCCGCAAGAAGCATCTATTGTGTGTGTGTATATACACATACATATATATAGTGTATATATATATACATACTAGCTGTACCAGTTGCAGCTTCGCTTGCAACCAAAGGATCCAATATGGAATGTAGATTGACACAGACAGACATTTCACCTTTATCTATACTCATCTGGGAGGACTCTTGTGGGAGAACTCATTTTGGCTGTGCTATTCTTTGACTGGGCAACTCATTTTGGCGTGCTGTTGCAGTCCTTTCAGCATTGAAGTGCCACTGCGCTGTTCTTTGTTCTTCAGTTTCATTTAATAGGCCTTCTCTCTTTTGTCTAGCATTTTTACTTATCCTTGAAAGGTTTGATTTTCGCTTAGAAATCTTTACAACGATAAATATATAATTTATAATCACTGGGGCGTCCTCCCGAAGTGAAAGCGCTTTGAAAATGTAATTTTGTTGTTGTTGCCGTGGCTTAGCTTCGTCTGTGTTCTTTATTTTGTTCGTGCCACCGCCTGGTCACGTGCGTGCTCTGTGACACTGGATGCCACAGCGCCACATTGACTCGGCAGCCACCAGGTGTAACTGCAGAGAAAAACGCAAAACTGAAATACACTTTAGGCCGTAACTCAGGATAGGAGATTGCCCATGTCACTCCCAGGTGCAAGACCTTTCTGATGAGGTATAAATCATGTCTCTACTTCAATTGGTTATTGAGATCCTTCTTGAAGCACACACAGACAGACAGATGTTGTAATTTATTAGCATATATATATATATAACATAGATAGAATAATAATAATAATAATCCTTGCATTTGATAGATAGAATATATATATAATACAGACAATTAAGCTGTAGTCTCTAAAGACCCTCTTTTCTTTCCCCCGCCACCCCACATTGGTTTGAACACATTAAACATTATGGGTTAATTCACTAACCTTTCCCACATTTAACATTTGTTTTTTTTTCCTTTTTATCTTTGTGAGGTCTTCAATAACCGCTGATACGGGTTGTGGGATTCTCTTCTTTTTTTCAGCTACACTTGGTGCAGTTTTGAGATCCTCCACTGGCTGGGATTGAGAAACAGTCAAACCCTCTTCTTTTTTGACTGCTGCAGACATCTTACATCTTTTCGATTTAACGCATTTTTTGTCACCGTTAATTTGTCCCGTCATTTGTCTCTTATTCTCCGGTAATCTAGCTTCTGAAAGGGTTTTCGTTTCGCTTTGTAACTGCTGGTCTTCACATTGTAGCTTTTCCTTCTTTTTCTTCTTTTTCAAGCAACGTTCATCCGTTGCTTCTACTCTGGGATGCAGAACATTTAGCGCTTGTCCATCTTTGGGCTTCCTGACGTTTGCGACTTGACATTCACCGCTCCTAGTTTCAGCCTCCTCTAACTGCGCTATATCCCTGTGCTTTTCTCTCTTTGTTTTTCCCGCTGACAACTGTTCTTTCGAATCCAATTTGATTTCCTCAGAATGAAAGCGCTTCTTTTTCTTTTTCTTCTTCTTCGCCAGATCCATCTCGTCCCGATCGTTAGAGATGTCTGCAGCTTCCTCCGATACATCAGCAGCATCACTTGAGCCCTGGTTACCTTTTGCTCTCCCTTCTTCCTCATTTCTGCTCTTGTCTCCTTTCTTTTTCTTCACATTGCAGTTGGTTTTGCCTGCACCACTCTCCATCTCATCTTCATGCATTTTCCTATTGGATTCTCTGGAGACATTTGGAGTGCTGGACTGATCCTTAGCACTCGCCACCGTCAATGTCTCATTAGGTTTCAATTTATTTTTCTTCATTTTTGAACTGCCAGATGAACTCTCATGCATTTCACTACGATTCCTGTTCCTCAAACTTTTGTCTGTATCCAGATTACGTTCACCTTGACAGGGAACATCTCCTGCGATGCCTTGACCTCCAGTCCTGTCTTTCTTTTTCTTCTTTCTCTTTGCCGATTTCTCGGGACTGTTCTGCTCGTCAGGGCAAGAAGGACAATTGGAGTCACTTGCATCAGTCGAAACTGGCTTCTCTTTAGATTTTTTCTTTCTTTTCCTGCTCTCAGGCTCTGGACTGTTGTTGTCCACTTCGGTTTGGTCGACGACGTCAGGGGCTGTTCCGCTTTCCTTTTTTTTCTTTTTCTTGTTTATCAGATTTACTTGAGAGTTTTCGTCGTCATTTTTCAACATTCTGAAAAAAACGTTTGGAATTTTTAATACCATGAATGATAACTTAGCATCGACTGTCATCAATGCAGGTATGACTACCAGGATGGTGGAAGGCAAGCTGGATAAACAATAACAACAAAATTACATTTGTATGGTGCCTTAATAGGTGGACATTGTACTGAAAAGCAACGAGAAAATCTTGAGGTTGTTTTGAGGGGAACATTTAGCAACATTCCTTTTTTTTGGTACATTGTGCATGGCTTTATCTCCACATTGCTGACAGCCGAAGTTCTCTCAATTTGTGCAGGACTCAGTATATATGGGGAATGGAAGCAGTCGCTAGTGCTGGCCCTCCATGGCCTTGCTCCCCCTACCTCTGTGACCTCCTTACCCCCTACCAACTTGCCCGCTCTCTCCGCTCAGCAGGCTCCGGCCTGCTTCACATCCCTCACCTCACCCACCCCACCATTGGCAGACGGGCCTTCAGCCACTCTGCTCCCATCCTCCGGAACACTATCCCGCAGTCCCTCTGCCTCGCCCCCTCCCTTGCCTCCTTCAAGACGCATCTCAAGAACCTTGTGACGTTCTCCCGACGTGAAAGGCGCTATAGAAATGTATAGAATCAAGGATCAAAGACACTTTACATCCCTATCTGATTTTTCATATTAAATGTGTATTAAATTATAGCAATTAAAACAAAATTGCAGACTTGATGAGAATCTTACAAAAAATGCTCAAACGCAATTACAACCTTGCATTATTGTTTGGAAAACAATACAGAACACCAAAGGGGTATTTTTCCATACGTTTACAGATGAAGACATAACATTCATCAAAGGGAAACAAACAATATATACTCTTGATTCAATGTAACATACATTTGAAACAATACGTGTAAATATATTTCCTCTCCTGAAACCAAGTAAGACAAGACAACTGGATGAGACTTCTGAAGCTTCTCAAAATAAGTATGTTTTAAATAAAAGCCATTTCGATATTGATATACCTTTGTCACGCTAAAGGACACAGTTTCTTACAAATTAAAGATCCAAAGTAGAAAGAGTGAGCATCAGTTTATCGAACTTGTTGTTGTTGTTCCTAAAACTGGTGTCCCAAACATTGATGATTGTAATTTAACCTCTTAACTTTTGGAACAATATTTACAATGCGACGGGTACTATCTAAGCTCTGAACTTTATATTTTTTGTCATGTCCACAAATTACAGACCAGCAACGGCGCGCGATTTGTTTTCCGTTTGCAACTTGTTTTAAACAACAGGGCCACCTCACAATTTGCCGGACAAGAACAAAACGCCTTTTACCACTCTTTTTTTGTACACTCGCACACTTCCACAAACACACCCACAGTGATGGTGTGTCAGAGGAGGAGGAGGAGGAGGAACTTGAATCATGGGAGCAACTACTTCCTAACTGCCCAACCAAGTACAGCACAGTAGCAGTTTCCACTGAGTAAATTCAATTGAAATAAGGCCCCCCACCACCCCCCCCCCCCACCCCCAGATGCCTTGGGAGGAAATTAACTGGATTCCCCCCCATCTTCCCCATCCCCCCCCCCACCCCTCCCTGAGCCCCCCCCATCCACCCCTCCTTGAATGCCCCCTCCACCCCTCCTTGAGTCCCCCCACCCACCCCTCCCTGAGTCGCCCCCTCCCACCCCCTTCAACACCCCCCTCCCCCCCCCCCCCAAATGTAGGATGTCATTTGGGTTCCATTGCAAACACAAGTCATCCCACAAGTGGAACTCTTCAATCAATTAAGTGGGTGACACACACACACACCCCCCCACACACTCTCTCTCTGTCTCTCTCTCTCCTTTTAAAGTCACATCAAAAGGAGTAATAACGGACTAAACAGCTCTCACCTGTTCAAAAACAAGTGGGGTTTCCAGTACTCAGCTCTCAGGGCCCTCACACTCCCTCTCACACACACCACACACACGCGGCGTAAGCAACGCGGCGGCTCGTTGACCCGGAAATGAACTCATTGACTGTCACCTCTCACCCCCCACCCCGCCCGCCCCGCGCGCTGCTCCATGGGTAACCTGGGACTGGTCGCCACAGCAACAGCGGCCGCCAACCGACCGACCGTCCGTCCGCCACTCCCCACCGCCACTCCCCACCACCACGACAGCAGCAGCGACGGCAACGACCCCAACGACCCCACCGACACCATGGCGAAGGTGTTGGGGAAGAAACCCGTGAAGAATCTGTGGGATGAAATCTGCGCAGGTGGGGGGTGCGGGAGCGGAGCGGGAGGACAACGCGGGGGGTGTCAGTGTGATGGCCCGGGGAGAGGGGGGGAGGGGGGGACCGGACCTCTCTCTCTCTCTCTCCTCCCAGCAACACCCCCCCATACACACACACACACACACACCACAACAACAACAACTTGCACTTATGTACCACACACACAGACACGCACACACACACAGACATTTAATACAAACACACGCGCACACTTTATATACAAACACACACTTTATATACAAACACACACTTTATATACAAACACACACTTTATATACAAACACACACTTTATATACAAACACACACTTTATATACAAACACACACTTTATATACAAACACACACACTTTATATACAAACACACACTTTATATACAAACACACACTTTATATACAAACACACACTTTATATACAAACACACACTTTATATACAAACACACACTTTATATACAAACACACACTTTATATACAAACACACTATATACAAACACACTTTATATACAAACACATTTTATATACAAACACACAGATACTTTATATACAAACGCACACGCATACTTTATATACAAACCCACACGCACACTTTGTATACAAACACACGCACATACTTTATATACAAACACACATGCATCATAATAATAATAATAATCCTTGCATTTGATATATATACAGTGCCTTTACACGTCTTTGAGACGTCTCAAAGCGCTTCACAGAATATACTGCATACACACACACACACAAATGCTGTATACAGTATTGCATATACCACACACACATAAACACATGTGAGTACATATACAAACATACACAGTTTAAATCATTGTTACCAAGTACAGTTTTAATTCTTGATTTAACGTGTATTTAAATGAGTCTGGCCAACAATACTAATAGGATCACGGTAGGAAAGGAATCCTGATGAGACCCACGTCTCTCTCCACAAGCGAGAATGATGTGGTAACTCTTGAGGTGCAAATGAGTTATGGTTACTTATTGGGTGAAGGTTGATAATATCAAGCATCGTCTGTGACATGACATGTTTCCCCTGAGAATATGAATCAAAGCATCTGTTTTAGGTAATTTGGTCATTGTGACAATATTCCTTTGGATTTTTCTCCCCATTGTTGACTATTATTGTTCTATTGTTTACTATTATTGTGTCTCCACTGTTATTTTCTAACTGTTCCAAATTTCAAATACAAATTCCTGCATTTGTGTGTTTTGTTCCACAATCCTGTGTAACATATTTCTCGGTCATGCACAGAAACCAAATTAAACAACATTAGCATTGCCATAGTACCAGCTGTGATTCTGCACCTTTGGGTTATAAATCACCAATATCTTATGTTATTTAGCTTCTTCCCCTTTGAATGCACCACAATATAATGCAGAGTTTGAATTTCCCTTTCTCCCAATAAATAAAACCCTAATCTTAATTCTTTTCGATGACCAGCCTGTTTCATCCGTGATCTGTGACAAGTTTTTAAATTCACAATGAAAGCTTCCCATGATGGATACTCTGTATTTTACAAATCGATGCTCCAGGCTTCATTGTGGCTGATTAATTTGTCTTGACAGGCCTGCCATGTTGTGCGAGAACAGGTTTAAAAAACATGTCTGACTTTCAGCATGAATTAGTCCTGAAGCAATTCTGAACCAAAGGAATAATTGTTGGTTATCACATTTATGAAAAGAATTCAGCAATGGTATATAATTTTAGATGATTTGATCTTTTAGAGGAAGCCTTGACAGCAAGGCTAGCTTAACAACGGGAGAGAAGCAGCGCAGTACAGTATTTGATTAGGATCCAGGAGACCTTAGTTTTGATGCAATGTTTTGTCCACAAAATATTCCAGTCAATTCACTTTACAGTATATTCTATGAAGCGCTTTGAGCTGTCTTGAAGACGTGATCACGTGATCAGGGGCTATATCAAATGCAAGGATTATTGTTGTAATGTGAGAGGATTAAATTCTCAAGTTACTTACTTTTAACCCTTTTAATGCCAGGGATGAATCCCGGTGTGTTTGAGGTTCGCAGTAAAAACAGTTTGTGTTTGTTGAATTAGTTGAACATGGCTTGGCCAATAAAGCAAGCGAATAGAAGTAATGCTCTGTCCTGCCAAATTGAGCTGTACATGTGAAGGTCCTAAATGCTACAAATGTGCTCAACCTGAGGCTTTTTAGCAGAACAAATCACAAGCATGCATTTCCATTTTCCAGTAGAAATAAGCTTTAATTGACATGCAGGTTACAATGATTGAGAAATAAATGTGTGTGATGGATTGCTTTGTTAAAGCTTATTTCAGAACGATAGCCCTGGCCTAGTTAGGGAAAATCAGTTGAATCAAATCAACTATTTAATGCAAATAGTTCTGGAAGGTTACTGGCCTCAAACCACTGAAGCCTATTCGATCCTTTGGGGAAATAAGCAGAAATATTTTATTTTATACTTTATGGCAATTCTATGTTATCGCTCTGAAGAATTATTTTCTCTTTATTGTATAATAATAAATAAGATTCATTTTCAGTTTACAATTAGCAACAACAGCAACTATTTACACTCATATAGCGCCTTTCACGATGGAAGAATATATGTCTTCTCCTGAGCGACAGAGGCATGGATGAGGTTATACTGCATGTGGGAGGTAGGGTGGGAGAGGGGAGGTAGTGGGGGAAGTGGGCAATCTAGCAGAGATGGAAGAAAGTGGATTTGGTCGAAGCCTAGATGAAAGGCTTGTAGGGTGAACAAAACACCGAGGTTCCACACAGCCTCTATGATGGATGGACGGAAAGATGGATGTTAAACTTGCTTCAGTTGTGTCGGAACATTCCATCTACATTTGGCTGGATTTAACGTCTTTGTTCTAGTGGCACATAAATTATTCAACTCCTTAAAACGGTCTTCAGCTTTTTCCACAACATTGAGGGGGTGAGTGGAAGATGCGCTATTTCATCTGATTAAACTTCAGCAATACCCGAATACACACTCTGGGTTTGTTTTTTGTCAACCTTTGCCTGTTCATCTACAAAATACACAGTCACAACTCTTTACAATTCTATATCCTGTGAAGTATTTGAGACATTCTTCTGACATGAAAGCTGCTTTATCTGATTTAAGGATTACTATCAATTTAATACTTTCCAGGTTAGATAAGCAGGATGTGTTTCACTGGGGAGAGTGCACACTTCTTTCCAGACACATGGAAATTTCCATGCCTGTGTGAAACTCTCAGCAGTTTGGTTTGGATACTTTTAAGCATAGCAATAGGTTTCCACATGTACCAGAAACCTGGTGGACAATGAACTCGTAAAATCTCCAAAAACTATAATCTTAGAAATAGGTCTTTTATTATCTTTTACAGAATTTGAATCAGCGAGTGCACCTTTTGTGGTTGGTTCAGGAGGTGATCAAGAATCTGTGGCTACTGAGCTGTCTCAATACGATGCCAGCAAACATTCCCCAGTGTTTTATGGGCACATGGTAGCAAAAGTAAGTTAAACAATGCAAATAACTGCTCATGTAAGCATTGCTACTCGATAGATGCTTTAAAGCATTAAATGCTAATGATTAATGGTAAAACATATGGGCCATTTTTGGAATATTGTTAAGGAAAATCTGATGAAACCAGGTTAGACCACTGAACCTGTGAGATTTTAAATAATTGTTTTCAATTGGAATCAAACATAGTGGACATAAAGAAATCTACTAATGAGGACCCTCACTGATAATGGGTACTGTGTGTATGGTTTCTGTTGTTTTCAGATTCCTGTGGATACGTCAGTTATAGACGACTTCAAACCAGAGCATTCCCATCCAGCATTTTTAGGTCATGCAGTTGTTCATAAATTCATTCGCCCACTAAGCCCACCAACTTCTTCAACTATTCCATTACCAGATCCAAAGACATGTAAGTAGAACGTGTAGTTTTAGTGTGCGTGTGTGTTCTGTGCACTATTTTCAGCTTTAGCATGTTTACCTACTATTTGAAAATACATGCTGAAATAATAAATAATTTGGCTCAAACATTCAAAAAAATAAATGTGGGTGGTGGGAGTATTTCATTTAATAACAGAATTGGGTAAGATACTATTTATGTTCATCTAATTTTGATGTAAACTAACTAGCCTTATTTTTATGGTTATTTTAAGCCAGCAATTGTCTTGTAACAATACAGCCGATTTCCTCCTTGACTTAACCTTCAAACATTCCTACATGGATTGTTGGGTGTAGTACATGCATTTATTTATATGCTATGTGAAAAATATTTTGGATTGCATCCATTAAAGGAAAGAATTTACTTTACCATCTTTGGCAAATGTAAGTTGAAAACCTTGCATCGCACATAGATTCAAAGCTCTCAGAACCTGTGATATTACAAGAAAACAACAGTTTAGCAATTTGTAACTATTTCTCTTCAAAAACGTAAACATTTTATTTAAACAACATGTAACTGGACTAAAACGTGGACAATATCATTGTCTTATCTGAATAGTAGGAAAACCAAACGTCCTCACATAAGGTTTGAAGATGTTAAAATCAATATTGAATTCTGCATTTGGAGTACCCAATTAAAAAAATAGATTTCTGGTTCATAAGGGATCTGCAGAAGCAACATACGAGAAGCATGCTAAAAGCTATCCATAAGTCAGCGCTTCCAAGTTGTCGGTTCAGTGCTACTGTCACTTCTTGTGCACAAATTTTCACTGCCATTACTCCCTTGTGGGCTGAGCACGTTCGGTATATGCAGGAATTGCTGCTGACTCCACTTCCTTTGTGAATGACATTAGTATCACTTCCAGTTGAAGCTTGAGGTGTACTGCAGTTCTATAATAATAATAATAATCCTTGCATTTGATATAGCGCTTTTCACGTGTTCTAGACGTCTCAAAGTGCTTCACAGAATAGACTGTAAAAGTGAATTGACCGTATATTTGTGGCTGCATACTTGTGGGTGAAACGCGGCAGCCAATTGCGCACAGCAGTGTCCCACAAACAGTCGTGGATTGAAAATGACCAATTTATTATTGTTTTGTTTTGGAGGGATTATTATCAGGCTTGTGGAGTAAGAAAACTTGCCCAAGGTTTCGACCTGCCTGGAATTGAACCCAGGTGTCTCGCTTGCAAGGCGTGTGCTCTAACCACTGAGCTACAGGACTCCAGTTCTGGTACTAGTTCTGGTACTATAGGTCCTCAGTTCTCCCGTCCCATGCTATGAAGTAGACTTTCATGTTATAACGTGGTAAGTCTATATGTCTTGTATGGTTGAACAGCCGGCTGACAGTTATTGTAGGATCTCGCACACAAAGAATGGAAAAATAATACTTGAGCAAAATACATCAAAACTACTAGCACTTCATTATTGCAACTACAATACTCATAATGTCTTTAAATAACCCACTGAATTAATTTATTTAGTTAATATTAGCAATATTTACTGTGCATTTGCAAATTAAACTCCTTTCTACTCTTGATTTGCGAAGGTTCCCCAATAGAGTATTTGGAACATTATATCTTTCCAGTACTTCTACCAGGAATGTTTGAACTCCTTAAAGCAGCTAAAGCAGAGAAATGTTTTGAGGTATGTAAATTATGTTTCACTTACAAAATCACAGTCAATCCACTTTATAGTATATCTGATGAAGCACTTTGTGATATTTCAACGACGTGATAAGGTGCTATATGAAATGCAAGGATTATTATTATTATTTAATCATATCTTCCCCTTTCTACTGGGATTTTTCCAACAATCACACACCCCGGCAACTCCCTCTTCTGTAAACTCGTACTTGTTGCATGTCCATCATCCACACCACACCACTATTTTCAGAGGAGCTCTACTTTTTTGACTGTACTTTCTCTCTTCCTACCCTCTCCCACACCCCATCTCCCAAAGGTTTTAGACTCTCTTTAAAGCACTTTTAAATGTTATCCTATGTGAAAAGTTTATATATAGTATATTAACCAAGTTAGGATATATTCCCAATTCCAATTTGAGGATAGATGATCATATGCTCTCAGGCCAGTCATGAGGTAAAGAATTTTTTTTGAGTTTTGTTTTGTAGGTGACCACTGGCTGAAGGGTGAGAACACAGTGCTAGAAGTATAAGTGTCATCTCTATGTTTTGTTTTTGGTAGGATTCTTATACTCTATATAATTTCTTCCCACATCCCATCTATTTTCAACCATGCCTTCAGCCGCCCTCCTACCTCTCTGCCGTCCCTCATCCCAACCCTGCCCCTCCCACGCTCGGGTCCTGATTCCTGACTGTTCAGCGCCTTGGGACATCCTCCCGACGTGAAATGCGCTTTACCAATGTAATCTTGTGGTTGTTGTATAATTGTTAGAGTACTAATCTTTCTGAAGGTAAAAAGTATATTAGATGTGGGGGTGTAGATTTTTCTGCAACTAATCTTATTCTGTGGCCTCCAACTGAATCCATAATTTAAGTACGAGAAGCGATTAAGAACTTTTCCTCTTCTCCCTCCCTAAAATGGACATTTTAGAACTCAAAAATCCATCCAATCAAGTGGATTAGTATTAGTACAGTTGAGGATTCAAATGAGTTGAATGTCTGTGTCTGAGCTAACCACATGTTGACATTGCTAATGAAATTTTAAACCACGATGAACATGATCCTATGTTTTATTAATCGTCTTTGATCTTTATTTACCGCTGTCAGAGAAAAAAAATGATTTCTGGGAGAGCACATTGTGTTCTTTTGAGAAATGATATTTGATGACCTGTCAAAAAACAATTTCTATTTCCTTTCGTTATTTCCAAATAAAGCTGAAAGTAAATAAAAAATGATCCAAATAGTGCAAGTAAAAGTGATTGCTCTTTCAGCTATAAAACTGCAGAGTTGTTTTCATTGAAATGATCTTTTGTTCCTAAAACTTTCAATGATTGTACAATTATTTTTGTAATCTACATCGCAAGTCTGAAAGCAACAATATATATTGTGCAGATATTTCCTGTTTTTCCTGCAGCTTCACTATACTGTTAGCTTCTTCCCTCCCCTGCCCCATTCTCAAAGATGTGTGGTACGATTTGAAGACATCCGCACACAAATTACTACATGAACGCATAGTCGAGTTGATTTTGTTTGTTTTTTCACTTAAAATTAAGCGCTTTGTATTCGCAAAAGAGAATTAGTTCCACTTTGTTTTGGGGTGTAGAGAAGTATGATTAAAGAGGAAGGCTTGGTGCAAGGTGGTACAGTTGCTGTGTAACAATGATCTTTCATTGTGGACTTGAGATGTTAATTAATATTTTTTCATGCTTGGAAACTATAATTGTTCTGAGTTAGATATTTTAAGTGTATGAACATATTTTAAATGATCTGCTTTTAGCCCTCTCCTGCAATGTGTACACAGCATTTTCTAGTGTGTGGCAGGGATCCACTGGACAGCATTGGAGAATAAGCATGCTGTCTAGTTGGTGATTCTGTGAGAATTGCATTACATGTTGGCTCTGATGCTGCTTGTTTGTTGGTATTGTGGCTGCATTCTCTGTAATGGATCATTTGAATACAGTATATTGCTGGTCTCAGTGGATATACAAATGAGACATGGCTCGACTCAATGGGATTTGCTACTTATTGTGACACTTCCTACTTCTCTTTGTATGTATTGAACTGTAGATAAGCAGCTACCATTTCCTGTCTGACATTTGCCTTTCCTTGATACTATTGAGTATTAATTTGATATTTCGCACAAATATTCAACGGATCGTTTAAAATAAACCCGTAGAGCTTTCTTCTGCAGGATTTCTACTAGGGCTACTACTTTTTGATATAAAATGAATTGGTGATATACATTCACAGAAGATATATTTTCTTTAGTTTGTTTTATTTATAATCAACAACAACAACAAAATTACATTTGTAAAGCGCCTTTCACATCGGGAGGACGTCCCAAGGCGCTGGACAATATGTGTTTTGGACCCGAGCTGGAGATCGAGATCGGGGAGGTGGAGGGCAGGGGGTGGAAGGAAGGTGATCAAAGGCATGGTGGAAGAAGAGGGACTTGAGACAAGTCTTGAAGGAGGCAAGGGAGGGGGCGAAGTGGAGGGACTACAGGATGAAGTTCCAGAGGGTGGGGGCAGAAGGCCCGCCGATAATTAGAATTCAAATTGATCAAAATCAAGTAACTTGAGCCATTCATGAATAAACCTGAAAAGGCCTGTGATTGTCTTGCTGGAAATGGAAAAGTAAGAGGAAGGAGTTTGTAGTCCCATTGTATAACAGACATGGGGTTGCTGCTCATAGAGATGAATATAACTTCTTAACTTGATTGAGGGAGCTGTTCATTAACCTGGGTCTCACTGTATTTGGTGCATCTCATAATCTCCATGCTTTTCTTCACAGAGGAAATGGACCAAATTTAATGCGTGCGACTTCTTGACAGAATGGTTGTTCAAGTAAGTAGTGGTTTGTTACATTATATACCAATTAAGCATCGTTAAAATCATTAAATAACCACCATGGTTCGTCCTCCCAAAATGAAGGCATTGTATTGTATTTTTACCCAATCTTTGGGTGAAAAACGATCAGTTAAAAAATGATTTCATCTAAAGTTCAATATTAAAAATGAATCACATCACATTGCATCATGTGTCCATAGCATGAGAAAATCAATCAGATTTGTTGTCTCCAAGGTACTGTTTTTTTTAAAAGAAAAAATAGGGTTGATGCTTTGTTAACATCTGGTTTGATTTCTTGAGGTTTTTGGTGTTCCAAAATAAATCTAGATTTTCATGGAATTTATCTAGATTTTTTTTGTCAACCATCCTCTCTCTGGATTTTCTCTTTTTTAAAAAAAATAGGCCCAGAAAAATTTCACAATAATCTGGGTTTCTATTATGTGGATAAAATCTGTCTTTAATGGTCCTTAAGAACAAGCAAATACTGTATTTGTGTTAGTTAATAATACAATACTAACATTAAACCAATAGTATTTATATTCTGCCTTTAGATTCCTTACGATTACAGAAAGTGTGATCAGAAATGTAAATGAAAATTCTTGCCCAAGTAATGTATGCTTCTATTTTTATTAAGTATATCATGTCTGGTAATAAATGAATGAAAAACAACTCATTACAATTTTTTGTACAATTTGCAATAAAGATGTAAAATTTCATAACTTTATCATTTTGCAGCCGAAATCCAAAGAGGTCAGATGAGGAGTTTACCCAATTTTTTGAGATTCCCTTTGTTAAGAGTTGGCTTGTCATTTAGTAAGTACTTAAATCTGCCTAATAAAATATGTGTTTTCACCTGTATCTGACAGACCCTTTCAGAGTCAACAGTAAGTGCTGTCACTAGGCTTGCACTTCTGCTGAAATATCAGGAAATTAGAAGAGTATGGGTTGTCATTCTATTCACAAAATTATAATAATCCTTGCATTTGATAAGTTCATAACAGAACAAACCAATCTCTTTTCAAAAAAGATAGTGCCAAGGTCCTGAACGAATCATGCTGAATGAATCACGCTAATGAAGAGAATCTTAATTGACCAGGTAAAATATCCAATGAAGTGTGAAAAGGAAAGAAAAAACTATTAAATCCAAAAGTGTCATACGTTCCCCTGCATTAGAAAACTAAGCCACTTATTTTTTTTTATTTGTCCTCTGCAATATTCATTTTCTCTGGTACAAGCACAACAGATCCACCATAAAACAAATTGAATTTTCTTTTTTTATACAATAGGAGATGTTTTACTTTTGTTATAAATTGTAACTCCTTTTGCTCCTACTGAAAGTTACTTTTTTCTGATGAACCAATAATGACTAAATATTTTATTTTAAAAAACGTAAAAAAAATCCCTGTCTTGCAGATCCACAAAATTGCTTTTCAGACTCTTAGTAGTGTAAAGCTTTTCAGCGCCTTGGGATGTTTTCATGACGTGAAAGGCGCTTTACAAATGATAATAATAATCCTTGCATTTGATATAGTGCTTTTCACGTCGGGAGGATGTCCCAAAGTGCTTCACAGAACACACTGTAAAGTGAATTGACTGTATATTTGCGGGCGAACGCGGCAGCCAATTGCGCACAGCAGCGTCCCACAAACAGTCGTAGATTGAAAATGACCAATTTATTATTGTTTTGGGTTTTGGAGGGATTATTATTAGGCTCTGTGTGGAGTAAGGAAACTTGCCCAAGGTTTCGCCCTCTGCCTGGAATTGAATTCAGGTCTCTCGCTTGCAAAGCGAGTGCTCTAACCACTGAGCTACAGGACTCCACAAAACATATGCAGCTCTCACTGTCTAGCTCACTGTATAGAAAAGTGACAAAAGACAATTTTGATCAGGAGACCAGTCACAGATAAGTAAACTTTACTTTAGCTTCCAAAGGATTTGGTGCAAGAGGTGTATTCTAATGTATTCAGTTCAGAATGTAATAATGCATTCTTATTCTAGCACCAATTCTTTATAGTCTCTCCTTTAAAAATACTAAATATCACATTCTTAAATTATTTTATTGTAAATATGAGAAGGATGAGTTCAGGATTTGGATTGTAAGTTCTGAGGAGCAATAATCAGCAGTGAACATATCCCATTGGAGAAATAGAGCATGTTCCAGGTCTTGAAAATGTTGATATAAATAATTGATATAAATTCAAGTAGGCAATTTCACCTTCTGAGCTCAGAATAGAGGAACTTGTGGATAGTTTTACGACAGAGAAGTGGACTCTCAAAAAAAGTGAGTAATTCCATGTTGATCATATCCAAAAAGGAATTGGATAAATATCTGATTTTGAATGAATAAATGCAGAATTTTTTTGTCAAATATCATAACAATCTATTTCTTCATGGGAGATATTAGTTCCTTACTGCTGGAAGTCAAAGATGTTGTCTGTGGTGAATAAATATTCTGGTGTTTATTTGATTACAGTTAATACATATCCTTAAGTAATTTGCAAGGATTCCAGTCTAAGTGGAATAATAAGAATTTCCTTGACTGGAGTTGACAAAAGGAAGGGAGTTTCTAAAAGAGACGGGAGTTTCTTCCAAAAGGGAGTGACTAAAATAAAATTAGTCAATCACTTCATCGCTTTTCGTGGGACTTTGTTCTGTGCAAATTGGCTGCCGTGTTTATCTACAAAATACAGTCATTACATTTAATCCTATTAAGCGCTTTGAGACATCCTCTCAATGTGAAGGGTACTATGTCAAATGTAAGGATTATTATTATTCATTTTTAATTCATATAGTAATGATAATTGTTGGATTTACTTATTTGAAGTCTGAAGGAATTATTGTATCACTAAATTTATATTTGAAAGCTCAGTATTTGTTTTAGTTTCCTGTAATGGTAGCTACTGGGTAGAAGGTGATTTGGCTTCATCAAGTCTGCTTAATGCTTTTTTTCAGAACATAATGACAGAACACCTGCTTGATATGTCTGTATTTTTTGCCTCCAAGTGTTATATCTGGCTTCTGCCAGGAATGAGATAGTTCTTTCCTCCTGTTCTATCTGATGCCTGATTGCTTCAGCCATTCACGTGTATTGTATTAGACAAGAAAGAAGCTGGCAATTTCCCATACCTTCATGCTGTTCTGCCAAAATGATTGATAGCTTCCACTATCTGATGAGTCAAATACATATCACATTCATGTTTATGAAATGTAGAATGACTTTTTCTAATAAATATTTACTTTTTAATATTTTTAATAATTCCCTTGACTATTTTTAAAAACTGGTTCAATTAAAGGCAAGTAGTTATTTTGTTTATGAGCGATACAATGAGCATACTGACTTCTTTTGTCTTGTTGCAGTAGAAGCCTTTGTAGCATATTACCTATATTCTATTTTTAAGATGAAACAAGCACTATAGAATTTATGAGAACTGAGTTGGTACCTGAGCAAATATTTTCTTTTAAATGAGCATTTCTAGTATTAAGGAGAATAATACTGCAAATTGCAAATCCTTTATTTGAATAAATGTATTCAGTTCAGGATGTAATAATCAGGCATCTGAATGGCTATTGCTCATCCCAAATTATGTTTCTGTTATTTAAGCAAGCAGCTGAGAGTCAATGAATTCTCCAAAATAATGAGAGTTTGTGTTTACATAGCATCCTTCAATTAGGGTAGCATCTTGGAGCTCTGAACATACCAATGTTTAGATACATGATGGCATATAAATGTCAGCATTTGGGGGAGAAAAAAATACTCATATAGTTGTGGGACCCCAATAATTCCACAGGCGAGCCATTCCAATGGTTGTGGTTGGAGTTATCCCATTGCATTACTTGTTGATCGTGTTTTTAAAAACTCTCCGAGGTCTGCATTTCATAGAAATCATTTTTTTGAGAGAATCAGTGGCCACAATTTCTACTATTTTAATGGAAGAATGCATTTGTGATAGGTGCAAAAGTGTAATGTATTTTTGTAATGAAAGTGGTATATCTCTTTAGGAATAATTACTGTGCATTCTCCAAAGAATTTAGTTTAAGAGAGAATAACTATTTTCTTTTTTAAAAAACTTCAGGCCAAAAAAATTTGACAGAAATTGTAAAGAGAAATAGGTTCATGTTATAATTTTTCTTCAGCCCTAGAGCGCCAATTGCTCTGTCTCTCTTATTATCAGATGAGGAAGCAGCCATCATAATTCAGTCTTTCTGGAGAGGATACCAGGTAATAATAATCATTTCCTTGTATTGTTTAATCTTTCAGTCTCTTGCAAATTAAACAAAATTTGATGAGATTTAATTTACTTTAATTTCCTCAACTTCCTTTCAAGTGGCTTCAATGGAATCTTATTATATAATATTAACTATAACATTTAGATTTAACTAGTCTTGGTGAAAACCTTTCACACCGTGACTAAAATGTCTACACAGTTCTGACTTACTTGAAAAATGCCTAACATAAGATAGGAGAAAATAACAGCCAAGGCGTACACAGATTGAAATTGGTTATGTCATTTCCTTAAAACTGCAGGAAAGGTGCCCAAGCTTTGTCTTCTTTCCAACAAGTATCTTTAGCTTGTGACATCCTTATTGACTGCACAGATTTTAAAATGCATCCTCTGAGAAAGGAGGCAATTCTAAACTGGATTCACAGAGGATTCGAAAATATTAATTCCTACTGGTAAACAGATGTACGTCACACCAACCCAGGAGACCTCTGAGGTGTACTTTTGGTTATCTTAAGAGTCCCCAAAGGTCAGCAGGATTTTTAAGTATAAATTTCTAAACCAATTTTCACTTGGATTTCTCTGATAAGATGTGTTTTCCAGCTTCATTTGATTTGCTTTGGAAGGGGGTGCATGGTGCGGGGAGAGATGAAGTATAATCTTTTTATCCTTTGCTCTCTATCCTCGTTGTTCAACTGCACGAAGGAGTTTTATTAACAGTCTGTTTATTAGTTTATCTGACCTTAAAGAGAATTCCCTGGATGTCTGAAATAGAGAAAAATTTACGAAAACTTACGAAATCACTGCACATAATATACTGAACAGATTACAATGTGCTCAAAAAAAAATTCGAGGGGCAAGAAAGACTGTTTTTCCAGTCACCTCATCTGACAAGCAATAATGTCTCATTAGCAGTTGTAAGGTTAGAATGCCATCTGTTTAGTTTCTCAGTGTGCTTCAATGATCCCTAGGCACTATAGACATTAATGTTGTACAAGTTCAGTGTTTTTACAAAAATAATTTGTGATAGCAATGCCTGTAATTAATTTATTATCCTTGTTTTACAATTTTTCTCTGTTCTATCATTTTATTAATTCTGTTTCTCTTGAAAGCAATTCACATTGCAATGTGAATCAACCAAATTAAATTGTCGGGAGTAATTACTTAAGTGTTCTAATGATACCAACTTTATATGCTTTTAATATACTCGATGATTAATTTTTGGAAAGGAACTTACATTTGGACAATTCTAAAGCCACAATTTCAGAAATTCTTGGATTAAATTGTACTTTTATTTCATATAAGATTTGAGATTTTTCTGACAAAATGAATGGAAGAATACAGTGCAAGAATGCAGGTATAGAGTGAACTTGGCTGCCATCTCTTTAAATAGAATACAGAATGGATTCAAACTCTCAATTCTATAGAGGCTAGGAAATAACAGTCTGATGGAATTAATATGTTGGTTAGGAAAAGTAATGAAATAATATGTGATTAGTTTAAATAGGAGCAAATGGAATGTGAAGCTTCCATTTGCTGCCATTTAAACTAATCACATCTTATTTCATTACTTTTCCTGAAAAGTATATTTGTATATTTGTACATATTCAAATATAATTGGTTTAAGGCTCTGATTCTAAATTTGTGTTTGAGGGGATAATACATTGTGATACAGATTGCAGATATCTATCTCTATGATAGCTTAAAATTACCTCAAGGCTGGCAATCTCCCCATTCAGTCTATTGCATAACGACTGTGACATTGAGATAACTACCGTGTATTAAATGTCCAGCCTGGATTAAAATTGCTGTATGGATTTTTCCCAAGTGCTTTATAGTTTCTCCGCTTTCAGCTGTCTGGTTTGGCTTGTTTGTGAGCTTTCTTTGATGTCCAGGCGTGAAATATGTAAATTGTCTCCAGTCTATTGCATCTTTTCCTAGAAATCTAGGCATTTAAAAAAAACATAGAATGTTACCTAACATTTTAGTGGTTTGGTTGAATTATTGTAACTGCTGCTGAAAATTCAAATCTCATTAAGGTGTAGCTCATGCGAAGAATGTTTTTCATTGCTTTAGAAAATATTTGTTCCTGATCCACATTATATATGCAGTAGTCCTAGAATTGTTCACCATATGCATTCTCCTTTAGCAACAAAACAAGAGTAACATAGGCAGTACTCCACTGGCATAAGTGATTGCTAATGCTCAAGGCAATACCACTACTGACTAAAGCTGTGGTCCATCAAACAAGCTGTGCATCAAACAAACCAATGCCTTAGGTCCTTGTAGCATGTGTGACTACAAACTCCATTTGGGCTCATAGAGTTTCACTAGTAATTAGATTGCTTATATTCTGGAAAAAGTTGAGATGGTAATACAATGAGGAGACACAACCATGGCATTATGAATGAGGCACCAATATAGACCAGCATATGCCCTAGTTGTGCCGATCCTAGAGGCGTCCGAGACTCTTGACCAACTTTCTGTTACCCCCAAAAGGTGGGAGGCAGGCGTCTGTCATAACACTTGATTGAACACTAGATGCAGCATTACAGCGTGGTTTGGTATTTCTGAAGGGCAGAGGACAAAAATAAGCTTTTAGGACCAGTTCTACTTTACAGCTTTTATTGCATATCAGTAACAAGAGCCATCCAAGTCCTAATTTTAACACAGTACAGCTCCAGAAGACAGTACAGGGCAAGCAAAATATCCTTGTTTAAATTTCAGCGTGATATTATTCAAATACTAGTCTCAATTTATTTCTGGAAGTAGATGCTCTACCATTGTATTAATATAAAATAAGTTCAAGTCAATTTTTTTTACACACTGCAGTTATCTCAATATGCATGTTGCATAAATGTTAAACCTGGTGGCATTCTCAATGAACATCATTAGATATAATTGACACGAAAATTTGTAATTTCCTGAGTTGAAAGGCTTGGCCTTTCACCTCGTGTTGCATGTAATAGCTTCATTGTTTAGCTGTGAGACACCTATACAATGAAGCTATTACATGCAACACTACTATTTTTAATGAGGCTGTAAAACGTACTCACAGCCACAAAGTTCTACCATTTGCCTTGAAGTGCACCTCATCCAAACTGTTAACAGTTGTTTTACCTACATATCTGAAATTCAATATAGTAGAAGTTTAGTTTGGTGAATGATGCTTGTGGATAATTTTTCTTGGGCAGATATCATTTTGTGGCCATTTCCGTGGACCAGATGTTCAGAATGTTGCCACTGCATCCATCCCTATATTTTGTTATGTACAAGCCTTCTCCAATTTTCTTTGCTTGATTATTATATGAAATGTATGTGCTTTTGTGGTAGGTCCGCTGTATGCCAGAGGTACATGAACTTCGGGAGTGGCAGAAAGAGCTGAGAGAAGAAAAAGAGGGTTACAGCAAAAAAATCTCTGAGTTTTGGACAAAACAAGCTTGTAAAGGTAAAGTAATAACATGAATCTTTAAACATCTGTATATACTATTAAACTTTTTTCCATATGTCAAGAGCGTCAAAACTGCAACTAAAATACAACTAGCATTCTCTCTTTCTATCAATACTAATTGGTCCCACGGAAACCATTATAATTACCCAGGTATAACATAAGTGAAAATGTGTTTATAACCATTAAAGCACACATGATTCCTTCAAGCTGAATATACAGAGTTTACAATTGTAAATTTGTACTGACAATTGTGTACACTCTCAGTTCCTCACAGACTCAGCCATTGAGGTGGGAATTGATGTGTATGGATATCGGATGAAAGATTTAAGCTAGGTAATAGGCTACCCTTCCGACCCAGTCAAATAGTCAGCTGCCTATACATGAACAATAATTGAATTGCTTGTGTGTGGTACACAAAACAATATTGTATAACATACATCCAAGTAAAATAATGACCTTAGATAGAAACTTCTCAATTGATGATAATTTTGCTCGATGTTGAGCACTGTTTTGGAAGTAGATAGTGTAGCCGAAATATTTCAAGTTGAAGCCTGGTCTTTGTCGTGTATAGATTTCATTTTGGATTGTGCTCTGTTAGATGCAGGCATTTTAGTTTGACTTCATGTCCTCTGCAGGGTGTTATGTAGCTGTAAGTAGTTGCTGCAGTCCCAGTTTGAAGTACTGTCTCCTGTTATTTTCAGCTGTTGTATCAAATTTCTAGTAAAAGTCAGAGTTCAGCTTTCACTGACTCAGACTCGGTACCAATCTTATGTCTGAATGATTCTTCAAGGACATAACTTGGTTCTTTGCTGCAGTTAATTAAACTTACAGTTGCAAAAGTTTTCTGACAGCAGCGTTAAGATTAAATAAAATTAATAATCTGCAAATTTGTGTAGTCTTAAGATCAGATGCTTAGAAGCAAAAATTTACAGATTTCTGGCCTACAGAAAAAGAATTCCCGAAATTATTTTTAAAAATTCCTATCTCAACGTGTTCCCCTTTCTCCTCTGTATGCTCACTCTTTGTGACATTATCTGCAGGAATGCAGTCCATTTCCAAAGTATGTGAATGACGCCTTACAAGCCTCTCTGCCTCAATCCTGGAGTCCAAAACCGCTGCTGTTCAGACAGGCTGCCAGTCAGATATCAAGTCCTGATGAGCCTTAATTTCCTTCATCTAATTAACAATAAAATTGAAGCCATCCTGCTTGGCTCCCGCCAGTGCTTCCGCTCTCCGGATCTGACTGTATCAACCTGGCTGCTCATTCCAGCTTATGGAACTAGCGAAAAATGTCGTTTTTTTGTTTGCCTTTCATCTCTCCTTTAAGCCCTCATCCAAGTCTCTGTCACCTCTAGACCATTTCTCCTCAACTTTATTCACTGGCCTTCCCAACTCCACAAACATCAGATCATCCAGAGCGCCACAGCATTCATTCTCTCCCGCACCACTCTCCGTTAGTCAGGCACCACTGGCTCCAGGTTTAGTTAGGACATGACCTTCAAAAGCTTCCATACCCTTACCTCACCCAACTTCTGTATTTTTAGTGAGGGTTCTACATCTCCCCAGCAACTCCCCCCATTTTGCTAATTCAAGCTTAAGGTATATTCTTTAGTCAATATATAAGCCTGATAGCATCCCCATAAACATCATCATTGCCACTGTTTATCCACAAGATGACACACTAGAATGATTCAAGAAAGAATGTTCTTCTGCCTACCTCACATTTCTGCTGAGATTGCCAGACACACAGCCCAAGGGAAACCTAACTACAAATGTCAATGTCAATCAAGACACAATCTTCCTACCACAAGGCTAAGATTACAAAAACACTTTTAAACTTAAGCAAATTCTGGTGAATCTAGCAACATTTTAAATGTTTTGCATCTAATATCTACCATTTATATTAAACATTTACATTTTAATTTGTCGTATGACTATTAGGAGGGGGATCCAATACGCTATGATATGTAAAATATATTCTGAAAGGACAGTAGGATTGAGAACTTCTTTCTGAAATTAACTACACATGAAAATTTGAAATGTCAGTTCTGTTCACAAACTGAAGCTTGAGAATACAGTAGTTAATACACAGTGAACATGTATTATTACAGTACAGCTACATGACGGTGCAAAGATAAAATATGAATGATACATGTTTATATGGAACTAGTGTGGCAGATAAGTTGAATATAGAATACAGCATGATTCCTCATCAAAAGATTAAGTCTGTTAAAAATAAAACATTATGTTCTAGGATTTGTTGATAGACATTCCAGACTTTGCGCTATTAATAGGGTTTGATATGCTAAGAAGTTATGTAATAATTCCTTGTTTGTCTATCGTTGTTCCATTCCAAGAGGATACAATTTCCCACTCACAACACTCTTCCCATGGGCCGAATACATCACTTCAGATTCTATTTAGAAGACAGCTGGAAGAAGGAGTTATTAAACCCATAAAAAAACTGAAATTGAAGATATTTGCCTGTGCAGTGCAGGGTGTTTTAATGAATAATATGGTAGTGATCCCTCACTGACAAAGACAACCTATTTTTATATCACGTTCAAATAATGAAATATTTCCTGCTTACAGCACTGTTAAAAATACGAGTTCATCAATTCAGTAGTTGGTGTATATGTGTATTATGTTGAGGTCCTTAAGTGAAAATGAAATTCTGGACACAACTGGACAAGTGACCTATTGTTTTGACAGTTTTAGTCCTGCATTACTAAATAGCTGCTGGGAATTTTTTTTTAATTGGATTTAAACAGTCATAGGTCCATCTGTTTATAAGTGTTTATCCTTCTGAGTGCAGGTTATCACATGGGTTCCTAAATACCTGATTTCACTTGGATCTAGACTCGCTCATATTAATGTAGCACTTTAGAGAGTCCAGAATTTGGTAAATTGTTGAATTCAGTCTTAACTTTGAAGTTGGTTTATTGTAGCTCTTAAAAGAATTTATTAAAATTAAGGCTGTATTTAAGAATTTGCAATATTCTGGATGTTGTGAGATGAAATGCTATGTTACTAAAATAAATATAAACTGAGGTGGAATTTCTCCCCACATCTATTTGAACATTGAATTCCTATACAAATCCAATAATTTGTACCAGTCTGTCTTAATAATAAAATAATAATCCTTGCATTTGATATAGTGCTTTTCACGTCTTCTCGATGTCTCAAAGCGCTTCACAGAATAGACTGTAAAGTGAATTGATCGTATATTTGTGGGTGAAAACGCGGCAGCCAATTGCACACAGCAGTGTCCCACAAACAATTGTGGATTGAAAATGACCAATTTATTATTGTTTTGTTTTGGAGGGATTATTATTAGGCTCTGTGTGGAATAAGGAAACTTGCCCAAGGTTTCGCCCTGCCGGGAATTGAACCCAGGTGTCTCGCTTGCAAGGCGAGTGCTCTAACCACTGAGCTACAGGACTCCACTTCTACTAATCCTTGATCTATTTGTGTTTTTATTGTAGTGGGAGTGGACATGGAAACAGATACACCTGAAGAATTCACAGGTGAAAGCTCTGCTGACTAATAGTTTTAAAAGCAACACAATGTACTTTAAAATAGTAATTTTAGGTGTTGTATGCACTAATCAAGAATATATTAGCTATTTGTACTCTAAAATACTGTAATGCAGAATAAAATGTGCAGTGGGATTCAAACATCAGATTTCACTCATTGTATGTAAATAGTAATAGTTTTTATTTATTTGAACAGCATTTTGAAAATAAAACATTTTTGCACATGCTTTACATTCGGTCACTGGGCATTTCATACACACGTCTAGTTTGTATATACTGATTGTCTTGAGTATTAGTACTCTTGTAAAAATACGATGCTTGTATGCAACCATTTTCATGGAATTTCTCAATTTTAGAAAAAGCACAATATTCAATAAATAGATGAGTCTTTATTTAAAATCAGACTCATCAAATGATGAAGCGGGAGTCCTTAGTTATAAATAAAAGCTGACATTATGCTAAAATGTCATTTGTTGAAGCATAAAGTCACAGAGCAACCTACAAAAAGCACTTAGTTTGAGAATCATATCTACAAAGCTGTGCCAGAGCTTTGTGCTTCTGAGCAAGATTTTTGAAACCACAGGAATACAAACGGTGTGATTTTAAATAGACACATTATTTTTATTTACAGTATTACATGGCAGAGAAATGATCAGCAAAAATGGAACTAAAGTTTTTGGCATTTTGACTTTTTACAAAAAGTAAATAAGCCAAATAAGTTAAAGATTCTTAAAAAGGTAGATACAGAGGGTAAATTGGGATCGTTTTGTACAAGCTTCAAAATCTACACCTCAGTGGCAATCTATTATTTTGACTACAAATACTAGCATTAAACAAAACTTCTTGCATACAAAGCATACTGGTGTTTTAATTATTAAAACTTTTATAATCTCACTTGCTTTCAGTGTACAGTACACATGCACCACAGACTGAATCTTCATAGCAAAATTACTGTTAGTCACGTTTCTAATGAACACGTAAACAGTGGTTTGCTGCATCAATTTAACTTTTATGCCATTTTATTGATTAGCTAACACAGAATGCCTCCAAACAAAAATCTAAATGACTAAAGTCACCCCACAGTTACAACTTATCCTCGGCACTAATTACAGACATTACTGACTCTGCAAAACACATTTACAAGGATAAACAAATTTTCCCATCTCCTCCAGGGAGTTTAATGTAATATCCAGTAAATGTTGATTTTACAGAAATAAGCACTATTGAAAGTCACATTTCCACAATTTATTAACTCAGTATAATGTAATCCCAGTATGTACACAAGCATAGAAATGCTCTGGAGCCATAAAGGATGCCATAGGTAGGTGAAAGCATTGCCAGAACAATAAATTTCTAACTTTAAAACTTTTATATGTACATCCTACAAGCGACACTATATTCTGTATATACACATCTATAAAAATTCTATCAGCTTAAGAATAATTGGGCTTCATACATCTCCGGTTTGTTTCACTGCCATTTGCTAAATCATTTGCATTGATTTTTGTCCAAGGAGCCACTGGATCAGTGAATTGCTGGAATTGGCTTGTGACTCATCTGTTTAGCTTTTACCATAGGTGTCTTCCTGGGTAACCTGGAGGAGCGGATGGAATCTGAAAAAGAAATGAAAGCAGATGACAAACTAAGCCTGAAGTTAGATTTTTGGTAAGTGCTGCAATTCTTCGCAGTAATTTTTGGTTTAGGATTGACAACTTGGGAGAACAATGGTATAAAACTTCAAGGGGACATTGATAGAATAGAAAAATGGTCAGATAAGTGGTAGATGCAGTTTAATAGATGAGAGGTGATGCATTTAAGGAAACACAGCAACTTGCATTTATGTAGCTCCCTTCATGCTGGGTAGCGTCCTGGAGCTCTAAACTGGCTGAGTCTGACCCCGAGCCAGGGGGAGAGGGAGGGACTAAGGAATGGAAGAATAGCTGGAGGGTAAAACACTCAATGGAGTAGAGGAGTAAAGGGATCTGGGGGTACAAATATATAAAATCACTAGCAGTGGGACAGCAGGTTAAAAAAATTAAAGAGGTGAATGGGGAGTTATGAAACCAAGTATTGAATATAAAAGTAGGGTTGGAAATTATGGTGGAATTATATACGCAACTATATAGATATCATAATTATACAATTAAATAGATTAAAGGGCAGTTGGAATATTGTTCAATTTTGGACTCCCATTACAGGAAGATGTCGGAGATTGAGAGGGGTGCAGCACACATCATAGAGAGTGCACATTCATTGGGATGACACTGGATAAGAGAGTATAGGTATGAAGAGTGGAAGGCTAAATTGTTTTTAGCCTTCCTCTCTGTTTTACAACAGAAAAGATTGGAAAGATTGGTATAGGTGTTTTAAGGTACTGAACAGGCAGGACAGAGTAGATAGGGAAACTATTCCCTTTTGTTGGGGAAATCAGTAACTGGGGAGCACAGCCTCGGGATTGATAGCAGAAAGATGAGAGGAGAGGTTAGGAGGAATTTCTAATCTCAGAGGGCTGTTAAGAGTTTGCAATTCATTAACACAAGTGGTATTGAAGCTGGATCAATAGAGTCATGCTCTAAAGAGAACAGGATAAGCAGCTGATCAGTAAAACTTTGTGTTTTGGGGAGAATAAAAAAAGGGAATAATATGGAAAAAGGTGATTTATAAATACGTTCAATAATGGCACAGACACAATAATCCAAATGGCCAACTTTTGTGCAGTTACTGTAATTTTGTATTAAAGAGTACTATTTTAATTATCAACAATTACTTTAGCTGTTGGGCAAATATGCTAAACAAGTCCCTCAAATACAGTACACACTGGAAGAACTATTGAGATATGTTCATGCTGAAATAAATATTAAATATTCCACTCAGTGAGTTTTATGAGGGTTGTACTGTGCTCAATTGGCTGTATTTCATTCAGCATTTTGTAACAATGATCACAAACAGCACCTAAAACGTACAACGGTAAGTTGTTTCTCTTCACAATCCACAGTCTGCAAATTTGAGTCTTGGAGCTGCCACCTGAATACAATCGACGGGTTTCAGGTCAGTTCACCTGTTTTGATGAGATGTTTAAGGAAAGCTACCATTTCACTAAATTTGTCTGTTGACAGGGCTGTAATTCAGAAGTATCCAAAAATTGTGAATCTGTGATTTAACAAAATGAGTTCTAGATTGCGGTTAAAATATCTCAAAACAGTCCTTACGAATTTGCGCATTTTTTATGTTGGTACTTGGGATACTGAATACCTTATATCAATGCATAAAATTAAAAGATGAAAAAGTTGGGGAGGTAGGAAAGTCAGAAGTTTAACTAGATTGATTTTATTTAACTTACATTTCCACCATTAAGTACCACTGCCATCTCAGTGGGTTGGTAGACGTTGCTTCGAAGCTGAATGTTAGGTCGAGGTCCCATACTCCCATTCCGAAAGCCAGATTTATAGCCTATGAGAAAGAAAATATTTCAAGTTTGCACATTTAACATTGAGAGAAAAAGCTGAATATTGCAGCAACTCATTGTTCTGCACATGCACTTCAATGAAATCAGTCTTGCTTTAGGCACCTGGGATCAGCAAGAGCTATATACAGCTGGTTTAAGCTGAAAATAAATTAAAAACACTTTAAATCTTTTGCTGGTTAACAAATAACTGTAGATCATTAACCTTCCGAGGGAGAATAGTTTGTGATAAGTGTCTCAACCTGGTTAGTTATTGATTATTTTTTAAAGTTCTATTTAGACTTAATTTTATGGTTTACTTTTCTTAAGTGTTTCCACTCTTGGCTACATACAACAATTTTTTGCTTATGACCAACACACATACATATGTACATATAGAATATTTTTTACACATATACACATTACATTCTGCTTCCCAGTACTTATTGGGTAGCAAGGGATTGAGGAGAAGGGAACATAGATTCCCTGAAAGTACTGAAAGAATAATCCCCCAGTAAGATACAGAGAGGTTCAATAGCAAATAAAGTCTCACCTGCCGCAGATTCATCCAGAGAAAAAGCCTTATTTTCCATGTAACTACGTGGAAGTTGCAATTCTTCTTCAAAATTAGTCTCACGGATTCTAGGCTGGACTGCGTCAAAGTAATCGGGTGTGTTTTGTTTTGATGGGACGACTGAGCAATGGACCTCTGGAATTGCATGAAAAATAAGGAACACCCAGCCATTAGAAACCAGTGCGATGGAGAGTGCAGGATCATCCCACAGTGGCCTTTTGTTCAGTTCCACATTGCCATAGAGGTACATGGCAATCCACGCAACCCAGATCAAGATGGAGAAAAACATGGTCACAATAATGCAGGTTCCGTTCTTCTTCCATTTCTTGAACTTTCCACACAAGGTAAAGAGCGAAAGCAGAAAGGTTACAGCCATCAGGAACATAACGTAAATCAGTGCCATCACAAAGTCCATCTGCTCATATTTGCAAGCCGACTTTTGTTCTCGAACGATAGTTAGGATCAACCATTCCACTGCAATTATAACTTGAACCAGCATGAGACAGACTGCAATGCCAGCCAACAGCCATCCAGATGGGCCTTTGCCATGTTGAGCCAGCCGTCGCAACCTCCACGCCTGCGCAAGCAAGCAGGAAAAACAGAGAGAGAATAGGACTCCCCATAAAAATCTTCTTGTGGGACACGTTTTTTCATCTTCTGGGATGATAAATGCAAACGACAGTCCAAACAATCCCAGGGTGCCGAACAGAAACAGAAACTGGATCCCAAGAGGACTTTTCTTGTCTTTGTCTTTAATGAACGGTAATTTCACCAGCAGAATCAGCATCAGTAAGAATGCAGTCAGCACTCCTGCGCCTGCCACCGCCTCCACAACGATTCCCCAGATTACGTCCAGGCTGCACAAATTCAGGTAGTGTGGCAGAAGCTTCAATCCACACCCTCTGTCTGAAATAGGGTTGCTTGTGTTCTGAGAAGATCCATAATTAATCATTGAGAGGAGAAGGAATGAAGCAGCTGAAAGAGTTTTCATTTTTGGCCAAATAAAAGCTAGAAAGGAAAGTGGGGGCAAAAAAAAAAATCAGCAGAGTTTCCGAACAGTCATCTTTTATCATTTGATGAAAGCTGCAAACGTTGACCTGGGCTGCAATAGACAAAACTTGACTTATTTGTGAAAAGATTGGTAAAAGCTGTACTTGACCACATTGTCATTACATGGATGCTTGGATTATAGTGAACAAACAACATTAGGACAAAAGATTTTCTGAATAATGCTCACTGGAATAATGCCTCACTTGCTTTCATTTGATTGGAATGCAATTTATTTAAGCAAAATAATTCATGCATTGAAGCAAGTTAATATATGAAGTTGAGGAGGTTAATATGTCCAATTTTAAAGGCCATTGTCTCTATTGTTCAATGTGAAGCATCAGTTTGGGAGTTTGAGAGCAATAGCAAAGATAATAGGGATATTATACAAAAATTAAAGGTAGGAACCTTCAATCGGACATACGTTTTATTTAGCATTTTATTTGAAGAAAATAAACATCAACAGAACCAAGTAGGATCAGGGAGTCAACCTATTTGGGAGTTGCATGCAGAAAAAAAAGTGCATTATAAGATAAAGTTTGTGAATGAATGAAACCCATTGATCAAAAAGGATAGAATTTATAATACTCTAATACTGAGCCTTGTTGCGTACCTGCCAACTCACTGATCTGATGACATATTTCCTGCAGCTTGCTTCACACTTGTTCTGTGTTTAGCTTTCTCTCTCTCTCTCTCTGGAGGCAGTGAGAGTGATGTAAAAGTAGAATTGTTGACATCAGATGCCATTGCATTTGTGCCAGTTCTGTGGTCGAACCAATTTTTACATGCACAGTAATATTGCCAATATCGCACAGGTACATTTGCCACTTCTGCAAAATAAAAGAGCCAGAGGCCACTTCTGCGCTGCTAGTTTTATTCATTCAGCCACATGTGTGTGACACATGCAGAAACCCATTCCTGTGCTTAAGAGTCTCCAAACCAAACTATTGAGATCTCCACGTAGATACAGTTCACAATAAGAAGTGAATACTCTTCCCTCCAGAGAATGATCCAGCTCTAATCCAATCCCAGAGAATTATGTGCAGGTTGCCAAGAGCAGAGACTTCGGGATTCCCAATTATAGATTAGGCTAAAACCACAATACTTACTCTCTGCAGAAATAATCCTTGTATTTGATATAGCGCCTTATCATGTCTTTGAGACGTCTTAAAGTTCTTCACAGAATATACTATAAAGTGAATTGACTGTAGATCGTGTGATCGAAATACAAGTAAGTTTCCTGCTGCTTTTCCAGCTAAGACCATCCATCCCATTAGGGCAATAGTTTGAAGGCTTACATGAGGTGTGGAGAAGAAGAATCCCAGACCTCTTGTTACTGATCTGTCTGCCCCTCCAAGTAGCAAGTGCCAACCAGCCAGGCTGGATAGCTGGTTCATCATTAACCTGGTGTACCTTGACCTGCCCAGCTCAGTTATCAGACTACTGAGAAGGCCACAGAGGATTCAATTCTGATCTCCCATTGCCAGGCATGTCACCTTGGAGCCAACTCAGCTAAGATAGACTCCCATCACACTCCAAGGATAATCTCAAACTGCCCTTCACAAATTGCCCTTCACAAACTGCAAGTCAAAATTCATGTGTCAGGATGTGCTGCATGTACGTGGCTGCATAAAAATCAATAAGGGCAGCATGTGGGCCAACATCAAATGCATTGCTCCCTCTATTACTTTTTCAATGTGTTGCTGACAGCATTCCTGCTGTCGTCCACAACCTGGTAACCTAAACACAGTGTTAGTGTTTCCATTTCACACACGCACAGCATTAGTCCAAACAATGAAAGGAATTGTTTCCTGCACTGCAGAGGAAGCCATTTGCCTTTCAGCACTTTCATTCTGCATAAATTAGTGACAGTTGACCAGAAGTGGAGAGGGGCCTCCTGCGATGCCATTTAAAACTAACGAAGCCATTTAGAATGAAGAATTAAAGTAATTACATTGGAGATGTTCGATGTGCAATTTCAAACATCCCAGTAATAATTGTGGCAGCTAGTTAGTTTTCAGTTAAAGTGTTAAATGGTCTGCATACAACAACTTGTATTTATATAGCTTCCCTTCACGTCGGATACCATCTTAATGGTCTTCATACTGCACACTAAGAGAGAAATTATTTAGCCAAAGTATTTCTCAAAAAGCAATGCAAAAATCCACCTTGGGATTCACCCACTTCAACAGCCCTGCCAACCACAGTTGGTAAATGATCTGAGTGGGCTGTGTGGAACCACGCATCCTGGGAAGCTTCCACTTCAATTCTTATTAACAGACTTCACCAGGACACGTTGCATATTTGCACTAAGGTTTAAATCATCTATCTCTAGGCTGGGGGATTTGGGTAACGTATTAGTCAAAGTTCCCACTCATGTTAGCTATCCCCCGTTCCTCACTCATGTCAGCTCATGTTCTCCTGACAGAATGTGAATGTATATGGAGTCAAATTATTTGCAGGCACTGTTCGGGCTCATACATAAGAATGAGCAACTTGGATGAATTACTAGAGGGCTGCAGTTACAGTGTAACTGCACAAGTAGAAAATAGATCATTGGGAGGAAAATCAGGTGTTTACACAAAAACTGTCCCCAAAGTTAACAAGGTTTACCTTACTGACTTGAACCCATCATTACCCACGTCAGATTGAAGACATTGGTAGTTACATAACCATTTTCAATAAGCAAGTTTCAAAGGCTGAATACTTAAATGCGCTGATTTGGTTTTGTCTCGTTTTCAATAGTTCAAAAAGGAATAGGCTGTTTTAGGAACATGAGCAACACAAAAGCTTCTCCAGTAACATAAGAAGGCACTAAAGCTGGATGACTATAATTAACATATCATGTGTACCAATTTCTACAGTTAATAAATAGCAGCCTCTCACAAACATTGCATGAAATATATGCAAAACAACATACTTACCTGCATCTGTGTCTTGGGTCTCAAAGCCAAGCTCTTTGTTAAAACAAGGGGTATCTTAGAATTGAATACTTAATGTAAGGCAATTATCTCCTATTGTACAGTTCTACTGTGGTTGGCTGGTTGGGTAGTTACATAAAGCCATTTTCAACAACTACTACTACTACTTAAACCCAACATTAAAAAGATAATCTCTTTGGAAAATAGGGCAAATATTTGTGCTGGTGTTTGCCCAACAGTAAACACCATGTATCAGAATTCAGCACTTTGATTGTAAATTCAATCATTAAACTATCTTTTCAACAGTTCTAGTGTGTGTACGCATGCAAAGTTGACTCAAGATCATAAATGGCCTCATTAATGGAAATAATTTCTATTAGTCGCAGAATAATCATTGTTCCTTTCTGCTCTTTCCTCCTCCCTCCGCCCCCCACCTATGTATTATTTTTAACTGATAGGTGAAGATTCCCTGCTTGGAGGGCGCTATATAAATGCAGGTTGTTGTTGGTGACTCAGTGCCGGAAATCACAGAATTTCCGCACGTTTTACATCCAACGAATAATAATAATCCTTGCATTTGATATAGCGCCTTAGCACGTCTTCGAGACGTCGCAAAGCGCTTCGCAGAATATGCGGTAAAGTGAGTTGACTATGTTTTGTGGGCGAAACGCGGCAGCCAATGGCACACAGTGGAATACATTCACGTTAGATGGTAGGGGTTAAACTCCTTGGCATCCAAGAAGGGAAAGGAAAGCAGCCGATGCTCAAAAGACCACCCCGACTGCACTGATTCAGCATTTGCATTTCCCATTCACATCATCCTCATGAGCTCTATCAGACTGTGCCAATTAGTGTCAAATTAGGATCATCGCCCACATGGAGCTGGGGGTGGGGGGCACTCAGTTTGCTGGTACCCTGGTATTTAGCAGCTGGGGGCGAGTTTCGAATCAAACCAGGGCCAAAAGGTGAACAGATAGCCCTGCTGGATCACACAGCCTTAAATGTATTCTATTTACTATGGTACAATAAAACAATTGGCAGAATTTCGCCTCAATTATTCTGCATTCGCTGCATTGACACAAACAGGTTTTAAGCGAAGGGGAGTGTGAGTATTTCTTGATGTAATTTTCTTTGAAAGGGCCACAAATATATATATATATATACCCATCAAAGAAAATTATATATGTATAATATATCCCTGGGGGGTGGAAACACGTTGCAATGAACATCTATCGTGCTGTGGGGGTGGTGGTGGGGTCTCTGGCAATATTTCATCCCGAGAAACCGATTGGAACATAATTCCTTTGAAGGGAATGATCACAGCGAAGCATCATCCGGACAATGTCACTCCCAAACTAAACCGTCTCTGGGTGTGTAAAATTAGCATCGAACAGCTGAGAGCCTGAGCCAAACATCTCAACAACTGCCATCACCTTAACGTGACATCCACAGCACACAGTGCATTCCCACTGATTCCTGGACCAGACAACCAAGACATGGAATTTGCACCGGATTTTATATATATATATATATATATATGTGTGTGTGTGTACAGATGATGAATCAGAGTGTTGCTCTCAGTTTGACCTTAATTTAAATTTAAGAGGATTGATTGCCTCTCTCTACGATGTGCAGAAGGTGGGTTGGAAGCTGTGCAATGGCAGCACAACACTTGAGGGCTATTGATTTGAGTTACACACAGACACAGACACACACACACACACACAAGGGACACGTTTCCTTCCCTCCTTTGCAGTCCCCCAACTGTATCGGTGAAAATGCAATTGATTGCCATTCGCATTGTGCTTTGGTTTTGTTCGCAGATTTCACACGAGAGGGACTGTGTGCGCCATTTGGAGATGGTTCGACGCCTCCGAATAGCACGACCGGGGATTGAGTAATGTAAAGGGGTTCTCGTTTGGGTGTTTTTTTTTTGCTTAACGACGTTCTTCAGTCGTGCAAAGGCGAGTTACCAATGTCAGCACAAACCTCTGTGTGATTTAAAAACAATACCAACAGCTAACGTGTCCGTCCAGTCTTTTACATATATATATATGTGTTAACTATGTATGTTAACTAAATCCCCTGCAATATATATACATATATACACTATATATGTTAACTAAATCCCCTGCAATATATATACATATATAAACTATATATGTTAACTAAATCCCCTGCAATATATATACATATATATATGTTAACTATATGTGTTAACTAAATCCCCTGCAATGTATATATGTTAACTATGTATGTTAACTAAATCCCCTGCAATATATATACACACATCGGTTATTTTATCATCCATTTCACTGCTTGATTTTAAAACAAATCAGTATTTTTTAAAAAAGGAGTATTTTTTTTAGAAGAAAGACGAGGGTGTGTGTGTGTGTGTGGGTGGGGGGGGGGATAGATGGATGGAAAGCAATCCCCCAACACACCTTTCCAATTGCTTGGCCAGTTTTTCTTTTTTTTAAAAAACACACACACACACACGTGTTTTTTTTTGCAAAACAAAAGCAAGAATTGCAGAAAAGCAAAAGCAATAATTGCAGGAAAACTTGCAATCTGTGGTTTAATAGATAGATAGATAGCCAGTTACACACAGGGGGGGGGGGGGGGGGGGAGGAGAGAGAGAGGAGAGGAGAGGCTACTGGTTTTTTTTTGTGTTAAATTACTCTTAATCCATTCCAACAGAAACATGGCAAAGGTTAGGAGTGTGAGCTTACCGGCCAAAGGGAATACACCTCGGGAGGAAGGGCGACACTGCGTGGGGTTCAGCTGCTTCACGCAATGGCACAGTTTGTGCAGTGGCTGAGATCTCTCCTCTCTCTCTCTCCTCTCTCTCTCTCTCTCTCCTCCTCTCCTTTTTCTCCTCCTTTTCCTCTCCTCCTCCTCCTCCTCTCTCCCCTTTTTTTTTCTCTCTGGTTCTTAAAGCGACTGCGCTTTACGCCACTCACTCACTCGCTCGCAGTGAGTCTCTCTCTCGCTCTCTCTCTGATCTATTTGTTCCCCTGTGAACCAAACCAAACCAAACCAGGGTCAACCCCCCCCCTCCCTCCCCCCTCAATACCCCTCCCTCCTCCCCTCAATACCCCCCCTCCCCCTCAATACCCCCTCCCTCCCCCTCAATACCCCCCTCCCTCCCCCCTCAATACCCCCCCTCCCTCCCCCCCTCAACCCCCCCCCTCAACCCCCCCCTCCCTCCCCCCTCAATACCCCCCTCCCTCCCCCTCAATACCCCCCTCCCTCCCCCCTCAATACCCCCCTCCCTCCCCCCTCAATACCCCCCTCCCTCCCCCCTCAACACCCCCCTCCCTCCCCCCTCAATACCCCCTCCCTCCCCCTCAATACCCCCCCCCCGGCTTTAGCTGAGCTGAGACGTTGTTAGTGGACTGGGACCTCACAGTGATCACTGTGTCCTAATCCCTCCCCATTGCTGTTGTAAGTAGGGAAGACAGAGCCCCTCTCCAGCTGTGCCCCACTCCCCTACCCCTCCCTGTACAGCTGTGCCCCACTCCCCTACCCCTCCCTGTACAGCTGTGCCCCACTCCCCTACCCCTCCCTGTACAGCTGTGCCCCACTCCCCTACCCCTCACTGTACAGCTGTGCCCCACTCCCCTACCCCTCACTGTACAGCTGTGCCCCACTCCCCTACCCCTCACTGTACAGCTGTGCCCCACTCCCCTACCCCTCCCTGTACAGCTGTGCCCCACTCCCCTACCCCTCCCTGTACAGCTGTGCCCCACTCCCCTACCCCTCCCTGTACAGCTGTGCCCCACTCCCCTACCCCTCCCTGTACAGCTGTGCCCCACTCCCTACCCCTCCCTGTACAGCTGTGCCCCACTCCCCTACCCCTCCCTGTACAGCTGTGCCCCACTCCTCTACCCCTCCCTGTACAGCTGTGCCCCACTCCCCTACCCCTCCCTGTACAGCTGTGCCCCACTCCCCTACCCCTCCCTGTACAGCTGTGCCCCACTCCCCTACCCCTCCCTGTACAGCTGTGCCCCACTCCCCTACCCCTCCCTGTACAGCTGTGCCCCACTCCCCTACCCCTCCCTGTACAGCTGTGCCCCACTCCCCTACCCCTCCCTGTACAGCTGTGCCCCACTCCTCTACCCCTCCCTGTACAGCTGTGCCCCACTCCCCTACCCCTCCCTGTACAGCTGTGCCCCACTCCCCTACCCCTCCCTGTACAGCTGTGCCCCACTCCCCTACCCCTCACTGTACAGCTGTGTTCCAGCCACTGCCTCTCGTCGCTGATGTAGTATTTCACTGCTTTCCCCTCTGATGTCAAGTTCACTGCCAAGTGGAAATGATAAATGATAAATGTTCCTGCACCATCGCCTCCCGAATTATAATCCAAGAGAAAACAATCGCCAAATACACCCACATATTAAACAAAAAACGTTTTTTTTTGGAAAAAAAATCCAGGAAGGGATATTTGCACAGTCTGTAGGATGTTTCACAAATACTATTTTTATTCATTATTTTTGCAATAAAAGCCCATTTGTTTGGGTTTAATTGACAACACGTTTCCATCCAACTGTTTCCTAAGAGATATTAACGGCCTTTTGTTTGTTTTTCTTTTAATTGCTTCAAAGATTTGCAGATTTGCAACCCCCCCCCCCCACCCCCTATACCCAATTACTTTGTGCAATTGGAATAGTTAAACCTAAATTTTTTTTTGCTTATATATATATTAAAAAAATTGCACAAGTTAAGCGGAGTTTTGCAGAAAAATAGTGCTTTCCCCAAAAATGTATTGTTTTTTTTAAAAAAGCGACTGCTGCAAATTTTTTTGTTAACACTTAATTGTCATTCCCAAACAGGAATGCATTCATTTATCTACACAGCACTCTTAGAAAACACGAGCATTAAATCACGAAGATCCCAAAGTGTTTATTTTTTTTATCATTCTCAGAGTGTGTAGTCCTCGCACAGGTCCAGGAAATTACTGTATTGACAATTAACAATAATAGACACAACTCGAAATTATTAATCTTAACCTGAACCAGTAACTCACATTTCTAGGTGATGAGCAGTTCACTCAGAGGGTTTGAGAATGCTCGTTGACTGAGTTAACTGAGTGTTTTCCCAGAGCGTTTTAATGGTTTGTTAATGTTATATTTTTTAATACCTTACCACTCCATCAGATCGAAAATCTTTCATGTATTCATATCTCTTTCTTCTACAAGCTGTCCAGGGCTTTAATTACGGTCGCCCCCTGGCGTTTCCACTTTAAAATGGTACAATCTATTCCTCAAAATATCCTGTAAATTGTTCCAGTTTAAGGTGTTAAGAATAGTAAGATTTTGTTTAAAATAGTTTAATTAATCTGCTTCGCCGGCCTTTCTTATGAAACGATTAAATTTAGTTTTTCCGAATCTCGCTCTCTCTCTTGCTCACTCTTTCTCTTCCTTTGGAGCAAATGAATACTAATGACTAGGAGGAGTATAAGTACAGTGGTACCATAAATTAATAAGATCACATTATAGAATTGGCAAGGAGTTCAGCTTTCGTATTATCACGTTAATAGTAAGTGTGCTCAACTAATCAATCACACAGACAGTCGCTGAAATGGAATGTGTTTTATAAAATGATAACATAAAATCATCTGAATCCACGGCTGTTTGCGGGACACTGCTTTGCATAATTGGCTCCTGCATTTCGCCCACAAAATACACAGTCAATCTGCTTCAGAATATGTTCTGCGAACTGCTTTGAGACACCGCAACGACGTGATACAGTGCTTTATCAAATGCAAGGATTATTGTATTATTACATTAAAAAAATTCTGCTTTAGTCCCTCTGTGTCGTGTTGTTGGGTGATTTTCTGCTGAGATGGTTGCATCAAACAACTGGCCCCTGTCTACTCAGAGATGCGTGGGGAGGGGGTGGGGGTGTGGGTGGTCCAGGGTTTGAAGCGTATTTAAAGTCTTGAGGCACCTGGTGGCTGATTCACCACCTGATCTAAATTAGCATCTTATGGGGGGGTTGAAGATTCAAATGCAGGTCTGCACTGAGGTCATCTCAACCAGGCCAATAGGTTGTTATCCCAGGCCAGAGAGTTTCCTGTTCCTGCCTTGGAATGTGGATCTTGGGTGAGAACAGGATTGGACTTGATTGTGTTGACCTGTGGTCGCACAGCCTGCAAACACTCAGGGGAAGAATGTGAAAAGTAGGAAAGGTTCTGGAGGCTGGCTCCATCTTCCCTAATTGGTTTATAGCTCACCAAGTCAGCTCGCATAATGTGAAACCCTTCACCGTGTCAGGTCATTCTACGGTGCAGTGTACATCAGCGCTCAGTACCTCCTGAGCATCTGAATTACCTTCATGATGTAGACTTGTTAGCATTAAAAAACAAAAGTCCACATTTCCAATGTGAAAACATTTACTCATCTGCTTATTTGGGCTCTAATATGGACGGCACTGTTGGTGTTCAATTTTGTTTCAATAGGTTACCTTTAGAACAACCAGCAATACGTTGCATAATGCTAACTGTTAAAATTAGGCTGCCCAGCGGATTATGCACTTTGTGGTTTCTATATTTATCCAAGGCAGTAGAAAGGTTAAAATGATGGCATGCAAATGACATTTAGCTGTATTTGATTACCACATAAATGACTGCTATCAATTTGCAGCCTCTTCCTCAGTGGAAAATGAAAAGCATCCAACATAATAGCATACATGAAGTCCACCATCATGCTGTAAGTTTATCTACAAAGATGTCCCAGAGCACTTGACAGTGGCGGAGCACGATGCCAGGGAGGTGACTGTACGCACGGTCGAAGAGGAAGGTCTTCAGGTGCAATAAAAGAAAACTTTCACTCTCAGATTTGTTGCATAGTCATTTCTAGGGCTAATGGCGCTGTGAAACTTCCCAGGTTCTCCCTCTCCTATGTTCACAAATGTGGTGATAATACCCTTTTAATCACATCATTCAGACATAGATGCCTCAGGTTGGTCACTAGCAAATACCATCTCCGACATTCAACTGTACCAGATTTGATCGAGTTACAGCCAGTTCTGAGTTGTGGAAGTTTGTACTTATTCGTGTTCACTGGCCTTCAACACAGCTTGAACAAGCTCAGTTTGACCTTTTATTTTGAAGGAAAGGAACATTGGAACTTCTGATTTGAATGCTGGCAAATCGAGCGAGTTATTCCACTTGCTGCCAAGTGTCGTGACATTGGTGACTTGCACTCACAAAGGTTCCCATTGTCTGTTGGTAGGAAACCGCTGAAATATGGCCTTTGTTTTCGCACTTTCTATGTTGTCGCTCACATTGGTAGAGGAAGGAATTCCTCCCCCCCCCCCCCCCAGAAGGAGCTTTCCTGTTTGAGTAGCTCACAAAGGATCTCTAGTGACAGAAATGTGATACTGCAGCACACACTAGACTGGAAAGTTTAAAAATCCACATTTTCCCATTCCAGATCCTACATTGCAACGATCACGGACACAAAAAAATTGCTTCCACCAATAAACTTTGATTAAATAAACCAACTGTGAAACCTTGAATGCTTTCTGTTAATTACGGCAGTTTGTACGCTTATGTTACCAGATTTTAAATGTTTTTTTTGCTGCAGTAAGCAATTCTTCTCAGGCTGCTTTTTACACTGGGACAAATTGTACCATTTTACTGTCAGTTATAATCTTCAAGTAGTTCTGTTTTCACCTCGTTGAATTTAGCCGAGCTATTTCCTAACTTTCAGAGAATTTTGTCACTGTGTGTTTACAGATTAAATGTAATTAATTTTTGCCACTTCTAAATGTTGTCAGTTATTTATGGCGAACTTGCTGGATTGTCCAGCTTTTGATCAATATATTCACCACATCTAGCAAA